ATAAGATGTGTTGTCTTTTACATTGATAGTTTTTTATAGTTGTTTCCTGAGAACTGCTTTTCATTGGGAGAGAGACAGCACAGTGCTGTGGTTTGGGCCTTGAACAATGACTCTGGAGAGCAAGATTCAAATCGCTTCTCAGCCATTGGATGGCCCTGGGCATGCCAAAACTATCTCAAAGGGGAAGACAAAGGGAAACCTCACTTTGAACAAGTCTCCTTAAGAAAAATCCATGTGAAAATTGCCTCAGGGTCGGCATAGAGCAACTCCACTTGTCCTTGAGATACATGGGGCAAAGTTCAAGAAAGAATGACTCTTTCATGTAGTGAACAGATTGCTGCAGTGTTTCATGTCATTACAACATAGAGTCATAGAGTTGGAAGAGACCTCATGGGCCATCCAGCCGTACCCCCTGCCAAGAAACAGGACAATCGTGTTCAAAGCACCCCCAACAGATGGCCATCCAGCCTCTGTTTAAAAGCCTCCATAGAAGGAACCTCCACCACACTTTGAGGTCGAGAGTTCCACTGCTGAACATAATTTGGGCATTGGCCAACATCAGATAAAGAAGCCACCTAGCAACACATTGCTGCTTGCAATAAATGGAGTGTATAGGATTGACTTTACAATTCTGGCTTCTGCCGCCCTCTTTCGTTAAGGTGGAATCTGCATTGATACTGTGCAATGCATTGTGGCAAATCTTTTTTTCATGCAGCAAATCTCTTTTGTGAATCTTCTGCAGTGTTTGCAACTAGATCTGCAGAGCAGATTTTTAAACACTGTCGTTCCTTTAGTCTGCAAAAATGGGAACTGGTGGTTCTCCTTTAAATAATCTGTTGAAATTTCGGGAAACGGGGAGGCTTTAGTCTGGTTGTGGTTCCTCTTTTTGTAGGACTGTTAGAGAAGTACTGAATGGACCACAGAATAGATAGTCCCTGAATAGATCCGTCGGATTGTTTTTAATGTGTCATTGAAAAAGGAAAATTGTGGTATGCCTTTTCACTTTTCCAAATTCCGCCTAGCCAATAACCTTCTGTAGTAGAAAGGAAATAAAGCCATGTGCCCAGACAATCTCATTAATACAATGGCATTTGATTGCAAAGTTTCCAAACTGGGGATCCTCCAGCGATGTCACACTAGATCTCTTCTCACCTGCAGCCACGATAGCCCTATTTACTTGGACCAAAGAGGAGTATAGCACAGTTCTTAAAAAACCCCAAGTCAGTGGATACTAGGATACAAGACAGATTATTGCTCCGAGTATTGTTTTCACTGTCTAAAATTGGACATGGAGGGGAAAATAGCAGCAATAGGAATTGACCTATGATAATTTCAGTTACATTTTGCTGCTGTTTTTTATCAGAAGTTTGCATTTACTTTGAGGGATCTGGTGGATGGGAAGCCTCCAAGGGCCCTGCCTAGGTCTTCGGAACTTGAGGACCATCATTTCCTGTTATTGACTCAGTCCATCTGTAATGGCGCTCCGGGGAGCAGGGTGAGCTCCCACTGTTAGTCCCAGCTTCTGGCAACCTAGCAGTTCAAAAACATGCAAATGTGAGTAGATCAATAGGTACTGCTTCTGTGGGAAGGTAACGGCGTCCATGAAGTCATGCTGGTCACATGACCTTGGAGGTGCCTACGGACAACGTTGGCTATTCGGCTTAGAAATGGAGATGGGCACCACCACCCCCGAGTCAGAGACAACTACACTTAATGTCAAGGGGAAACCTTTATCTTTACCTTATCTGTAATGCAGTCTTCTTCTTCTACTGTCTTCCACTTTTCAGAGTCTGAGCTTCTTTACAATAGGCCCTGGATGCTGTGTGGTTAAACTATGTCCATATCAAAAAAAGATTTTTGTTTTTAAAGGAAATAAGAGGAGGTGACATGACAACGAGGGGGGCTAAGACACAAAAAGTTAACATGAGGCTCTTGCTTACATATTACGTATTTTGCACAGGTTGCACAGCATGGCAAACCAGAAGGCCAGCAATAGCGCACATTTAAAAGGTTCCAGGTTCAATCCCCATCATGTCTAGGTAGGGCTGAGATAGTGATCTCAGCAGAATAATGATTTTCCCAACACTAGGAAATCTCCTGCCAAGCCATATAATTATGATGCTCTTTGCAGTCACTTTGAGACAGATTCTTCAGAAAACACATTTCCTGCACAGCATAATTCCCCAAGAGACTTTGTAAAATATGACAGAACTTTTTGTTTTACCTGCAATGGGAAGAAAACCTATAGGATCTATGTATCCTTGCATACAAAATATATTCAGATCTGCATTCCTAGGCTGGAAAATCTTTTTCAGCTCTGGGCAACACCTTTGAAGATGGTCGATTCAGTTAGTGTAAGATGGTACTAAGCTGGATGAGCCAACAGCCTGACTTGGTATATGGCAGTGGTTCTCAACCTGCGGGTCCCCAGATGTTTTGGCCTTCAACTCCCAGAAAACCTTACAGCTGGTAAACCGGCTGGGATTTCTGGGAGTTGTAGGCCAAAACATCTGGGGACCCACAGGTTGAGAACCACTGGTATAAGGCCTCTTTCTGTCTGTTTATGCTGCAGAGTTATTGTTTAGTTATAAATGAGCAAAGCTGGGTAGTTTTGTTTTTGGTCCGTCCCCCCTCCTCCCCCCCATTCCCAGCAAATGCATTTCCCCTTTCTCCCCAAACACTAGCCCTTAAAAATATTTGTGAACATAGATTTCTTTTTCCTTTTATTCCCTCCCACCACCTTTTCAGGTCTGCTGCTATTTATGGATAAATATGATCAGGGCTACCTTGCAACCTGATTACAGAACAATTTGTAACCCAACTGATTCCAAAATAGTCTCAGAGAGTTTGCTGTTGTCTGTTAACAGCAGATGTTCAAATTGCTGGCACCTGGTCCCCTGCAGCATGTTTACAGCCAGCCTCGGTAACCAAGAGAAGAGCACTTCTTTGTCTTCTTTGGCAAGCAGGTTGGCGCAATTGCAAAACAGGTTGGAGGTGCTTAGAAAGCAGAGTCATCTCTGGGACCTGCTGGTTTCACATTATTCAGTTGAGATTGGCTGTAATCTAGCTGGTTGGACAGTGGTGGCATCATCATTGACATTTTGATGTTTTCTGTGTCCTTCCTCATTAGAACTCCAGGCTGTATTTTATAAGTATTCCCTTTGTTTGTATGTTTCATAGAATCATAGAATCATACAGTTGGAAGAGACCACATGGGCCATCTAGTCCAGCTGTGTCACACTAGATCTCTTGTCACCTGCCGCCATAATAAAAAAGAGAACTCAAGGCAACAATGAGTTGAATTCACAATTTATAAGACCAGATGTGTGTTAAAATGCAATCAAAGCAAATAAGTTGTAAAGACCAATCAAATATTTGCATATTCTTAGAAAACCTATTCATATAAGCCAGGCCTGTACAACCAGTGGCCCCCCATATGTTTTGGACTTCAGAATTCCTGACCATTGGATACACTGGCTAGGGCTTCTGGGAGTTGAAGTCTCAAACACCTGGTTGTGCAGGCTTGATATAAATGGTCCTCCAAAGCTAAAAATGTTGGAACTATCCATATTTCTAACACAAAGGGTTTTTTAGGGTTGCTGCGACTTTTCTGGGCTGTATGGCCATGTTCCAGAAGCATTCTCTCCTGACGTTTTGCCCACATCTATGGCAGACATTCTCAGAGGTTGACGTCAGTTTCCGACAGACCCCTCAACATCTGAGGATGCCTGCAATAGATGTGGGTGAAACTTCAGGAGAGAATGCTTCTGGAACATGGTCATACAGCCCGGAAAACTCACAGCAACCCAGTGATTCTGGCCATGAAAGCCTTCGGAGTCTAACACCAAAAACCAAATCCGTGCCACATATAGACATGAACAAGGGAGAGGGAGAAAGTTTATTTTTAACTGCACCTACCAGAAGTTTTTTAAGCTAGCACAACCCGTGGGAGTTGTGATCCAAACAATTGTCTTTCCTAAGTCTTGAGATGGAGGCTTTTGTGTGTAACTTTTGTTGTACCATGGAATATGAACTATGAGGTGTTAATACTGTATAGAAGTACTGAAATCAGAAGTACTGAACACGTTGGCATCTTTTTTGGTCATAAGGCAGTTTTGTACTTGCTCTCTATGTGTCTGCAAGTCTTCAGAAACATTTTTGCACAAAGGATGGAAACCTTGATGAAAAGCAGAGCTTTCTTCGAGTTTTTCTTAGCCAGGAGATGAGAACTCTTACAGTAAGAGCCAAGCAATTTCTCAGCCAGCCAGGCTCTTTCACCAAGGGAGATGTTTTGAAAATATTCTTCACACCCTGGTTGAATGCAATCAAAGGATTGGACCAAATGTATTTTAAAAGATTAATTTCTCTGCTTTTCATAAATCCCAGACAGTATGAATATTCAGTGCAATGATAAATATTACATTTACTAAAAAGAAATAAGAAACAGTAGTTAAAATGGCACCAGGTAAATTCTGAAAATACCCTGGGAAGAAATACGATGAAGTCCTTTAAAGGCATTTAAAAGGCCTGGATGACGGCATCTAATATGGATGCAGATCCTCTGTGTGGAACACCTTGTTCAGGAAGATGTGCTTCTGTGGTTTGGTGTCTGAACCAAATGGCCGCCATTCATATATGTCTGGATTGTTTTTTTTTCATGTCAGGAGCGACTTGAGAAACTGCAAGGCGCTTCTGGTGTGAGGGAATTGGCCATCTGCAAGGGTATTGTCCAGGGAGTGCCTGGATTTTTTTGATGTTTTACCATCCTTGTGGGAGGCTTCTCTCATGTCCCCACTGGAGCTGACAGATGGGAGCTCATCTGCGCTCTCCCCGGATTTGAACCGCCAACCTTTCGGTCAGTAGTCCTGCTGGCACAAGGGTTTAACCCATCGCGCCACTGGGGGCTCCTATATATATATATATGTCTGGTAGGTATTGGCATGCAGGTGGTAAGCAAGAACTGTGTATATGAGGCCTAACATGGTTACTATTTTTTGCAGGAGAATAAGTTGCTGTACAGCAACTCCTCATGCTTGTGACCCACAGACTCCTTGAATTTCCGAAGCCATTGTTCCTGTTTCCACACCAGTTCCATGGAGAGACCTAGATGTTTGGAAGGAGAGTGGGTCTAAATGGTGCAATGCCTTCCTGCATTTCGGAGGATATTGCGTAAGTAACCTCACCCCCCCCCCCCCCCCCGCCTTTATATCTGATAAATTGAGGTATAGTGGGGACTTCATTTTTGTTTGGGCAACAGCTCCCTTCAGTCTTGATTTATCACCATAATCATAGGCCATCACTTGTTGCCAAGTATGATTGTCTTCCAAATGTAAGTTTTGGTAAGAACAGCTGAATCCATACCTACCACCTGTGGATCAGTGCGTGGCCAGGGGCTTCCAGATTTCACAGTCCTGCCCCTGTTGTCACTTGCCAATTGTTATGGGACTTCCATTGGTTTTGGTTTGATTGGAAGATGCCTATGCATGAATTTGTTTTATGTGTGGGTGTCGGTGCAAAGCAGCCAACACACAATCTTCGCAGAAAGAGGTTCTGCTCTAGTGTCATGGATAGCACAACGATTGGAGGCCCCTCACCTGTTACAGCCTTCACAGTTATTGTAACATAGAATCATTGAGTTGGAAGAGACCACGTGGGCCATCCAGTCCAACCCCCTGCCAAGAAGCAGGAAAATCGCATTCAAAGCACCCCCGACAGATAGCAATCCAGCCTCTGTTTAAAAACCTCTGAAGAAGGAGCCTCCACCACACTCCAGGGCAGAGAGTTCCACTGCTGAACAGCTCCCACAGTCAGGAAGTGTCATTTAGTCCAACGCTGTTCTACTTAAAGACCTCAAAAGAAAAAGTCCACCATTTTCAAAGGCAATTTGTTGAGCAGTTCTTACAAAAAAGAGTTCTTTCTCATGTTTAGGTGGATGTTGCTTTTGTGCCATTGGAACCCAGTAGTAGTTTGACTCGCATTTTGAAAGACCAGCATTTGAATCCTTGGTTGGCCATGGAAACCCATTGAGGGACCTCTGCCAAGTTGCTTTCTCTCAGCCTCAGAGAAAAGATTTCAAATCCCATTGAATGAATCTTTCCAAGAACATTTTATGAGAGGGACACCAGGGTCAGAATCGATTTGAAGGCTCATGATGGCAAATACTTAAACATGATACTAACCATTCCACTAAGCTACACCTCCCATCTTCCCTCCCTTCATCATGTCCTCCTTTGAAGCATGCCTCCACACCAATTTTTAATTTTAAAAACTAGCCTGGGTACTCGGCATTGTCCAGGTTATTAGAAGGAGTCATTTTTTTTAAATTTTACAAAATCCATAAGGGTATGGGTGAACTACAACTCACATCATGCAAGGTCAACCCCCTGAAACTCCATAAATACTTAAAGATTGTCATGTTGGGCAAGATTGCTCTAGATCGGTGATTCTCAACTTGTGGATCCCCAGATGTTTTGGCCTTCAACTCCCAGAAATCCTAACCTTCAGAAAAAAAGAGTAAAAACCTGGCTCTTTGAACAAGCGTTTGGAAATGCAGCGTAATAAATAATTATGAACTATGAAGAATGAACATGGAATGGCTAGATGATGCTACTAGACAATGAATTTAACTGGATGACACTGGTGATTATGTTTTTATATGGTTTTTATAATATTATGCTGAATGTTTTAATTGTATTTTTATGAATGTATATAGGGGGAATACATTGCATCAAATTGCTGCCAATTCTGTAAGCTGCCTTGAGTCGCCTTAGGGCTGAGAAAGGCAGGCTACAAATACCATAAATAAATAAATAAATAAATAAATAAATAAATAAATGCAGGTAAACTGGCTGGGATTTCTGGGAGTTGTAGGCCAAAACACCCGGACCCACAGGTTGAGAACCAACATGCACCGTGTTATCATCCATCCACTTGTTCTGTCATTGAGGACTTCCTGTTCTGTGTAATCCGCAAGCCATGATGCTGCTGTGTCTTGCTGGCTGCCTCCCTCCCTCCCACCCACTCAATGGTCAGTGGAATGGCAGTTGAAGGTAGTGGGAGGGGCTCCCAACAATTGCTGGATGAGGCTGGATGGAGATGTATCTTGCTGGCTGCCTCCCTCCCTCTCACTTTTCTCGACTATTGCCACAGTGGCTGGGACTTGTGGGATTTGGGGGTCTGAACAACAACTGAAGGACCCTTGTTATCAACTGACCAAGGTTGTTAGGAATCTTATTCCTACGAGTGCAACTGACTGTTATTTCAAAATGACTTTTTGAGTGAGTATACGTTATTGGGGGAGGTGAATAATGGGGTGCTCAAAGATGATCTTGATTCTCCCAGAATCCTGCAGGAAACATAGTTTGGTCACATTAGTTTGGAATTTTGGGAATTATGATCCTAAGGTCCCTCTTATGGCGCTTTTCTGGTGTGGAATAAAGTACCCACCTACATTGTCAGCTGATTTATCTGCTCAGGTGGGATTTCCTGTGCCTTTTGCATGTTTGTCTCATTAACTTGAAACTAGCAGAGTCAGTCTGGTCAATTGTGTTTCATTATGTAATAAACCAATAAATCTGTCAGAGATCCAGAGTTGATTGATTGCTCCAATCTCTTGAATTAAAATTGCTTCCAGGTCTTCACAACTGTTTAAGGATTACTACCTTGAGACTGTTTCCAGCTTCCTCTAGGAAGGTTGTGCCACTTCTTTTCGGAATAATGATCAAGGCTGAAACACCAATTCTACTATGTTGCTTCTGTGACTCACACAAATGTGTAATCTATGCCTTTGAGCAGAGCATTGTTAGGAACAGTCTGGATTTTACTATAACTTTTTAGTGGTAACTGCACCCACGCTCAGTGCCACTATATAATGCCTTTCCATCTTAAACCTCGATCATCTTTCCCTTCTCTTTTGCAGCTGCACTGCTAGAAATGCTTTGCATTGACTATTGCCTTTTGATTTTTAGCTTGACTAGATATGGATTTTCTTCTTTGGCTCTGTCTTTGTCTTCTTGTTCAGTTTTAGTATGCCTTGGTCTTCCTTTGACAATGTGAAGGTTTTTGTGGTTCAGTCTGTCTTTGGCTATTCCTTTTCTTAGGTGTTACTAATTGCATACTCATTATTCAAAAAATGTATGGTGTGCGGGTGGAAAATCCCAGAGAAAAGCAGGTACTCCAAGTGTTTGCACTGTTTGGTTGAAGGTCACAAAATTGGCTTGTGTCCTTGCCTTCATTTTCCCTCCACTCATACTAATAGTTTTAGGACATTTTTCACTCAGAAGAGACAATAATATGTCAGATACTGATAGGAAGTCTGCCTGTTGGCTGCTGCTTTAGGTGAGGAAATCTTGGAATCCTCACTGAAGTATCAAGATGTAAGATTTACCCTCTAGATCTCACAGTCCTCATTGTTGGTGTCTCCAGTGTCGTACTGGGATCTGATAGCTTTGTTCAATTGTTCTCATAGGGACTATCTGTAATATTATTGAGTTCATGCTGACTTGGTACAAGCAGTCCTCAAGTTGCAGACAAGGTTTGTTCTCAAGTTGAATTTGTATTTATGTCAGAACAGGTACATTTTAAGTGTAACTCCAGCCATATATATACACACACACACACATACATATATAGCTGGCTAGCTCTGGATAGCATAAGTAAAGGTAAAGGCTTCCCCTTGACATTAAGGCTAATTGTGTCCGACACTGGGGGATGGTGCTCATCTCCATTTCTTAGCCGAAGAGCTGGCGTTGTCTGTAGACGCCTTCAAGGTCATGTGGCCAGCATGACTGCCTGGAGCACTGTTACCTTCCCTTCGAAGCAGTACCAATTCATCTACTCACATTGGCATGTTTTTGAATTACTAGGTTGGCAGAAGCTGGGCTCCCCGGATTCGAACTACCAACCTTTCGGTCAGCAAGTTCAGCAGCTCAGCGTTTTAACCTGCTGCACCATGTGGATAGCATAGGAAAAGGTTAACACCCCTGTGGTGTTTATTCTGATATCTATGCTCCTGTTCAGAAAATTTCACCTCACTTTCGATCCCTGTAAGAATTGGATTTTGAAAAAAAATGGATTGTTATGGAAACAAGGATTGGTGCTAAAGCTGGAGATACCCTTTCCCCATGATAACTCTTTTAGGGGTGAATTTCCTTTCCTAGCAGCAGATTTCGTCCCACCTCTTGTTGTCTCGCCCCCATTCTTAACTATGAGTCGAATGAAAGTCGGATGTCTGTAACTCAGGGACTGCCTGTATTGTGTATTGTTAAGAAACTGCATTGTTTGAATGTCAGAATGATTTTGCAGGATTTTTTTTGCTCTTTCTATCTGCTATTCTTCAAAAAGGAGTGATTGTTTCAGCTTGAACACCTGCTCAGAAGTCTGCTCATAAGTGTGCATGGGGGTGCATTTTTTCAGCCAGTGACACAGCAGTAGTTCTGGAGTGAGAGCGGGATTTGATGCCCCTGCGAGGGGATACAATTATTTTTGTCCATTAGTTGTGTTGCACTTGATGTTACTTTTAGTTTTGACCAGAAGTTGTGACATGGGAGAATGCAGAGTACTCTGTTCCCTGGGACAACCCTGGGGAGGCAGTGGGAAGGGAAGGAGTGATGGAAGGAGAAGCAGCAGCTCCTTGTCCACCTCAACCGTCCCGCTCGCCTTTCCATCCTCGGCATGCTGTGCGTGACACCATGCGCCTTTGCACTCCCCTCCACTTCTTTTGCTTTACCCAATTCTTCCTTCTGGGGAAGGGGAGAAGTCCATGGTTGCACCGCCTTGGCCACTGCTTGTTTTCCTGACCTGGTCTGGATGATCAGCAGAGGGACTGAGCTGCTCAGCCGCTCTCCTTGCAGCAGAGCAATCATATGATAGGCAAATCACAGACCCAGCTAGCCTTTGCCCTTGCTCTGGGGAGGAGGCAGATTGAGCACCCTTTAAGTCTTTGTAGATCCTCTGTGGAGGGTCTCCAGGTTAAGAATCACTGATCAAATTGTTTCCAAAACTTGGGAGAGGACATGGAGAAGTCGTTGCTTATTCTCTTACTTCGTTTGGCAATTCTCTCAAGCATATTTTAGAAGAGTTTAGATTTCCATTGTGAAATCCAAAATATGCAAGAGCAATCAAAAGAGTGCATGGTGGCTAGAGCCAGGAGTCCTAACTTGGCAGTAGTTTGATTCAACAGTGGTATCTTTTGTATGCTTTAGTATTGAAATGCATTTATAGCTTTTTAATAGCTTCTGAAGAGGAGGGAGCGAGAATAGTTTTGGTCACGGCAGTAGGCCTTGACAGATTCATATGAATCAGCTCCTTTGTAACCTGATGTTATGGAAGAAATTTTAGGAATTTCCTTTTATTTGCTATATTGCTTTCTAGGTAGAGCTGAGAAACCTTGCTTGTTGTGTCTATGGGGGCTTTCGGGTAAAATGATTCCCCCCCCCCCCGGTAGGCAGTACATAAATATGCATAAGATCCATACTGTCTCTATAATCATGTTTACTCCCAGTTCATGCAGAGACATATTGATCCTGTGCACATTTCCTGGAAATGCGTTAGGAGCATTAGACTAGAAGTGCACTGGGGACAGCACAGGGTGAGTGTGGGTGTGTAGTCCACGCAAACCATGTTTCTTGCCCTGTTACGCATCACACAATGCGAGCCACTTCCTTCTGGAGGATTTGGTGTGGGGAACAGTCTAGAACTGAAGAGCTAACAGCTTGTGCTAAGCCTCTATGTACATTTTCCAAGCCGTTGCTTATGATGGCAATCAGGTGAAGGCTACTGCTTTGCATCTGGAACAGGGCTGAAGGTATGAAGCTATTGAGATGTCCCAGCAACCTTAGCCAATGGAGAAAAATATTGGGACATTCTTGAAAAATATATTGGACCTAGAATATTTCTCTCTAGAAATGTTCTAGGTCCTTCAGGATTACTCTTTTGTAACCTCCAGAGGAAATATACTACAGAATTGCTTGGGGGACTTAGAAAAATTCCTGAGAGGACATATTTTTGTTGGATGCAGGTTATAGAATCATAAGAGTTGGAAGAGACCGTGTGGGCCATCCAGTCCAACCCCCTGCCAAGAATCAATCACGTTCAAAGTACCCCCAACAGATGGCCATCCAGCCTCTGTTTAAAAGCCTCCATAGAAGGAGCCTCCACCACACTTCGGGGTAGAGAGTTCCACTGCTGAACAGCTCTCACAGTCAGAAAGTTCTTCCTAATCTTCAGGCGAAATCCCCTTTCCTGTAGTTTGAAGCTATTGCTCCGCATCCTAGTCTCGAGGGCAGCAGAAAACAAGCTTGCTCCTTCCTCCCTATGACTTCCCCTTACATAGTTATACATGGCTATCATGTTTCCTCTCAGTCTTCTCTTCTGCATGCTAAACATGCCCAGCTCTTTAAGCCACTCCTCATAGGACTTGTTCTTCAGACCCTTGAGGGTATATGAAACTATGGGTGCCAGTTTTTCAGGTATGAGGTAGAACTGTAGTAATTGTAAGTAGCAGAACAGCTTGACACATTTTCTTCGACTAATCCTTCTCCTAAACCTACTTTTTTCTCCCCGAACCCCTCTCTCCTAGATTGGTTGACTGCTACTGATGGCATGTTGAGGTCCACTGAGCAGCGGTGGAGTCGGTGTGTGACCGCAAGAGGCCTGCTCTGACAGCTGGGCACGCAACAATATGGGCCAGTGCGTCACCAAGTGCAAGAATCCCTCATCGACCCTGGGCAGCAAAAATGGCGATCGAGAGTCAAGTGGCAAGACTCATGGTAAGCGCAGCACAATCCACAAGGAGGAGCACAGCACCGGCAGCGGGAAATCGTCTGGGGACATCCTGGTTAATGGGACTAAGAAGATGGAGGTGGCTGTAGAATCCAGCCAGCTTCCTTCTTCCTCCGGGGATTCCAAAAAAGAACCTGTTTCCGGCACGGAGGAGTCCTCTCTCCACAGGACCGAGGAATTATTTAGGAGATACAAAGATGAGCGAGAAGATGCCATATTAGAGGAAGGCATGGAGCGTTTTTGCAATGACCTCTGTGTTGACCCCACCGAATTCAAAGTGCTAGTCCTGGCATGGAAATTCCAAGCAGCTACCATGTGCAAATTCACAAGGTTAGTAGTGTGTGTGCCATTTGGAGATTCTTGTCCAGTTTGTTCATGGTGTAAAAGACACTGAATGTTTGCCTTGTATGTGTATGCTGTAATCCGCTCTGAGTCCCTCTGTGTGATGTATTTTTGAATGATGGCACAGATCCAAGTAAGGTGGCCTTTTGCTGTTGACAGATTGTAATTTTGTCAATGTTTATTGTTTCCAAATGCCGGCTGAGATCTTTTGGCACGGCACCTAGTGTACCGATGACCACTGGGACCACCATCCGTACTGGTTTATGCCATAGCCTTTGCAGTTTGATTTTGAGGTCCTGATAATGGCTGCGTTTTTTCTGTTTTTCATCAATTTGACTGTCACTTGGTATGGTGACATCAATAATCCAAATTTTTTTCTTTTCCACAATTGTGATGCCTGGCGTATTGTGTTCCAAAACTTTGTCAGTCTGGATTCGAAAGTCCCACAGTATTTTTGCATGTTCATTTCCCACTACCTTTGCAGGTTTATGATCCCACCAGTTCTTTACTACTGGCAGGTGGTACTTGTGACATATGTTTCAATGAATCATTTGGGCTGCATAGTTGTGCCTCTGTTTGTAGTCCGTCTGTGTGATTTTCTTGCAGCAGCTGAGCATATGATCAATGGTTTCATCAGCTTCCTTGCACAGTCTGCATTTTGGGTATTCAGCTGATTTTTCAATCCTGGCCTTAATTGCATTTGTTCTAACGGCTTGCTTCTGGTCTGCAAGAATCAGGCCTTCTTCTTCAGGGTTCCATTAGTGAGCCATAACCAAGTCTTCTCCTTGTCAACTTTTCCTTCAGTTTTGTCAAGGAACTGCCCATGCAATTCTTTGCTGTGCCAGCTGTCAGCTCTGGTTTGTAGTGCAGTTTTCTTGTGCTGATCTTTGTCTGCTGTGCTTTGAGATGTTTCCGATTATTGAATTCAATCAAAGCAGGTTCTTAGCTTTCCTTTATTGATTTGTTTGTTTGTTTGTTTATTATTACTATTTATTTATTTATCGTATCAGGAGCAAGCCTAACTTTAAAAAAACACACACACACACATAAAGAAGTGAACCGAGGGAACAATTGTAATGTATTAAAAAAACACAAAGTTTCAGAAACTTGGCATTATACTAAATATCCTTTGACCAGTAGCTGGCCACTTGGAGTGCCTCTGGTGTTGCTATAAGAAGGTCCTCCACTGTGCATGTGGCAGGGTTCAAGCTACATTATAATAGGTGGTCTGTGGTTTGCTCTTCTCCATACTCACATGTCGTGGCCTCCACTTTGTAGCCCCATTTCTTAAGGTTGGCTCTGCATCTTGTGGTGCCAGAGCGCAGTCTGATCAGCGCCTTCCAAGTCGCCTAGTTTTCTGTGTGCCCAGGAGGGAGTCTCTCATTTGGTATCAGCCATGGATTGAGGTGCTGGGTTTTAGCCTGCCACTTTTGGACTCTTGCTTGCTGAGGTGTTGCAGCAAGTGTCTCTGTAGATCTTAGAAATCTATTTCTTGATTTAAGTCATTGCCATGCTACAACTATTATTAAAACTTCATTTATACCCCGCCATCATCTCTCAAAGGGGACTTGGGGTGGCTGACTACCTGAAGGACAATAGTGTAACTGGTCTCACTTTCTTTCTTTTCACAGGACAGAGTTCTTTGAGGGCTGCAAAGCAATAAATGCAGACAGCATTGATGGGATTTGTGCCCGGTTCCCCAGCCTCTTAAACGACGCCAAACAAGAGGATAAGTTCAAGGATCTCTACCGTTTCACTTTCCAGTTTGGCCTGGACTCTGAGGAGGGGCAGAGGTCGCTGCATCGGGAAATAGCCATTGCTCTCTGGAGACTGGTCTTCACGCAGAACAAGCCCCCCATCTTGGACCAGTGGTTACACTTCTTGAACGAGAACCCCTCAGGGATCAAGGGAATCTCCCGGGACACGTGGAACATGTTCCTCAATTTTACTCAGGTCATTGGGCCGGACCTTAGCAATTACAGCGAAGACGAGGCTTGGCCCAGTCTCTTTGACACCTTTGTGGAGTGGGAAATGGAGCAGCGGAGGAAGGAAGGCGACACCAAATGCGCGGCAGCTTCACAGACAGCGAATCTCTTTGCGGACCACTGTCCTTAGCGCCCTTTGAACTCGGCAGCGACCTGCTGCGACCTGTTAACCTTTCATGACCTGTAAGCTCTGGACTCCTCTGGAATTTACAGACGCTCCAGATTTTTCTACTTTCCACCTTTCTCTGCCTTGTATTTCGAAAGGGCTCTAAAATGCTGTATCCATATTTTAGGCACTTTCTTTAAAATTTTGGGTTATTCCTGTTTCTTCTTTTCCTGAAATGTTTGACCCTGGCTGCAAGTTCAATGATTTTTGGGTTTTTTTAAAAAAAAATAATTTGAGATTTGGTATCATTACGTCTCGATGTTGGTTACACAACTTTTTTTTAAAAAAGAAGGAATTTTCCGTTGGTTAAATTAACATTGCTAAATTATCCAGTGCCAGATTGAAATTCTGCAAAGTTACATTTTTTTTAATGTTTTCAGGGCAGGTCTATACTGTGTGTAGTGCTGTTTACATTGTTGAATTTTTTTTAAAGATTGTGATAATTTTAAAGTTTATACCATGAATGAATAACAGTGTTAACTGTTAACTACAAAATGCATTTAATTCCCAGGTAAAGAAGAATTTGAAAGCCAATGAAAGCAGCAGTATTTTTTTTAGTGTATGTACGTGTGGCATGGGCAGGGTTTTTTTGATGGGTAAAAAACATTATTGGATTTCTGTGAGATTTCCGAGCTGTATGGCCATGTTCCAGAAGCATTATCTCCTGATGATTCACCCACATCTATAGCAGGCATCCTGAGAGGTTGTGAGGTCTGTTGGAAACTAGGCAAGTGAGTGAGATTTATATATCTGTGGAATAATGTCCAGGGTTGGAGAAAGAACTTTTGTCTGCTTGAGGCAAGTGCGAATGTTCCAATTGCCTAGCTTGATAAGCATTGACTACTCTTCCAGCTTCAAGGCCTGGCTGCTTTGTGCCTGGGAGGTGTTGCTTTGTTGGGAGGTGTTTCTTGTATGGAATTACCCTGTTTTTGAGTGTTGTTCTTTATTTACTGTCCTGATTTTAGAGTTTTTTAATAATCGTAGCCAGATTTGTTCTTTCTTTTCTTTTCTTTTCTTTTCTTTTCATATCAGGAGTTACTTGTGAAACTGCAAATTGCTTCTGGTGTGAGAGAATTGGTTGTCTGCAAGGATGCTGCCCAGGGGACGCTCGGATTTTTTTGATGTTTTGTCACCCTTGTGGGAGGCTTCTCTCATGTCCCCACATGGGGAGCTGGAGCTGACAGAGGGAGCTCATCCACGCTATCCCCAGATTCAAACCTCCGACCTGTCTGTCTTCAGTCCTGCTGGTACAAGGGCTTAAGCCATTGCACCACCGGGGCTCCTATTGATTTTGTTCATGAAACCATGAAAATCAGGGCCAGCTAATCACCTCCCAACAAAAGATTTCCCCAGGCAGGAAGCAGCCAAGCCTTGAAGCTGCAAAGCTATTCAGTGCTAATGAAGCTGGCTAATTGCAACATTCAGACTTGCCTCCAGAAGTGAAGAGTTCTTTCTCCCACCCTGGACATTATTCCACAGATATATAAACCTCACTTGCCTAGTTTCCAATAGACCTCACAACCTTTGAGGATGCCTGCCATAGATGTGGGCAAAACGTCAGGAGAGAATGATTCTGGAACATAGCCATACAGCCCAGAAAACTCACAGCAACCCAGTGATTCTAGCCATGAAAGCCTTCGACAACACAAAAAACATTATTTTTGTTTGAAATAATATATTGTACCTGCCAGTCTGGGATCCTTAATCACTTTTTTGATTTCATGGCAAAGTCACAGCAGCTGCATGATCAGGTTTGGGAAGGTGAGCGCTTTCTTTCCAGGACACTGGAAAGGAAGCTCCCAAAGTTTGTTGTTTTCTGCCCTCTTTTCAATAAGAAAACTACTGGCAAAGGGTTTAGTATTAACTGTAAGGTGTGAAGGCTTTCTACATGTTGCTAAGAAATGGGAAAATTGGCACAAGCTCCTCTAAATGATTCACTTGGAAGCAGTTTCCTCCCTGATGCAGGCTCCCAAGGTAGGAGAAGGGCCACAAAGCAAGCCTCATGATGTTTGCTGGTCAAACGCTGAGCATCCCTTGCTTCATGGAAAGGTACAAAAGAGCAATGCTACCTCTGTTTTCTAAATGCCAGAATCTTCTCCCCATTATCCCCTCTTAAAGAATGGATGGGATTTTCACGGTGGTCAGGAAAGGCTGTGATTAAAAGTCAAAATTGGTGGCATATCTTCCCGATTTGGAAGAGAAGTGACAAATTTCCCACCAGGGAAAGAAACACTGCTTCAAATAAACATTCTGCTCCAAATTTTAGATAATTGGTGCTTGGTTAGAAATGTTAACGTTATTTGGGTTATTTGGGTAAGTTTTTTGGGCTGTATGGTCATGTTCCAGAAGCATTTTCTCCTGACATTTCGCCTGCATCTATGGCAAGCATCCTTAGAGGTTGTGAGTTAACTTTATTTGGCTAGTAAGTTACAGTATATTCAAAAATTTGTAAAGAACCTCCAAATCTTAACAGTGACCCCATTTCTTCTCTGAATAACCAAATTTGCAGCTGTTAAATTAGTTTCCCCATCTATTTCGACAATGATCCCTGTGCCTTAAGTTGCTCCATCGGAACAGAGATTTCTTTCTTCTTCTTCTTCTTCTTTTTTGGACATCTGAAAATGCAGTGATAACAAAAGTTGCATCAATTGGATTTCTACTTGTCCAGGAAACGGGTGGTAACACTGCTGAGAATTCGTTGAATGTGAACATACCCTGTTTCCCCGAAAATAAGACATCCCCTGAAAATAAGACCTAGTAGAGATTTTGCTGAATTGCTAAATATAAGGCCTCCCCTGAAAGTAAGACCTAGCAAAGTTTTTGTTTGGAAGAATGCTCCCCCTGGTGGTCGGAAGCTGCAATACTGTCCCTGCTGTACAAGTGGTCCAGAAACTGCTGTGGGAGATCGTTCCAGTCCCCAAATAGTGTGTGGGAGCCAGGGACTTTACAGTCCTTATTTTTTGTGGCCCTCTGTGTGAGGGCCAATATATTTATTATATACTGACAACTACCGTACAGTATATAATAAATGTTCATTTAATCTATATAAATAAAAATGTAATGTTCATTTGTGGGATTAACAGAACTCAAAAACCACTGGACAAATTGATGTGAAATTTGGACACTACACCCCTAACAGACCAATGAGTGACCATCACTCATAAACTCCTCCCCCAAAACAGCAGAAAGGACTTAAAAACTCCAAAAAACTAAATGACAATACAGCGCATGCACGAAAGTGACAGCTCCCAGCATCCCCCATACCAGGCCCTTTAGGGGAGGAGGATGCTCCAAATGCACTGCTTCAAAGCTGCAAGCTTGCTTCTCCTTGGATTTCTTTGAGAGCATCCCAATCCATACATATTTCCTATTTCCTATTCCTGGACTGTAACTCCCAGCAAGCCTCCAGATAGATAAGATACATAGATTAGATAGAGATAGATAGTAGGTAGATAGATCAATCAATCAGGAGGACTGCTGGGAGTTACAGTCCAAGAATAGGTAGAGAAGGAAGAAAGGAGAGAAAGAAAAAGGGAGGGGAAGGAAGGAAGAAGAGAACCTCACAACCTCTTGAGGACGCCTGCCATAGAAATGTTGGGAGAGAATGCTTCTAGAATATGGCCATACAGCTCGAGAAACCTACAACAACCCAGTGATTCCGGCCATGAAAGCCTCCGACAATACATTGACTCTGCACTGTTTTTAACAGGATGAATATTCTATTTCTTTAACCTTTTACGTACACTTGGGAGTATTTGCTTGCCTGGAACCTAAAAAGAGCGAGTTTTGTTAATGACTAAATGGTTTTGTCATGATGTAAAAAAAAAAAAAACACACCAAAAAACAAAAACCCAAACAGCCAAGAAACCAAACTCACTGCACTTGCTAGCACTGTAGAACTTGGAAAAAGGGACAGCTGCTGAGGCTTTCATCTGAAGCAATCCTAGCCTTCATGTTACTGTTTTAAATGTTATGCCAAGTCTCTGAGAGCAGATTTAATTTGAATCGCACCACCATCCTAGTAAAGTCACTGGCCCCTTGGGCTGCAGTCTGAAATGAGTTACGATCCACTGTTGAGTGCGTGAAACTACTTTGAGATGGATGGCTGACTTTTCTGCATGATGGGCTGAGCAGCAAGTATGTCGGCAGATTGTTTTGACAACTGTGTTGCACTACGAGTCTCATCATCCAAAGACCAGGTAACCTGGGAATAGTGGGGGTCATAACCCAACATATCTGTAGGTGTTGTTGTCATGTTATGAGGATTTACGTCTGCTGTGTTGTGACTGCAGCATGGGAAACGTGCAAGTCTTTTGTGTTGGAGGAGCCTCCTGTCTATGACATTCTTCCTTTCTCCAGAAGGAGTTTCCAAGGGTGCCACTGAATAGGACCAATTGGGTTGTTTTGTCAGGACAAGCAATGTCATATGGTTTTTGAACTGCTGATAAAACCTGAATCTGGTTGAAAATACTTGAAACCCATCCCTTTTTACCTGCCTTTTTCAATGCTACCAGAGGTGCTGTTTTGCGAGTGTTTGGAGGCTGCTGCCTTGTGCGCCCCTGCTCTTGAATCCACATAGGAAATCCTTTATTGTTACAATTACATGTGCGTTTTGTTTAACTTCATCTGTTGGTTTTAATTACAAAGGAAGTTGTGTGCCTAAAAGGCTGGGGAGTCTCATGTTTTAGTGTGGCGAAACCAGCTTCAAGGGCCCCGAACCCCCTCCAGCTTGATCTTGCCACATATTTAACCGCCTGCTTGAAGGTTTGGCCCAGAGGCGAAGAAGCCTTGGTTATTAAACACATGATGAACGACAGCAATTCGGTGTTTGGGGCTCTTTGTGTAGAGAGGTGCTGGGAAGCCATGCGGGATTCCTCAGTGGGTCCAGATCAATGGGAAGGGAAAGCAGCCTTTTAGCTGACAGTCTGAACTGATCATGCCACTTGAACATGGCAAGAACATGGCATTTTTGAGTTTTATTTCAGAACACAGAAGCAAGAAGACTATTGTAAACTTCACAGATTCCATTTTATCCACAGGTTATATAGGTAAAGGTAAAAGTTTTCCCCAACCCCAGGAGTTGGTGCTCATCTCCACTTCTAATAGCTGGCATTGTCTGTAGACACCTCCAAGGTCATGTGGCCAACGTGACTGCATGAAGCACTGTTACCTTCCCGCAGAAGCGATACCTATTGATCTTCTCACATTTGCATGTTTTCGAACTGCTATGTTGGCAGAAGCTGGGGCTAACAGCAGCAGCTCACCCTGCTCCCCGGATTCAAACCGCCAACCTTTTGGTCAGCAAGTTCAGCAGCTCAGCAGTTTAACCCTCTGGGCCACCAGGGGGTTATATACAAAACCATAATTTTGGCTCCCAAACCTGCCCTTGATTTATACACCATTGATTCAGTGAGTCTACTCAGAACTAGCAAATGCATTTGCAACATCGTTTATGTGCCAATATAGCTTGGTCCAAAGTGCCATCTTAAATGTCCCATTTCCAATAGGTTGTGACAAGCTTCCTTGCAACAAGCCATTGTATATGCGCTGGCCAGTGTTTACATATGTATCTTCTCTGAAGAGAGACCCAAAAAAACCCCCAGCAAAATGAGTTGGTTGTGGGGAGAGGGCTCTAACAGCACCATTACAACCTCACTGATCTATGTTGGCAAAAGTTTTCCTGGATAGCAATCCACTTTTTCAGATGCCCTGAAGAGACTGTCCTCCAAAGTGGATTAGCCCAGCCTGCCCTGCCAAAGCATCTCTGTTAAAAAGAGGAAAGGAAACAGAACCACGTGTTTTGTTGCATTCATTTCAGATTAGTCTGTGGCTTCCATTTCTTAATTCATAAATTCAGCTTCCAGAACTTGCCATTACCATCCGTCCCAGTTTCATTTTTAAAAACAAGATTAACCTTTTCAATGTTGTCCAAAACCAAAGTCTAATTGAGGCGGGGGCCATGCCAAATGAGTCTTGACGCTTGTCTCTGTCTGGCTCTTTTGGCCGCCGCCTTTGCAAAATGCCCAGGGATGGGTGCGCCTCTGGGGCTATGACCAGACAGGGAGCCTGGTTGAGCAACCCTTCTTCCAAATGCACAACAGTTGTTCTTTTCTCTTCTCCTGGTCTGATATAGCCTTCCCTTTGCCCTGCTGCTCTTCTACTTCCAAAGCTTCATACTTTGGCAAATAAAGGACACTTGTGGAATTTGTGGAGCAATCAGAAAGAAGCAGAGATTGTCTTCCTTGCATTGGGGAAGCAAGTGGTTGCCTTGGTGGGACTGCATTACTCCAGGTAATGCATGCAAGTTTGGTCCAGATCCATCATCGTTTGGGTTCATAGTGCACTCTGGATATAGGTGAACTACAACTTCTATGAATCCCTCCAAAAACCTCCAGTATGTTTTGTTGGCCATGGGAGTTTATTGTGCCAAGTTAGTTCCAGGTGCATCATTGGTGGAGTTCAGAGTGCTCTTAGATTGCATGTGAACTATATATCCCAGTTCTTACAACTCCTATAAATCATGGTGAATTCTCCCCAAACCTCTCTAGTATGTTCAGTTGCTGATCAATTCCTCTGTTTGCTGTGTGCCATAGAAAAGAATAGGAAAGGGTTACGGGAGAGGCAGTGGGCGGGGTCATCAAAATTCCACACCAATGGAGAGAGTTAGATACACTGAGATGTCTGTGGTGGAGGAAACACATAAAATCTAAGATGAAATGGTCCTCGTATGAAAGATTTCACTTGGGTAGTGGGCAGTATGGTGTGTGTGGAGGACATTGGCAGGGCTCTTGGACATGTTCACGGCGCTCGCTATAACCTGCAATGTCATTGGGAGGGAAGGCCTTTGGTGTTTCCTGAGTAGTGGGAGCTATAGCTGTTTGTGGAGGCAAGAGCTTGTCTGTGTAAGTGGACACCCCAGCCACAGACACACACATTTTTACTTTTATTATGTGCATAGATATCAAATGAAGCTGTGGAGAGGCAACCAGCTTTGAAAAGTATGTTCAGTCTCTGGTGTTGTTAAGCCATTTCTTTCCAACATCAAATTAAAAACTTATTTTAGGTAGAGTGGCAAAATATCATCCATTTGGAGGCACTAGTCCTTGTTGGCATGGTACATTAGTCCTCTTACAATTATTATCATTTCATGTCTCTGAGTAAATCACCTGTCCTGATTTCTAGGTTAATGGTTGTTATATCTCTGGGAACTCCATGTTCACCTCTATAGAATTTGACAGAGCAGTACTTAATATTTTCAGACTACAGCATAGAAAGTATCTGTAAATGGGGAGTTTTCAAAGTGTTGGCTTTCTACAGAGTCGTAGTCACGTAATGCTCCAGCATTGAAAATGTGGGAACCACGTCTGCTTCAGAGAATGTTCTTGCCTCTCTCAGAAACCTTGTGGCTCCTTCACAGGTATAAACATGATCTGTATGGGAGCTCAGTCACACTTTTTAAATGCTCACTGCCTTCTCTTTATCCCCACACCCACCCCAAGTTTGTTCTTTGTGTAGCTGTGCATCAGGCCTTTCTCTGAATGAGAGAGGCAGCAGGATAACAAAATGCTTCCACTGGGCAAAATGGGATTGACTTGAGAGTGACCCCTCTGAGGGCATCCCAACCTCCATTAATTGCGGAAAGCTGGTCATAGAATCATAGAGTTGGAAGAGACCTCGTGGGTCATCCAGTCCAACCTATTGGCTTTTTTAGCTGCTGCATGACATTGTTGGCTCATGTTCACCTTCCTGTCCACAAGGACTCCAAGATCTTTTTCACACGTACTGCTCTCGATCCAGGCATCGTCTCCCGTTCTGTATCTTTGCATTTCATTTTTTCTGCCAAAGTGGAGTATCTTGCATTTGTCCCTATTGAACTTCATTTTGTTGGTTTTGACCAATCATTTCTCTAATCTGTGAAGATAGTATTGAATTCTGCTCCTATCTTCTGGGGTATTAGCTCTCTTTCTCCCAAATTCTGATATAGCAGTGATAGGAAATGTCATGCCAGGGATTGGCTGTGTGGAACTGGTGGCCCCTAATATGTGGACTCCAGCACCCATCACTCTTAGGATCCTACTTGGGTCTGATGGAACATAGGTGTAAACTCCAGTTTTGATTTAACAACAAACGTCACAACTTGTCTTCTTTTACTTTCAGATAGGTAGCCTTCCTTATTTTCTGGGGTTAGGGGCACAGGGCCGTCACAAAAGTGGATGAACCACAAATTAAAGCAAAAATGGTCTGAGATAACACCTATCTAGGAATCTCTGGGTCCCCAAGCATGACTCTGTGGTCAGCATTAATACTAGAGGTGTTATCTCCTGGAATCTTTAGGTCTTCCAATGTGACTCAATGGTCAACTTTCAAGAATCTCTAGGCCCTCACACTGGACCTTGAAAATCCTAGAAAGAGCATGTTAATCAAATCAGTTTATAATTTGATCCATAAAAGTCAGACCTACAAATGTGGAGAAGTAAAAACCTCTATTGCCTTTCATTGGTATGACCAATGGCTGTCAAAAATCCTTGCCCTTAATTTTGTTGATTCATTAGCACCCCCTTTTTTACTGTGAGGATACTTGGCTGAAGTTCTCCTCTGACAATCCGACTCCCCTCAGGGAGATAGGTCGGGATATAAATAAAGTCTCATTACTATTATACTGACTTTTATATTGCAGAATGCTTAGATGACTATGTCACTCAAGGGATTCTGGCAGGAAGAGCTTGTGATATCATTGGACCCAAGGGAGTAAATCCTCAACAGATGTTTTTCCACCTACCAAACTGTTAAATGTACCTGAATGTTGTTGAACATCACAGGTTGGCCAGTTTTGAAAAAAGTGGACAATCTTGTGGTTTTGGCTTTGACTGCCTTCAAAACTTCCCAACAGTATTTGGCTCTAAACAAACTTAGGAAAGAATACCTTCCAGCAGTGGTTCCCAACCTTTTTTTGACCAGGGACCACCTGACCAGAGGCCACCTTGACCAGGGACCACTTTCCCCAGGGACCACCTTGATCAGGGACAACTCTCCAACATTAGTACCAAAAGAATTATGAATCGGTTTTTGGTCAACTATAGATTTGGTTTGGTTATTTGGGGTGCTGATAGACCACATCTGCTCTAGTTTCTGATACAGAGCATATGCCATCCAGTAGTCGCCATCTGCTCACTCACAGAAAACCATATTTAATAAGCCTCTGAGGGTTTCATGAGACCAATCACTCTCATTGTAACTGTGTAGTAATGATGAGGCCGTGGACCATATTTTAGTTCTTGCGAACTACTGGTGGTCCACTACTCCCTTACAAGGTTGACCACTAGAATGATATTTTTAAATGGTTTAATATCTTGACATGATTAAAATATTTGAAACATGATAGGGTTTCACAAAACGTGCTATGTTTTTCAAGTGTCAGCACCAGGCACAGGAACTAAGAAGTGGATTTTCTCCTTTGATGCCCATCAGGCCAAAGCCTGGGTGAGATTCGGAAGGCCTGGAGGGAAAGAAACAAACATAAGCATTACTTTTCTTCAAAGGATATGCCAGTTGTGAAGATGCTGCTGATTAAAGAAATAAATGAGTGTTTGTGCCTTAAAGTCACACGTCTAGTTATGCTGAACCCCTGGATTTTTTTTTTCCGTGTCAGGCGCGACTTGAGAAACTGCAAGTTGCTTCTGGTGTGAGAGAGTTGGCTGTCTGCAAGGACGTTACCCAGGGGATGCCCAGATGTTTTCATGTTTTATCATCCTTGTGGGAGGCTTCTCTCATGCCTCTGTAATGGGGAGCTGGAGCTGATAGAGGGAGCTCTCCCCAGATTCGAACCTGCGACCTGTCAGTCTTCAGTCCTGCCAGTGCAAGGTTTTACAGGGTTTTGTTTTAAGAAACCCTATATTTCCTAAAACACTACTCCGTTCCTTCATCTGAAATATAGGCTACTGCAACTGTAGGTAGGATTAATCCAAGCAATGCTATAGGTCACCATGTTTCCATCTGCACCAATTACACATGGATAGGTACAAACAGGAGAGAGACTAGTTAGGAGGAGTTAAAATTAACCTTCATCCCCACTATTATGTGAGTGCAATGGGGTGTACTGGCATGATTTCAGTTGCTAAACGAGAACTAGAAAACCCAGACTGAAAGAATTCTTGCTTGTAACCTCTGGCTTTTTTTATTACAAAAGGACAATTTGGAAGCAATGGACCCTCGACACCTTCGGATCAAAGAGATGGAAGCGAAGGCAATTAGAAAGGCCTGCTGTGCCTTATCCCTTGCGCCCAGGTCTCCCCATGGCTGGGGAAGCGAATGCCGTGGCCGCATGGGGAGTTCACTGAAAGCAGGGGAGAGAAGACCTCTAGCAACTGCCACGGTCTCTTAAAAGGATTACGGCACGCACACGAAGGTGCAGCCTCAGACTCCTTAAACACACACGGCATGCGCCGGAGGACAATAACCAAGGCGGTCTAGTCTCTGGGGTGCTCTTCTCCCCCCTTTAAGCCCTTGAAAAAATAAAGGGAGGCCTGAAGCCACATATTCCTTGCATCGAGAAGATACAGAAAAGCCGTAAAGCTGCTCACAATACCACTGAGCGGATTGTCTGCGGCTGGAAGTGTGAGTTAAGAGCAGCTTCGGAGATGCCAGACAGCTCAGCTGATAGGAACGCCGTCATATTTGAGGGCTTGCTTCCATCAAGAGAGGGCTTACTGCAGGCGGTATAGGAAAACCCTATGTTTTCCATTACAAGGGAAAAGTATCAGGGCAAGAAATGTGGGATCCCTTTAACCCCTCTTTCTGCAGCTTACTTTAAAAAAAGGTGTTTGAAGCCTCCTGTCTATACCTCACCCTTTCACTTTGTGTTACTCCTATGGGGTGAAGTCTAAGGCTTTTTCGACTATGTAAGAAATTAAACCATGCAAAGTGAAGGTAAAGATTTCCCCTTGACATTAAGTCTAGTTGTGTCTGACTCTGGGGGGTGGTGCTCATCTCCATTTCTAAGCCGAAGAGCCGGCGTTGTCCGTAGACACCTCCTAGGTCATGTGGCCAGCATGACTGCATGAAGCACCTTTACCTTCCCAGAGTGTTTTCCGAATGAAGCAGAGAGTGTTTGAGGACTGGGATATCRGTAGGGTTATCAAGGTGCTTGTTTATAAAGCTATTGTCCTCCCAATCCTGCTATATGGCTGCGAGARGTGGAATATCTACAGCAGGGGTCTTCAAACTAAGGCCCGGGGGTCGGATGCGGCCCTTCAAGGTCATTTACCTGGTCCTCGCTCAGGGTCAACCTAAGTCTGAAACATCTTGAAAGCACACAACAACAACAACAACAACAACAACAACAGTCCTATCTCATCAGCCAAAAGCAGGTCTACACTTCCCATTGAAATACTAATAAGTTTATATTTGTTAAAATTGTTCTTCGTTTTAATTATTGTATTGCTTTTAAGTGTTTTTTGCACTACAAATAAGATATGTACAGTGTGCATAGGAATTCATTCATGTTGTTTTTCAAATTATAATCTGGCCCTCCAACAGTTTCAGGGACTGTGCCCTGGCCCTCTGTTTAAAAAGTTTGAGGACCTCTGATCTACAGACATCACATGCAACTCCTGGAACGATTCCATCAGCGCTGCCTCCGAAAAATCCTGCAAATCTCTTGGGAAGACAGGCGGACAAATGTCAGCGTGCTGGAAGAAGCAAAGACCACCAGCACTGAAGCAATGGTCCTCCGCCATCAATTCCGCTGGACTGGCCACGTTGTCCAGATGCCTGACCACCATCTCCCAAAGCAGTTGCTCTACTCCAAACTTAACAATGGAAAACAGAATGTTGGTGGGCAGGAAAGGAGATTTAAAGATGGGCTCAAAGCCAACCTTAAAAACTCTGGCATAGACACTGAGAACTGGGAAGCCCTGGCCCTTGAGCGCTCCAGCTGGAGGTCAGCTGTGATCAGCAGTGCTGTAGAATTTGAGGAGGCACGAATGGATGGTGAAAGAGAGAAACGAGTCAAGAGGAAGGTGCGTCAATCCAACCCCGATGGGGACCGCCTTCCACTTGGAAACCGATGCCCTCACTGCGGGAGAACATGTGGATCAAGAATAGGGCTCCACAGTCACCTATGGACCCACCGCCAGTACACTGATCTTGGACGACAATCCTACTCGGACAACAAGGGATCGCCTAAGCAAGGAAGTAAGTTTACCTTCCCGCAGAAGCGGTACCTATTGATCTACTCACATTTGAACTGTTGGGCTGACAGAAGCTGGGGCTAACAGCGGGAGCTCACTTTGGTCCCCCAATTCGAACTGCCAACCTTTTGGTCAGCAAATTCAGTATCTCAGCGGTTTAACACACTGCACCACCAAAGGGCCTGTATTAAACCATGTATTAGGCATTCAAAACACACATGGACAAAGGGATACAGAGATCGTTAACACTTCCAAAGGCTCAAAACACAACCAGGGTCATCGGTCAAAAATGGCCATTCTTTTAGGAAACCTTATGATTTTGAATGTTTAATGGACAAGCGGCGGGCACCCTGAACAATTCCTACGCACTTCTTTCTTCTAAGCAGGGAGTCTAATGGAGGCCCTGTTGATGGATGTATGTGCACTGGACCCTCTCCTGCTCCATTAGCAATCAATTCCTGATCAATACTGAAAAAGCTTTTATCTGTTTCCGTCAACTGGATGTTGCCATGACCTTTCCTGAAAGCGCGATGTGTCAGATGGGGCCAAGGTTCAGGCTGACCCCATCTGACCTGTCAATAAGCAGACGCGCTTGATAGCCCAACAGCCCAGTTTGCTTCCTGTTTGCAATTTCACAAGGCAGACAAGCAGCGTCTTTATTACTTGAATCTATTGTTAGTTAACCACAAATCTAATGAAGCTTTACAGAAATGATGCACAAAGAGCTTGGAAAGAGTTACAAGTAATGTAGTTACCTTGAGTCAGAGAGCTTTCTGGAGGTGCATTTTAAAAGAAATGTATTGACTTACATTGTATTAAGTGAAAACAGGTAACTGAAAGTGATGAAAAGGTAATGATCATTAACAGCAAACCCTGCAAGGAATTACAGGAAGTCTCCAAGTTACAAACATGCAACTTACAAATGACTCAGTGTTAAAAACAGGCTGAGACAACAGGAAGTGAGAGAAATCTGTTGTTGAAGGCTTTCATGGCCAGAATCATTTAGTTGCTGTAAATTTTCTGGGCTGTCTTGCCATGTTCCAGAAGCATTCCCTCCTGACATTTCACCCACATCTATGGCAGGCATCTTCAGAGATTGTGAGGTCTGTTGGAAACTAGGAAATTGGGTTTATATCTGTGGAATAATGTCCAGAGTGGGAGAAAGAACTTTTATCTGTTTGAGGCAGGTGTGAAAGTTGCAATTGGCCAGCTTGATTAGCATGGAAAAGACTTGCAGCTTCAAAATCTGGCTGCTTCCTGCTTGGGGGAATCCTTTGTTGGGTGGTGTTAGCTGGCCTTCATTGTTTCCTGTCTGGAATTCCTCTGTTTTCTGAGAGTTGTTCTTTATTTACTGTCATGATTTTAGAGTTTTTAATACCGGTAGCCAGATTTTATTTATTTTCATGGTTTTCTCCTTTCTGTTGAAATTGTCCACATGCTTGTGGATTTCAGTAGTCTGACATGATGGTTGTCAAAGTGGTCCAGTATTTCTGTGTTCTCAAATAATATGCTATGTCCAGGTTGGTTCACTAGGTGCTTTGCTATGGCTGACTTGAATTAATCTACAGTGCCTTTTGTGTTCCTTGATTCGGGCAATGCGGCTGTATTTGGTGGTACCTATGTAGACTTTGCCACAGCTGCATGGTATATCGTAGACTCCTGCAGGAGATAATGCTTCTGGAACATAGCCATACAGCACGGAAAACTCACAGCAACCCTGAGAGTAAACTGTCCCTAGGAAGGGAAATCCACTCCTGGAAGAGTTATCATCATGGGGGGAAAGGGTCTCCACTGAAGCTTTCTCCCCAGTCCTTGTTTCCATAACAAGCCAAACATTTTAAATTCTTACAGGTGAAATCTTCTGAACAGGAGCATAGGCAGCAAAGGAAACATCACAGGGGTGTTTATCCTTCTCTATGCCATTCAAACCTATGTATATGTCTGGATTTACACTTCAAAAATCATAGAATCATTGAAGAGACCTCATGGACCATCCAGTCCAACTCCCTGCCAAGTAGCAGGAAAACCACATTCAAAGCACCCCTAACAGATGGCCATCCAGCCTCAGCTTAAAAGCCTCCACAGAAGGAGCCTCCGCCACACTCCAGGACAGTGAGTTCCACTGCTGAACAGCTCTCACAGTCAGGAAATTCTTCCTAATGTTTGGGTGGAATCTCCTTTCCTGTAGTTTGAAGCCATTGTTTCGCATCCTAGTCTCCAGGGCAGCAGAAAACTGAGAGGAGACGCGATGAGGGCTATGGATCAAAAGATGAGGGGAAGTCCTCCCTATGACTTCTCCTCACCTCTTGATCCATAGCCCTCATCGTGTCTCCTCTCAGCCTTCTTTTCTGCAGGCTAAACATGCCCAGCTCTTTAAGCTGTTCCTCATAGGGCTTGTTCTCCAAACCCTTAATCATTTGATTCGCCTTCCTCTGGACACATTCCTCACAACCTCTGAGGATGCTTGCCACAGATGCAGGAGAAACATCAGGAGAGAATGCTTCTAGAACATGGCCATACAGCCCAAAAAACCTACAACAACCCAGACATTCCAGCTTGTCAGCATCTCTCTTGTTCTTGTCCCGACTTCAACTTAAGGACAAACCTACAGAACCTATCTTGTTTGTGACTTGTGGGCTGCCTGTACTGTTTAAACACAGTAACTATTATTTCCCTTGGAAACATGCAAGTTCTCAAGCTCTGGATAGAAAAGCTTAAAGTCACGTTTCCTTCATTCTTAACCCAAGGACAAAGTGAGAGGGTGCCCAAGATGAGAGGCGCATCCTCCTCTGGGTTAGGACTGCCTTTTCAATGGAAAGGAGGAACTCATTCAAGAAAGCAAACAAGCAAGCAACCCTAGCGGATATTACCTGTTTGAGCCCGGCAACAGGACGACGCAAAGCGTGTGGTTTGGCAAGCGCTGGAAAAGCTTTTTGATTTTGCGATCCAATGCTTTCATTTGTTTTTGAACTTCTTGCTCCTGTGTGGGTATAACACGAAAACAAATCAGGAGGGAAAAAGCAAACCACCGACTAGAATACAATCTGAAGTGTTGGAGATACAGCAGCTGCATTGGCTTTTAGACACCAATATGAAACTATTTTGGGCTACAATTCCCCAAATCCTGCATGAGGCCATGTTGGTGTTTGAGACCTGGAGCCTGAAATGGATCAAAGACATCCCAGGTGATCCAGTGCTCTGCTTCTTAAACTGTGGGTCCTGACCCCAAATTGGGCACCTTCTATGTCATCAACCTGCTGGACTGGCTATGTTGTCTGAATGCCCGATCACCAAAGCAGTTACTATACTCCCAACGCAAGAACGGAAAAAGGAATGTTGGTGTACAGGAAAAGAGAATTAAAGATGGGCTTAAAGCTAGCCTTAAAATCTGTAGCATGGGCATAGAGAACTGGGAAGCCCTGGCCCTTGAGCACAATAACTGGAGGTCAGCTGTGACCAGCACTGCTGCAGAATTCAAAGAGACACGAATGGAGGGTGAAAGGGAGAAACGTGCCAAGAGGGAAGCTGCATCAAGCCAACCCTGACTGGGACCACCTTCCACCTGGAAACTGATGTCCTCACTGTGGAAGAACATGCGGGTCAAGAATAGGGCTCCACAGTCACCTACAATACACCGTCAAGACCAGGGCTGTAGCCAGAAAAAAATTTCGGGAGGGGTTGAAATTTTCGGGGGGGGGGTTGAAAATTTTGCGCGGGGGGCGTTTGAAACCTGCCTCCTAGCTCACGCTGAAGCAAAGAGCACAGCAGGGGGCAGAGCAGCCTTCAATAGCCTGCAGCTCCGCCCTGTCAACCACCTCCACCAAGTCTGGCCTCCTTAATGAGAGCATTCAACACCCCCCCCCCCAACTTGGTTGCTTCGCTACATCGGCTATTGCTGCAAGTAATGACAGTGTGAATAAATTGTCAATATTTGCTTGAGATAGTGCTTGCAGTTCTGGAGGGACTCTTAATTTTTTTGCGTCTCATAGACTTAGCATGGGGATTTGGTTAACTAATTAAAATTCATGAGTAAACCAGGTTTTTTTTAACCTGAAAAATTTGGGGGGGGGGTGAACCCCTAACCCCCCCCCGCTACAGGCCTGGTCAAGACACTGCACTTGGAAGGCCATCATATTCAGACAACGAGGGATCCCCTAAATAAGTAAGTACCCTTAGTTTAATGTTGCAAAAAAATTGGCAAAAAATATTTTAAAAAATATTTTAAAAAAATATTTACTGTATGGTACATGAATTGGTTAGCAAAAATGTGCAGACTCTGAAGAAAATGCTTCAGCTGTACTTCATAAAAAATCAGGTTGATTTTATCAGTAAATGTTTGATTTTTATTCCTGCAGTTGGGGAAAACTTCCTTGGGTGGAAAAGTTAAGAAAAGTGATCTAGTGAACTTCAGAGGAATAGAGGATGCCTGTCACAAATCTCACCAAGGCAAAAGATGGCTGGGCTTCCTGCAGATGAGCCTCAAGGCCTGACGGTGGTTCTGCTAACTTGCTGCCCGTTGCACTGATATGCAATGCCCACTGGTGCAAGTGGGGAGGGGTCAGGGCCCACCGGCCCCGGAGGTCGCTGCCTTGGGCCTCATGTTCCTCTATGGCTGTAAGCGCATTGGCAGCACTTTGTGGCGTCTTGAATTCTAAGGAAGAACAAAATAAACAAATGGCCTGGAAATTGCTTCCTCCATAGCACTCGAACAAAAAGCAAAACTAGACTTCTGATCAGAAATGATGCTTCACTCTTGCTTCATTTTCTTGTTTGTGCCCACAAGTGTTAAGTGTGTGCATGTATACATACATAGACATACATACATAATACATACATACATACACCCCCATATAATAATAATAATAATAATAATAATAATAATAATAATAATAATAGTAATAATAATAATGACATGGTATGAGGATTTAATGATTGAACCACAAAGACTCTGGCACAAACCAGTAAAGGTGGTCCCAGTGGTGATTGGCACACTGGGTGCAGTGCCTAAATACCTTGGCCTGCACTTAAACACAAGCTGCAAAAGGCCTCCTTACTGGGATCTGCAGGTATTATTCGCTGATACATCACACAGTCCTAGACACTTGGGAAGTGTCCGACGTGTGATCCAACACAACAGCCAGCAGAGTGTCTGCTGTGGACTCATCTTGTTGTGTTTCAAATAATAATAATAATAATAATAATAATAATAATAACAGCAACAACTTTATTTTATATCCTGCCACCACTTGAGGTGGCTTACAAGCGGGACCAAGCCCAATAACAACAAAGTTAGACAAATAAAGCACACTAAAAACAATAAACATATGACAATTTAATTGCACAGTTTAAACGGTAAAATATAAAAATATCATTAAAATAAATCAAAGTATGTATAGTAATAATAATAATAATAATAACAACTTTATTTTTCTACCCTATGGAGACAACTACCATAAGACATGGTCAAACTGTAAATACAACAAGGGAATGGGATTGTGCAAATTGTAGCTAAGGAACAAGGGCATGGGATAAAAGTGCAGTGCTGTGTCATTGATTGCACACCATGGGGCTAGACCAGTGGTTCCCAACCTGTGGTTCATGGACCACCAGTGGTCCGCAAGAACTAAAATATGGTCCATGGCCTAACTGTTAGAGCGACTGGTTTCATGAAACCCTTTTATCATGTTGAGGCTCATTAAATATGGTTTTCTGTGGGCAAGCAGATGGTGACTACGGGATGGCATATGCTCTGTATCAGAAACTGGAGCTGATATGGTCTATCCAATGCAATTTTCTGAATCAGCACCCCAAATAACCAAACTGAATCTAAAGTTGACCAAAAACTGATGCGTAACCCTTTTGGTACTAATGTTGGAGAGTGGTACCTGGTCAAAGTAAGGTTGGGAACCACTGGACTAGATGTTCTCAAAGGCTTGTTTAAACACTCAAGTCTTCAGATCCCTATTGAAGGAGGACAGTGTGGGACCGTGCCAAATCTCCTTGGAGAGGGTGTGCCAAAGCCAGGGGGGCACCACCGAGAAGGCCCTCTCCTTCGTCCCCAACAACCACACTTGTGACCGGTAGTGGGACCAAGAGGAGGGCCTCCCTGGCAGATCTTAACACTCACGCAGCTACATAGGGGTGGGGGAAAAATAGGGTTACGAAGACAGGCCCTTGATATATGCTGGGGTTTATTTCCAGGAACCCTTCCCAGATTTCTTTTTAATGCTATAAATATTTAATTCTATCTTAATGTTTGTATAACATTAAGCCACATATTGGTATTATTGTGAATCCCTTTGGGTCTCTTTTTATTTATTTATTTATTATTTATTTACAGCTTTTATATTCCGCCCTTCTCACCCCGCAGGGGACTCAGGGCGGATTACAGTAAACACATATATGGCAAACATTCAATGCCAGTTTGACAAATAACGTTTAACAGACAAATACACCGAGGCTATTTAACTTTTTTCTGGCCGCCAGGGGAGCTGCTGCTTTTCATCGTCCATCAACGACACCGATGAAGTTCTTCCGCATTCCACATTCCCCGGAGTCTTTTTTCTTTATGGCCTCATAAATTAGTTAAATTTAGCCTCCCACACAAGGTGGTACCTTATTTTCCTACTTGACAGATGCAACTGTCTTTCGGGTTGCAAAGGTCGACAACGGGCTACACAATGGCTGGACACCCACTCCAGCCCGGGCTGGCTTCAAACTCATGACCTTTTGGTCAGAGTGATCTTAATGCAGCTGACACTCAGCCAGCTGCGCCACAATCCCGGTGCTTTTTGGAGAGCAAAAGCAGTATACAAATAACAACAACAACAGTATACCAAAATTTGTAGATGCTCAGATTCCACTACATCCTATGGTTAAATGGCATTCCTAATATAAAATGCCAAAAATGAGTTTTTTTAATGGGAGTGGGAATATTTTCAAGTTGTGGATAGTTGAATTGGTGGATACAGAATCCATGGATTTGGAGATCCAGCTTTACAGGGCATAAGAATCAAACCAGGGTTCCTAGCTTCATGATCCAATTTCTAACATTGCTTTTGTGCTTGGCTTTCCAAGCACTTTGCACCTCTTGTTCATACTGTACTTACTCAGAAAACAGTAATTTCGACTTTTGCCCGTTCTGGGATCCCTTGGCAGAAAAACAGATGCTAAGTCTTTCAAATAACCCAACTCTTGCTGCAGATCTGCCTCCCGCTGAGTCTTCCTCAGTCCTGTCAAGTAAATGACACTTTCATTGTCCGCATCTTTCTCCAGCTCTTTCAGAAGCATCTCACAATCCAAGGTGCTCTCCGTGACGGGTCTCTGAACCTGGAGGAATCAAACAGAAACAGGCCACATCCAAGGATCTTCATATAGAGCAGCTTCCTAAGAGTCCATCCCATTAGAAGTTGCAAGGGAAGCTACAACTTCCAACAGGACATGTGAAGATTGGAAAGCAGGACACAAAATCCCTGAGAGGCATTGAAAAGAGGAGAATTTACAGGTATACCTCCATTCATGAAGCAGACATTACTTCTTAAACAGGAAATGAATACCAGAGGTAGAAATAGCATGAAAGGAGCATGAATAAGAAGATCAACTTAACATATTTCAGAAAACATCTTATCCAAAGTGAAGACATGCACGTGTGAAATGAAACGTCCAGGCCAAATAAGTGTTGGATATGTAAACAAAATTAATTTTTAACATTTTAGAATCCAACTAAAAAATTCGGAATGCACCCATAGGTGACTTTTGTTTTCATTGTTGCTCTTATGAGTTAAATTTGAATGGGACTTAAAGATCTATCTATCTATCTATCTATCTATCTATCTATCTATCTATCTATCATCTATCTATCTATCTATCTATCTATCTATCTATCATGTTGTTGAAGGCTTTCATGGCTGGAATCACATTTTGTTATCCATGTCAGGAGCAACTTGAGAAACTGCAAGTCGCTTCTGATGTGAGAGAATTGGCCATCTGCAAGGATGTTGCTCAGGGGTGCCCGGGTGTTTTGATGTTCTACCATCCTTGTGGGAGGCTTCTCTCATGTCCCTGCATGAGGAGCTGGAGCTGATAGAGAGAGCTCATCCGCCTCTCCCCGGATTCGAACCTGCGACCTGTCGGTCTTCAGTCATGCCGGCACAGGGGTTTAACCCACTGCGCCACCGGGGGTTCCAATTTGCACCCTGCCTTTCTTGAAGGAAGCTTAAGGTGGTGTTACAGGGTTCTCGTCCTCTTCACTTTGTCTTCACAACCCTGTGAGGTAGGTCAGCCTCAGAGAGAGTTTGTTGTTTTGCTGTTCTGTGCCTTCAAATCTGTTCCAACTTATGGTGACCCTAAGTCAAACGTATTATGGATTTTTAAAAGCAAAATGTGCCTAGACAGGAGGGCATCCCGTCTCAGGCCAGCCACAGGAAGAAAGGGCAGGCAAACCAAAGGTTCTGGAATGAAGCAACTGAGTCAGATGAAGCAGGGCAGGATGACTGCTTGTAAAGACAGGAGAGAAGTTAGCAGTGTACTCAGCATCACTGTCCTTGGAGCATCAGCCCTGGCCTTGTCTTACTCAACTGTTGAGTATGCCTGCCCTGTCTGGCATAAATATGCCTATATGAAGCAGGTGAATATAGCACTAAATGAGACATGTAGAATAATCACACAATGTCTCAAACCTACACCTCTTGATAGACTTTATAAGCTAGCTGTCATTCCCCCCCCCCAAAAAAGTGTGACTGCAAGTTGCTGCCAAGTGCGAGATAAATAAGGTTGAAAACTGAAAGCCACCCACTATATGTCTAGCAGCCTTCTCCTGCTTCTTCCTCTCCAAGGAAAAGTTTCATGAGAACCACAACTCCTCTAAATGTTCCTTCAGCAACAGCAAGAATATCCCTGTGGGCAGCAAAATCAGGCAATTTTAACTGGATCCCCCCCCCCCCCCCCCCCCCCCCCCCCAACGAGGCTCTTCCTCCAGCATGAATGGGCAATTTGGAAGCCCCTGAACAGACTCAGAAGTGAATTGGGAAGATCAAAAGACAACCTGGCAAAATGGCACAACCTAGAAGAATCCTCCACCTTGTGCAACTGTGGAGCAGAACAAACAACTCCACACCTGTATGCTTGCCCACAATGCCCTGCCTCATGCACAGAGGAAGAACTGTTTAAAGCTACAGACAATGCAGTTGCTGTTGCCCATTTTTGGTCTAAAGCTATCTAGCAGCTTGTGATCCCTTTATTTTATCAGTTTTAAATAAACTATATTTTATGCAATGCTTTTGACACGAAATAAATAAAAAGCTGCTGCATACACAAAAGCGGCATAAAAGTTTTACCTTGACTGGAGAGCCACCAATTTCTGCCCCGTTTAGACTCTCCACAGCAAGCTGAGCAGCTTCTAGGACGTCATACTGGATACAGATGTGTGGCTTTGGAAAAGAAAAGGTTGTTTTGCTCAGGAAATTGTAGTCTCCAAAGTAACCTTTCTATGTTCTGGGGAAGGCAGCAATACAGTGCTCCAAAGCCCAAAATGAAGAAAGAAAGGCTAGAAAGAGGCTGAGAGTCTTGCAGAGTCTACTTTTGTCCCGCTGTTTACCTCCGATGTGTCTGGAACGATCCTTATTGACTGAATGTGGCCATACTTCTTAAAGATTTTCTTCAGAGGCTTCAGACATATGTCTTTACCAAATGGGCCTGCATAGATTGTCTGCAGGTTGGCCAGCTTGGTCCTCATCTAAGGAAAGAAATACAGAGGATGGAAGGAGGGAAGCTTTCTGTTGTGACTACTTGTTAAAAACCAACCAACTAAACCATCCCACTTGGCCTCAGAAATCCTTTCCGGCCTACAATTAATCACCCAGAGCTACTTGGAGGTCCCAAACTATCTTCTATCCACCTGAAGTATATGGTAGTATAGATTCTAGTATATGGTAGCATAGGGACTGTAAGGATCATCTTGTCCAAATCTGACCATGCAAAATTACAGAAGTATAGGATAAGCGTTCCTAATCTGGGAAATATGAAATGGTCGCCATCACATGCTCCCACCTGGAGGGAGACACGAGGTTGGAGAGAGATATGAGGATCTATGAAATGGCAGGAAGGAGAATCCATAAAAATGGCAGGAGGCATGGATACCGAAGATATTTCATTATGTATATGCAAATATTCCAAATCTGAAAACAGATTGAACAGGTGACCAAGCATGTAGAAAGAGGACATACAGTAGTAATGGGCAGGGTCAGCCCTAGGTAATTTTCAAGTGTAAACAAACAGTATTCCCCCCCCCCCCCCCCCGCAAGCCACTCCAGCTACATCTCCCGGCGGCACCTCGAGATCTTCACTGCCCCACCCGCCCAGGCCCCAGCCATTGCCAATAACAGCAGCAGCAATGCCTCATCCACCGCCTCAGCCACAGCCACCGCCGGCCAGGCCCGCAGTCCCAAGCCCCCAACTCCACCCCCACGGCTTCCTCTGGTGGCGACTTCTACCTGCATTGCCTGGGAAAGAATGGCCGCTGCAGCTGCCCTGAGTGTGAGTAGGAAGGAAGGAGGACAGGTTCGTGTGTTTCTGTGTGTCAGGAAGGGAGGGAGGCACAGGGGCACACGTGAGGGAGGGATGGATGCCAGACCCGCCCCCTCCTGCCCCCATGCCCCTGAGGCCTCTCTGGAGGCTTCCTGAAGAGAGCCTCCTCTCGTGCAAAAGGAGGCGTGGAGGGCAGTCACAGCAGCCCAGGCCTCCCTCCTCCATGCTCCTTCCTTCTTTTTTCACCGGGGGCACCTCAAGAGCACCCCTCGGGGATTCACGCTATATGCAAATGCGTATCTTGCCTATTGCTTCAGCCGCCCCTGGTAGTGGGAGATTTCAACTGTTCTGATATTTGTTGGAAAATAAGCTCTGCTAAGAATATAAAGTTCAATGAATTCCTCACTTGCCTTGAAGACAGTTCGATTGTTCAGAAGGTGAAAGAGGCAACAAAGGGATCTGTTATTTTAGACCTGACCCTCGCCAACACAGTTTACCTCTGAACTTACTTTTGCAATGAGGTCAGATGTATCATGCCTTGAATCCAGACCAAACTGAATCACACTGAAGGAGGATGTGGGCACCTCTTCCAAGGCTCTTTGGAGAATCTAAATCAGGACAACATTAAATATGAAACATCCAAGGTCAGGTATTGTTGTATCCTTCTACTAAACATCAAGATCCTTGGAAAACTACAGTCAACATGGGGTTGTAAGGAGCCTTGGAACAACAATTAGGTCGAAACACAGAAGCCAATAACGCAGATCACTGGTTTTTCTCCTTGACCTGGAAGCTTTTTGAAGGCTTTGAGGTCAGGAAGAAGCAAGGGACAGCCAGGCAGGGAAGAGTCATTATAGAGCCAAAGAAAAGTTTTACTGTGCAAAGCTTTAACATATAGGCTTCTTTCTGGAAGTGTTACTGATGGTTTGGTTTAGGCCATGGGGCCAAATGTTGTCCACGCCTGCCATGTTGGATCCACCTTAGAAAGATTTTAGGCAATTTCCACCTGCAACTTGTGCAAAGAGTCCTCCAAATATACAAAAACAATAACTACAATCCATTTCTATGGCAGAGACTCTTAGGCCTAAAATTACAAGTTAATGGTGTTTTGAGTTTCATTGTGGAAGCAGGAAGAAGGAATAAATAGTAAAGGAATGTCAAGTAAAGACATACTGAAACAATTTCTCACTGTCCATGCAATGAAATTGTATTTTAAAAACTTTGAAATTCACCATAATATCTCAATTTATTCTCAACTATCACTAAAACACAGGATATTATCAAAACGTGGCAATACATAAAACTCATATTTCAATAATACAAACTGTTTGCGTTACAACAGAACTAGAGTGCACTGTAGTGCAGTAGTAGGCCTAAATTAAGGCATAACATAAAATAACATATAAGTATTTAATGCAGTGGTTCCCAATCTTTTTTTGACCGGGACCACATTGACCAGGGATCACTATCCAATATTAGTACTAAAAGGGTTACAAAACGGTTTTTGGTCAACTTTAGATTTGGTTTGGTTATTTGGGGTGCTGATTCAAAAAATGCATTGGATAGACCACATCAGCTCTAGTTTCTGATACAGAACATATGCCACCCAGTAGTCGCCATCTCCTTGCCCACAGAAAACCATATTTAATAAGCCAGTTGCTCTCATTATAACAAGGTAGTAATGGTGAGGCTGCGGGTCAAATCAATGAGGTTAGGAACCACTGATTTAATGAGATGCCTATGGTTGCACGGTGGCAAATTCAACTTGGCAAATTTCCATTCAAAATGTAATTTCTAGCTTTCTTATTTTTATTCTCTTTTTTGTTTCTTATTATTTAATTTTATTCATTTTTTATTCATTTTACACTACTTTCCTGGAGTGGCTGCAGAGCCCCTGGGAAGAGCAAGCGGAGCCTTAGGGCTCCATGGAGAACAGGTTGGGAACCACTGCCTTAGAGCTGCCCTCCCCTTCCAAATACTTCCAGAGAAACTCGTCTCTGGTCCCTGTGCAGCTCCTCATTCCTCACCTGGATGGCTGTAGGGCAGTGGGAGGCAGCTTGGTGCCACCCTACTATTTGGGGCTACAGCTCCCACCAGTACCATGAGGGCCAGGGCTTGACCCTCAGGGATACTGCTAGTATTTACTTCCCTAAATGAGCTCTTTGTGTTGCTGTGAGTTTTCAGAGCTGTATGGCCATGTTCCAGAAGCATTCTCTCCTGACGTGGCCATACAGCCCGGAAAACTCACAGCAACCCACTAATTTCAGCCATGAAAGCCTTTGATAACACAATGAGCTCTTTGTGCTTCCTTTGGGAAGTGCTGAGGCCGTGTGCCTCTCAGGTTCTTCAGATGGAATCTGCGATAGGAAAATCATGAAGCCCCGGAGGGATGCATGCAACTCACTTGCTTATTTTGAGGCCCTGTTTGAGTCTGACCGTTGCTGGAAGCAGCTTCAGCCCATCCTCCGAGAAGCAAGGCTTTCTGACCCACAAAGTGCAAGATGTCTAGAAGGCTAAGAAACAAAAAGGAAAGTGGAATCGCTTTTTAAAAGATGCTGCATTTAACACTGATTACTCTTCATGGATGCTACCAAATACTTCACACACAAAAACATTTCAGAGCTTGGGGAGGTGTTATATACAAAGGCACTGCAGGAGGCGTGGATAATAAGCATTTTGCCCACAAGATATTTTCCTACAAGGAGAACTCAGAACTGCAAAGGCTATTTACCTTTGGGTGGGTTTCTGGACCCCATTTTGGGGGTTTGGCAAGGCACAGCTCTGTTCCTCTCCTATCTTTCTTGTCTCAAGCAACTGGGCTTCCAGGTTCATCTCTGCTACCTGGCAGGAAATCAATAGGTGTTACCAGAATGTTCTTCTCTCTGAAAGTCAAGTTGCAGAGTCAGAGTTCTGCTGGGAAAATGCCCAGGTTCCCTACAATTAGTACACAGAGGCATGCTGTCCCACACATTGGGAGTTAGCACACAGCCATCTTAACTGGATATTGCAGTGTTTGGAAATGTTACTACAATGTTCTGGGCTAAAAATCCCCAGAATTGTAATTGGAAAGTAGCTCCTAGAATTGTAAAAGTCCTGGTGGTGGGAACATTCTGCCTGGCTATGGGATTGGGCCTTTGCAGACTAGGCTGACCTGCTAACAAAACGATGGCTTTAATGGACTTGACAGACTGCTTTTAGAATGATGACTTAAACCGGCGACTGTTTGAATGTTTTTATACTGTTTTTATACTGTTTTTATTTAAATTCATCTATGCTGATGATCATGCCATTACCGCTCAAGCAGGGAGCTTTGAGATGGTTGAACAGAAGCTCTCCGAAGCTCTAGGTGCTCTCACTGCCTATTACAGGGAAAACCAACTGATCCCTAATCCATCTAAAACACAGACATGTGCCTTTCACCTTAAGAACAGACAAGCATCCCGAGCTCTGAGGATTACCTGGGAAGGAATCCCACTGGAGCATTGCAGCGCACCCAAATACCTGGGAGTCACTCTGGACCGTGCTCTGACCTACAAGAAGCACTGCCTGAACATCAAGCAAAAAGTGGGTGCTAGAAACAATATCACACGAAAGCTGACTGCACAACCTGGGGATCACAACCAGACACAGTGAAGACATCTGCCCTTGCGCTATGCTACTCTGCTGCTGAGTACGCATGCCAGTGTGGAACACATCTCACCACACTAAAACAGTGGATGTGGCTCTTAATGAGACATGCCGCATTATCACAGTGTGTCTGCGCCCTACACCACTGGAGAAATTACACTGCTTAGCCGGTATTGCACCACCTGACATCCGCCGGGAAGTAGCAACCAATAGTGAAAGGACCAAGGCAGAGACATCTCCAGCTCATCCCTTGTTTGGGTATCAGCCAGCACGTCAATGACTTAAATCAAGAAATAGGTTTCTTAGATCTACAGAGACACTCGCTGGAACACCTCAGCAAGCGAGAGTTCAAAAGTGGCAGGCTCAAACCCAGCACCTCAATCCGTGGGTGATACCAGATGAGAGACTCCCCCCCTGGGCACACAGAAGACTGGGCGACTTGGAAGGCGCTGAACAGACTGCGCTCTGGCACCACGAGATGCAGAGCCAATCTTAAGAAATGGGGCTACAAAGTGGAATCCTCGACATGCGAGTGCGGAGAAGAGCAAACCACTGACCACCTGCTGCAATGCAACCTGAGCCCTGCCACATGCACCATGGAGGACCTTCTTGCGGCAACACCAGAGGCACTCCAAGTGGCCAGATACTGGTCAAAGGACATTTAACCAACTACCACATTTCCAAAATCTGTGTGGTTTTTTTTAAATCTGTGTGTTTGTTTTGTTCTGTTAGAAATGTAATACAGTGGTCTGGTTGCGGATGACACGATAAATAAATAAATAAAATATTTAAATTGTATATTTATGCTTTTGTTTGCGGGTCCCTCTGCGGAGGTCGAGATAGGACGGGATACAAATGTCCAAAATAATAAATAAATAATCATAACCCTCCATATACTGAACCAATGCCTATTTTTCCTGTGTCTCCACTTTCTAACTCTCTTTGTCCTGTCTTCATTGGTCCGAACTTTAGATTGCAAGTGTCATGAGGCAGAAGCTTGTTATCAACTTGTCCCTCTGTAAACCTCCACTGGCTTTGCATAAATAGATAAATAGAGAAGGAAAAGGCCTATTTGCTTCCATCAATGCAAATGGAGCCTCTGGAGGCGCAACGGGTTCAACCCTTATGTCAGGAGGATGGCCGACTGAAAGGTTGGAAGTTCGAATCCGGGGAGAGCTTCCATCTGTCAGCTCCAGCTTCTCATGTGGGGACATGAGAGAAGCCTCCCACAGGAGGGTAAAATATCCGGGCATCCCCTGGGTTATGTCCTTGCAGGGGGCCAATTCTCTCACACCAGAAGCAACTTGCACAAAATAGCAATTTGCAGAAAAATACGGCAACAGTACAATAGTTTCCTGCTTCAAGGGGCCTATAGCTTAATGAAGAGAGAGGGGAAACTCAGGTTTTGGGGTCAAATCCAGCCCTACTACTATCTGAACTACCTTTCATTGATACGTTCCCAGCAGTTGTTGTTCTCTTGTCTTATTGCCTCTCCTAAATCTCAGTGACTGAAAGAAAGACCTTTATGCTAAAATATTTTGGCCTTTTTGGCCCCAGCTCTTTATCTTTGCCTTTTCCTCAACCACAATAGTGAACTCTTCCACTGATGAGGCCACAATTCCAATTGCAAATAGAAAACAAACATGTAAAACGTGTACAAGATAAGCAGTGGCACATGCCTTTCTGGGTCCCTGGTTAATGAAATACTGGGCCAATTCCAGCGCACAAAGAGCATCTTCTGTTGGATCATGACCTGTTCCATCCATGCGTTGAATGTCTTTCCTATAAGGTAGATAAACAAAACACACAGGTAGATTGCAGGTGAACTATATATCCCAGAACCTACGTACAACTCCTATAAATCATGGTGAATTCTCCCAAAACCTCTCTAGTATGTTCAGTTGCTGATCAATTCCTCTGTTTGCTATGTGCCATAGAAAAGAATAGGAAAGAGTTAAGGGAGAGGCAGTGGGCGGGGTCATGCAAATTCCACACCAAAGGAAAGTCAGAAACATTGGGATGTCTATGGTGGAGGAAACACATAAAATCTAGGATGAAATCGTCCCTGTATGAAAGCCTTCACTTGGGTGGTGGGAAGTATGGTGTTTGTGGAGGACATTGGCAGGGCTCGTGGACATGTTTATGGCACTCTCTATAACCTGCAATATCGATGGCGGGAGGGCCATTGGTGTTTCCTGAGCAGTGGAAACTATAGCTATTTGTGGAAGTGGGAGCCACACACAAACATACATATTTTCACTTTAATTGTGTGTATAGAAGATTGATTTGAGGACACAAAATAATTTCAGAGGGGAAAAAAGCAGTCTTACCCTAAAACAGCCTCTGCTAAGAATTTGAGCTTGAACTTTTTGTTCCGTTTCCTGGCAAAAAGAACAGAGGTGTCTATAACATTTGGATGCACCATCTGGAAGAGGTGAAAAGGACATTAGAAAAGGTTTTTGAACAAGGTATTTACTTGCAAGGTGTGATTTTAAGGCTGCATCAAGCCTGCAAACTGGTTTGACCAGACTTAATCCATGGAACTTTCTTGGTTCCTTTAGGAATTGTGGTTGAAAAGATAACTTTTAACATTGCAATGCTATGGGAGTTACTTCACCTCCTTCCTAAAAAAAGTATTCTTGGCTCATTTACAGCATCCATCCAGTCCAAATTATTATGTCACAGGAGGGAGAAAATCCCACAATAACTCTTGTAGTAAAAATACAAGTCAAATAACCATAAATTCACTATTCTTTCGAGACACCTCAGGTTTGCTGCATGAGGAGCCTACCCCTTCTGCCAAATGGGAAGGCCAACATTTGTAGATCGATAAAGTGGGATAAGTAAAGGTAAAGGTTTCCCCTTGACATTAAGTCTAGTCGTGTCCGACTCTGGGGGGTGGTGGTCATCTCCATTTCTAAGCTGAAGAGCCGGCATTGTCCATAGACACCTCCAAGGTCATGTGGTCGGCATGACCGCATGAAGCGCCGTTACCTTCCCGCCAAAGTGATCTACTCACATTTGAATATTTTCGAACTGCTAGACTGGCAGAAACTGGAGCTAACAGTGGGAGCTCACTCCATTCCCCGGATTCGAACTGCCGACTTTTAGGTCAGCAAGTTTAGGATCTCAGCAGTTTAACCTGCTGCACCACCGGGGGCTCCGGTTGAAAGTGGGATCCCAAGAATAAAAACAACAACAACAACAACAAGTGGAAACAATTAACAAGTGGTACCCAAGCCAAGCTCTATCCATTCCATAATACTGCTTGATCATCTAGTTTCATATACTTAAAAAAAAAAATCACTGCTGACTCTTAGTTTTGTTGTGCGATGCTTCTAGTAAGCCTTTATTGATTTATGGTTTGCATTTTATATTTTAAATGCTTTGCCCTCTGCCCAGATTTATTTGTTGCCTGGTGGTTTAAAAGTACAACTGATCAATAAAGCTGACCTGCTGCCAACAAAACAGGAAATGGAGAGCAAGAGAGCCCCTCTCCGAGGCCACAGCCCCACATTTTTATTTTGCTCCCGCCATCCTTTGAGTGAGAGGCTCAGTCCCTTGAGAAAGAAGCGCCACTAAATGGTTCTACTCACTTCTAGGGCCCGAAGGTCAAAATTCAAGGAGTGGCCCACTAAAACCGCATCAGCAGGGAGCAGATTCTTTAATTGGTCCTGGATGTCAGAGAGGGTCGTCACAACTGGGAGAAGCAGCTTCTCGGTGATGCCAGAGTAGCTTCAAAATAGAACAAATCATTCAAGGCCTTGAGAAATCAAGTATTTTCAAGAGTGGGTAATGCTAGCAGAGTCAGATCTGGGCTGGCTGTTGACATACCATTTGGAGATAAGTCACTAAATTTCCTTTCATTTTTGACCACAGGTTAATTCTCTGCTATGACATGGTTCTGATCCACCTGGAGCCTCCTATAGATATCCTCCTATAGGTATTTCATCCATCCATTTTTTTGCTAATGAGCTCAAGCCATACATGATTCCAGTTATTCATACCGTATATACTCCACTATAAGTTTTTCGACCCTTTTTAGGCTGAAAAAACCTCCCTCGGTTTAAACTTGAGTCAGTTATTTATTAATTTACTTTGTTATTATTATTATTATTATATTTACTTTATTTACTCTATTATTATTATATTACATTTATTATTTTACTCTTATTTATTACCGCTTTGAGTCCCGCTAGGGGTGAGAAAAGCGGTATAGAAATACTGTAAATAAATAATAATAAATATTATTATTACATTTATTATTTTACTCTATTATTATTATTACATTTATTATTTTACTCTATTTATTACTACTCTATTATTTTGCTCTATTATTATTATTGTTATATTTTTTTACTCTCTTATTATTACATTTATTATTTTACTCTATTATTATTATTACATTTACATTATTTTACTCTATTATTATTATTTTATTACATTTATTATTTTACTCTATTGTTATTATTAAATTCATTATTTTACTGTTATCACTGTTATTATTACATTTCTATTATTTTATTCTATTGTTATTATTTTATTACATTTATTGTTTTACTTTTTTATTACTGTTGTTATTACATTTCCATTATTTAACTCTATTATTATTACTTATTATATTTATTATTTTGTTGTTGTTGTTGTTCATTCGTTCAGTCGTCTCCGACTCTTCGTGACCTCATGGACCAGCCTACGCCAGAGCTCCCTGTCGGCCGTTACCACCCCCAGCTCCCTCAAGGTCAGTCCAGTCACTTCAAGGATGCCATCCATCCATCTTGCTCTATTATTATTGGAAGGATACATAAGCACATTTACACGGAAGATTAGAATAATGGTTTAATCAGAATTGGGCAGTCTTATCTTAAATTACAGTATTATATAAATATTCAAAAACATTTACCCTACTGATGCCTCAATTAATCTAATTTTATGTAACTACAGTTGGGGTCCCCTGGGCAACATTTCTTATAAACGGCTAATCTTTCCAAGCCCAAAAGCATTGCTTTTAAACATTTTAAATTGGTATCTATTTTTATTTTGAAATTTACCAGTAGCTGCTGCATTTCCTGCCCTCGGCTTATACTCGAGTCAATACGTTTTGCTATTTTTTTTGTGGTAAAATTAGGTGCTTATATTGGCTTATATTCGGGTCGGCTTATACTCAAGTATATACGGTAACTTCACTCCTCTCTCTATCCTCATAAAAACCCTATGAAGTACTATATATTCATGTTTAACTTGACCTCATGTATAAGTTGAGGGCAAGCTGCAGTCAGTTTTTTAAGATCAACTTTTAGACTAAATTGTTTAGACTTATACCCAAGTATATATGGTAGATCAAGGTGATAGAAACAGATAGATCATCTCAAAAATATTGTGTGGCGTAGAAGTTCGGGATTAGCATCAGCATCTTACAAAACCCTGTCCAACATTTTGAGCACAGCATTAGACTTGCTATTTATACAAAGCTTAAAGCCAGCAGGGACTCATCCGCTCACCCCTTCATTAAGTGTGGATGGGCTCATTTTGGGAGGGCAAATTTTGGGAGGAGAAGTGTTTTTGAAACTCTTCTGAACTCAGGCAGTGCTTAGGTGCTTTTTTCCCCAAAGAAAACATGTATAAGTAAAATACCTGGTGAGATAATTTATTATTGGTAATTTGGGTTTGACGAGTTCATCCAGAATGCACTGGCCACTGGCGTCCACCACTGAGATCCGTGTGAGTTCGGACCCCTTTTCAGTGAGACACTGAGGATGAAAGAGTAGAAACAGAGAAAGGTTCAACAGGGGCCATGTCAAGCAGGGAGGTTTTCACCAACTTCTCACCTCCAATATCCCAGTATCTCATCCTATCTCGTAGCTACAAATCTATATGCATTGACCATTTGCACAGGGATTGTTTTCATTAATCACTTTCTTGAGTACTCAGCGGTGCCTGGGTTATTTCAAAAAGGCATTGGTTGTTTTGGGGTGTTAGGTAATATCAATTAGTGTTCTGCATGCCATATATGATCCAGGTCCACTATCGAAGGGGATCACAGTCCTCTGCCTTGATGCAGGATGAACTATAACTTCCATCCTGTTGAGTCAGTCCTCCAAATCCTTCCAGTCTGTTCAGTTCCTCCTTGTTTGCTGTGTGCCGTAGGAAAGGGCAGGAAAGGGTTAAGGGAGAGGCAGAGGGTGGGAATCATTAAAATTCCACACCAATGGATAGAGAAAGGAACCCTGGGATGCTTGCTTGTGGTAGATGAAACACGTGAAATGGTCCCCAAATGAAATGTGGTGGGCCATAGTGTTTGGGGAGGACACTGGCAGGGTTTGGCCTACATATTCATGGTGTTCGCCCTAACCTGCAATGTCAGTGGAGGGAGTGTCTTTGGAGACTTCTCAACACTTGGAATGATAACCTGTTTGTGGAGGCCTGAGGTTGTCTGTGTATGTGGACACCTCCGCCGCATACACACATTTTATACTTTTTATGTGTATAGATTTATAGTATTTATAGTTAACTTTATAGCTTGTAAGGAACCACAAAATGCCTTACATTTCTTTTTTGAAAATGAAATATAGAGGAAAAGACAAGCCCTGCTCCCAGGCTTGCAAACCAAGGTGTGGCAAGCCTCAGAGCAAATGAAGTTGGATGTTCTTCGGGACTGCCATCTTAGCATAACTACTCAAAACAGAAGCAATTCAAAGAGAAGAGGAATCAAAGATGGCTGATCTATTAACCAAGCTAACATGAGTGTTCTGGCTTGGATAGCCTTGTGAAACAGATGCTGAATGGGTCCAGCCTTCTGTGTTTCTGATAAGGGTAGGCAAAAGGCTAATGCAGGGTGTGATGCCCCGTTTCTTTCTACATAACTATTTTTAACTATGTTGTGCCCTATCTCTAGTCATGAGGAGAGATGGAAAATAAATAAAAAATCATAATTATGATGATGTAGAAAGCAATGTGAAAGTTTTTTGTGCAACATCCCCTTTTTTAACGTACCATTTCGCAGTCCAGACCAAAGAGGGGGCTGCTGTCTGTTATAGGACCCTTGCAGGGAGTGCGAACAAAATGGATGAAGTCATCGTGCCCTGGAAGAGAAAAAGAAAATATAGCGTGAGAGCCATCGTGACTGAAGGGCTCAGAAACTAGACATGTGCATTTGGGGAAAACCTTGTCCTGTTTCGCGTCCTGGCTTTCATTGGATGCCCCGATCCATTTTTTGTAAGCCTCCCAAAATTGGGAGGGTTGTTTCAGGTTTTTCGTTTTGGGGCTCAAAACTCAGACCATTGCTCTTCATACCCTTTGAAGATTTCCACTCTCAAATCATGAGGACTTGCAGATTAATCTTCACCAACTATGAAGAAATCTACCTTCTATGGGGTAATCATGAAGATGCATCTCCTTTGGTGTTAAAATGTAACCAGAGAGCCCACGACACTCGTTTCCATATTTCTGAATGACGGGATCTTTCTCCAAATCTGAAATCCAAAAGGTAATTATTGTAAATATTTCTACTATATTTTTCTCCCAGGAACTTTTCTGCCCATCTTCAAAGAACTCAGAATGGCAAATGGAGAATGAAGGCAGGAAAACAATAGGTGAAAAAGTCCTACTTTTATAAGCCGATACTAATACTATAACATATACATATTTATGATAATGATCAACAGGGACCTGCTTGAAAGTCTTTATGTCTCTGTATTCACTTTATTTTTCAAAACTGCTGGATTCCTCCAAAGAACAAACTTGCTATCCCTTTGGAAAGTTTGAGAAAACAAAGTAAGATTTAAAAAACAATAGGACCCAGTGATCAAATTGCTAAATTATAAGTCAATACTTATGTAAACACCATTCATTCAATGGATCTGCCCTATCTGGGACTAAATAGTAAGATTCCCACCAACAACTTCAGCTATATGGTCAGCTTATCTAAGTGTATGATCACAAGACATATTCATTCAGACACATAGATCAACCCAGGACTGGAGGATGCATAAATTATATTTAAGAACACATAATAAATATAATATTGATATTACCAAGGCTGCTGATCTGCCGATGGTTCTTTTTCCCTGCTCCACAAAGCCTTTCCATAAAATCACCTGATGCAGGTGGTAGAGAGAAATGCTATTAAAAGACACAGGACTTGTGTTTAATAAAATATGTCATGTGGCAAAGAAAAGCAGAATGCACAATGGAGTAATGATTTATCCTATAGTCCTTCCAATAAGCTGTATATATATTGTGATGTGAGAAAGGGCTTCTTTTCTCTTGGACAGAATGCAGGATGTCCTCAACTGGTAAGTCTCCTGACATCAATAGAAAGCAACACCAAAGTCTTTGGCTGCTTTATTCATACTATATTTGAGGAAAGCGTGATGCTTTATACTCATCTGACCCAGTATTCTCTGCCCTGCCTGGCAGAAGGGATCCAGACAGAAACAACATTTTCCTATTGCCTTCTGATCACTAAATACTACAGGAAGAAGCAGTGGGGTCTTTGGCATGCAAGTTATTACATAAAGAAATAACTGTCTTTGTGGTTTGTCTTATGCTAATTGTTTATCTCTTGGTCTTAGTGTCCCTCATCTGTAAAAACAGAATATGAAAGGGCTTGTCTCCAAAGATGTCTTCTAAACCATTTGGGAAGTTTAATGGCAGAATTCCTAGCTGTTGCTTTTCTATTATTATTATTTATTATTTATTATTATTATTATTATTATTATTATTATTAACTTTATTTGTACCCCGCTAGCATCTCCCGAAGGACTCGATGCGGCTTACACAGGCCGAAGCCACAGAACACAATATAATAGAAACAGACATCACAAAAGCAAAACAAATCAAACAATAGCAAAATAACAACAATAGCAGTACATCAAGACATTATTAAAACTGGTTCGGCCGGTGCGCTGGGTACAAGGGATTAAAAGTGCTGAAATGGCAGGAGGCACGTAGGATTTCAAGTGCGGTGTGCAGTAACGATTTGTTATGCTAAGGTGCTATTTGGACTTGGGTGGGGATTCCTAATCTGAGAAGGCACAACGGAACAGCCAAGTTTTTAAATTCCTTCTGAAGATGGCTAGAGTAGGGGCCTGTCTGAGATCTTTTGGGAGGGCGTTCCAAAGTCGGGGGGCCGCCACAGAAAAGGCCCTGTCCCGTGTCCCCACCAAGCGCACTTGCGACATAGGTGGGATCACGAGCAGGGCCTCTCCAGATGACCGGAGCGAGCGTGTGGGTTCGTAGATAGTGATGCGGTCACGCAGGTAAGGTGGTCCCAAACCGTTTAGGGCTTTGTAGGTAAGCACCTGTACCTTGAATTAGGCTCGGAAAATAAACGGCAGCCAGTGGAGCTCCTTAAACAGAGGGGTAGACCTCTCTTGATAATGAGCCCCAGTTAGCATCCTGGCAGCTGCCCGCTGGACCAATTGAAGTTTCCGAGCCGTCTTCAAGGGCAGCCCCACGTAGAGCGCATTGCAGTAATCCATTCTAGAGGTGACCAAGGCGTGGACCACCCCGGCCAGATCAGCCTTCACGAGGTATGGTCGCAGTTGGCGCACAAGTCTCAGTTGCGCAAAGGCCCTCCCGGATACCGCCGACACCTGAGCCTCAAGTGTAAGCGAAGAATCCAAGAGGACACCCAAACTGCGGACCTGTGGCTTTAGGGGGAGTGTAACCCCGTCCAACACAGGTGACCACCCTATACCCCGATCCGGTTTACGATCGACCAGGAGGACCTCTGTCTTATCGGGATTGATCTTCAGCTTGTTCCTCCTCATCCAGATCGACACAGCGGCCAGGCACTCTTCCAGCACCCGAGAGGCCTCCTTGGAATTAGGTGGAAAGGAGTAGTAGAGTTGTGTGTCATCCGCATAGAGATGGCACCCAACTCCAAAACTCCGGATGACCTCTCCCAGCGGTTTCATGTAGATGTTAAAAAGCATGGGAGACAGAATAGAGCCTTGCGGGACCCCACAGGTCAAAGGCCAGGGGTCCGAGCAGGCGTCTCCCAGCTTCACCATCTGGGTTCGTCCCTCCAGGAAGGACCGGAGCCACGACAAAACCGTGCCCCCGAGGCCCATCCCAGAGAGACGACCCAGAAGGATACCATGATCGATGGTATCGAAAGCCGCTGAGATGTCCAAGAGAACCAACAGAGTCACACTCCCCCTGTCCAGCTCTCTACGGAGGTCATCCACCAAGGCGACCAAGGCTGTCTCGGTGCCGTGACCAGGCCTGAAACCAGACTGTGACTGATCTAGGTAGTTGGTATCGTCAAGGAAACCCTGGAGCTGAGAGGCGACCACCCTCTCCAGCACCTTACCCAAAAAGGGGAGGTTGGAGATCAGCCTGTAGTTATTCAGCACCGTGGAGTCAAGGGAAGCTTTTTTGATAAGTGGGCGAACCACGGCCTGCTTCAAATTAGATGGAAAAATTCCTTGCTCCAACGATGCATTAATAATCATTACAAACCAGTCAAGCAACCCCCCTCTGGCTGATTTAATGAGCCAAGATGGGCATGGGTCTAGAGATGAGGTGGTCGCCCTCACAGCCCCAAGAATCTCCTCCACGGTTTCAGGAAGAACAAGCCTAAAAGAATCCCACAATATTAGATAAGCAGGTGCCTCCGTCACCTCTCCTGGCACTGCGATGGAATTGGAGTCGAGCTCGAGACGTATCTGGGCGACTTTATCTGCAAAATGGTGTGCGAAATCGCGACACCGAGCTGCGGGGTCGTCAGGGACCTCCTCCACCGTAGGTGGGTGGAGGAGTTCTCCCACGACCCGAAACAGCTCAGATGATCTATTTGCTGCAGATGCTATACGAGCGGTCGTGAATGATTTCCTGGCCACCCGTATAGCCACAGAATATGCCTTAAGAGAGGCTCTAGCCCGTGTTCGATCAGACACATCTCGAGATTTCCTCCATTTGCGCTCTAGCCCCCTTCTCGTATGCTTCATCACGGCCAGCTCCTCGGTAATGCTTGGCATTGAATTGTTGCCTGTTTGGAAGCCATTCTGAGTCCCTCCTCGGAGATCGAGAAGGACGGGGTATAAATGCCTGAAATAAACAAATAAAGTAATTCAGATCATTATATATCCAGCCCACATCAGTATGTGGGGTGGGGGACATAATTAACACATTTTAAAGCCATTTGAATCTGGCTCCAGTACATCCCACCTACTCTTTTGAACACGTTTGCAGCAAATGGATGTCCAGTTTCGAGCAAAAAAGGAGGGAGGAAAGTAATACAGACAGTCCCCAAGTTACACACATCTAACTTACAAATAACTCAGAGTTAAGAACAGGGGTGAAACAACAGGAAGTGAGAGAAATCTACTCCTTGGAAGGGAAATCCCCCCCTGAAAGAGTTATTATCATGGGGAAAAGGGGTCTCCACTGAAGCTTTATCTCCAGTCCTTGTTTCCAAAACAAACTAATTTTTCCAAAATCCAATGATCACAGGGACAGAAAGTGAGGCGAAATCTTCTAAACAGGGGTACAGGCAGCAAAACAAACACCACAGCATCTTAGCCCTTCCCTATGCTATCCAAAGCATTCATTTATCAGTATCTACATGCGTGTATGTATGTGTGTGTGTGTGTGTGTGTGTGTGTGTGTGTGTATATATATAAACCCTTGTGTCAGCTCAACTGCTGACCAAAAGGTCAGCGGTTCAAATCCAGCTAGCAGGATGAGCTCCTATCTGTCAGCTTCAGCTTCCCATGTGGGGACATGAGAGAAGCCTCCCTCGGGTAAGACATCTGGGCATCCCCTTGGGAACGTCCTTGCAGACGGCCAATTCTCTCACACCAGAAGCGACTTGCAGTTTCTCAAGTTTCTCCTGACACACACACAAAATCTATATGGCTGGAGTTACACTTAAAAAACATACCTGTTCCAACTTAAATACAACTTCAACATAAGAACAAAACTACAGAACCTATCTTGTTTGTAACTTGGGAACTGCCTTTAGATTGAACAAGCCAAGTTCAGTTGGAAAGCCGGAGTTGACAGAAAATAGATCTCCATGTGACTTGCAGCGGATCAGCAAGGCTTCTGCGCATTATAACTGTCTAACAATACAAAACTTCCCTTATTCCCAGAATTAGATTGCTCAAAAAGAATACAGGGAAGAAAGCCAAGAGAATTCTTTTGCTGAACTTTTGCTTAGTGTTATTTTCTTTAGGTCTACTTCTCATTTAGGCTCTGACTCTGGGAGTCTAGTTAAAAAAAAACTCATAAAAAACAAAACTGTGCACAGATCTCATAAAGCTGAGGTCTGCTCACAATTACAAAGAGCGCAGCATAACTACTCTTCGAAATTATAGCTCCCAAGATCCTAGTTGAGGGATAATGTGTTTAAGAGTACAAAAGAGCAACCTTTTCATGTTTAGACTTATTTTATTTTTTATTTTTTTATTTTTATTGTAACTGTTTTCAAATTGGCATGTATTGGTTATAAGTAGTTCTAAAGGGTTTTAGTGTTAGGTCTACTCTGTCTTTGAATGTATGTGTCTTAATGGCATTTTAACAATGTCGTATCCCACTTCAAGCATCGAAGAGAAGTAGGTAACAAAAATATATATATTGTTATTATTGTGTTGTTGAAGGCTTTAAGGCAAGAATCACTGGATTGCTGTGAGTTTTCCAGGATGCATGACCATGTTCCAGAAGCATTTTCTCCTGATGTTTTGCCCACATCTATGGCAGGCATCCTCAGAGATTGTGAGGTCTGTTGGAAACCAGGCAAGTACGGTTTATATATCTGTGGAATGTCCAGGGTGGGAGAAAGAACTCGTCTGCTTGAGGCAAGTATGAATGTTGCAATAGGCCACCTTGATTAGCATTCAATGACCTTGCAGCTTCAAAGCCTGGCTGCTTCCTGCCTGAGGGAATCCTTTGTTGGAAGGTATTAGAAAGATGAAAGGCGCTGCAGACTAACTCAAATAGAGAAGCCAGCCATAGCAGAGCATGCTGGACCACTCTCACAACCACCATGTCAGACTACACGGAGAAGCCACTGAAATCCACAAGTATGTGGACAATTTCAACAAAAAGAAGGAAACCAATGAACAAAATCTGGATACCAGTATTAAAAAACCTCTGGAACCAGGACAGTAAATAAAAGAATAAACACTAAAAAACAGGGGAATTCCTGACAGGAAATAATCAGGACCAACTAGTACTTCCCAATTATAATATTATAATATAATAATATTATATTATAACATTACACTATAATTATAATATAATATTATAATGTAATGCAATATAATATTACTAATAATATGATATTATAATTATATATTTATATTACATGTAATATTACTAATAATACTACAATATAATGGTATAATACAATATAGTAATAATTAATACTGATATGGTACTATGCTAATAATATAATATATTGTATGTATATTTATCTTGTTAGTCACTCTGAGTCCCCTTCGGGGTGAGAAGGGCGGCATATAAATGTCGTAAATAAATTAAAAAAAAATAATCAAGCTGGCCAATTGCAACATTCACATTTGTCTCAAGCAGACAAGCGTTCTTTCTCTCACCTTGGACATTATTCCACAGATATATAAACCTCACTTGTCTAGTTTCCCACAGACATCACTACCACTGAGGATGCCTGCGATAGATTTGGGCAAAACGTCAGGAGAGAATGCTTCTGGAACATGGCCACACAGCTCGGAAAACTCACGGCAACCCATTTTCCACAATTCTTTATTCTTCATCCTGCAATTGTTACTTTAAAAGCAGGAAGGTGGGAGGGACTGATAATGTTTTTAGGGAAATTGTGGTGAGTAACACAGGTCCCCCTTGTGCGCACCGAGTGATCGCCTTAATGGCACCGACTTCTAGGCAGGAGTCAGAAAAAACTCAATATTGTGTCTCGCTGGCAGGAAGTGGCGGTGGGTCATTCTTGGAAAGTCCTGGATGTGCTTTAAATTAGAGACACATGTTTCCTGGCCACTGGAAACCCCCCCAAATACCACTGTTTTCAGGATTTACTCATTCAAAGCATCCTGCTAAGCGAAGGCTTGTAAAGGAGATGAAAACAGTGCCGGGAAAGTTAAGATTGCCTTCATTTGGAACAGAAAAAAACCAGTATTTCCAGAAGACAGAATGTACTGTTTGCATCCAAAAGCACCCCACAGCTAAAGGAAAACCACATCGGGGCTAAAACTATGTGGATGCCAAAAGCCTTGAAGAGGAAATTGCTAGGAAGAGCAGATAAAGAACCAATGCAGTGTGATGTGTAGTGATTACAGAGTGTTGAACTGGACTCAGGAATTAGTTTCTTCTTGTTGCCAAGTCATGAAAGTCAGGATACATCTACACTGTTGAATCAATGCAGTTTGACACAACTTTAAGTGCCACGGCTCAATGCCAGAAGACAATCTTTCATGTCCCTATCAGATATATTAGCATGGTTTGGGGCACCAAAAGGAAACTCTTCCCTGAAGATCCTCAAAGGTGGATTTGAGCTGCGTAAAATTGGGGATAGGGAAGCTGAATGTTTCTTGTGAATTGATTTACTTTTATGAGTGAACAGTTATGGACTCTGTATTGTCGAAGGCTTTCATGGCCAAAATCACTGGGTTGTTGTAGGTTTTTTCAGGCTATATGGCCATGTTCTAGAGGCATTCTCTCCTGACATTTCGCCTACATCTATGGCAAGCATCCTCAGAGGTAGTGAGGTCTGGATCATTAGATTTCAAAGCACATAGAGCAACATACAATATACACATATCTTATTTCTTCACATCTAAGATGCACTCTCCCCCTATATAAACATATCTAAAAATGGGATAAATCTTAGAATTACAGATGTTTGATATGTATTTTTATTGGTGGTGGTGGTGGTACTGAAATTAGGGAGTGTCTTACCATCAATGGTGACTTAGAGTTAAAGAAAGATGGCAATACATAGAATTAAAAATACAAAATAATCTTATGTGCAGACATAACTAGAGAATTATATTGAATCTTAGGGGTTTACCGTATATATTTGAGTATAATTTGACCCGAATATAAGCTGAGGCATCTAATTTTACCACAAAAACTGGGAAAACATATTTACTCAAGTATAAGCTGAGGGTAGGAAATGCAGCAGCTACTGGTAAATTTCAAAATAAAAATAGATACCAATAGAATTATATTAATTGAAGCATCCAGTAGGTTAAATGTTTCTGCTTATTTACATAAAACTGTAATTTAAGGTAAGACTGTCCAACTCTGATTAAACCATTGTTCTAACCTTCTTCAATATAGATGTGCTTACGTATCCTTCCAATAATAAGAGTAAAATAATAAATGTAATAATAATAGAATAAAATAATAAATGTAACCATAATCAAATACAATAATGAATGTAATAATAAGAATTGAGTAAAATAATAAATGCAATATGAGAATAAAATAATATATGTAATAATAACAAATAGAGAAAAATAAAAATATAAGAATAGTAATAGAGTAAAATAACAAATGTATTAATAATAGAATAAAATGATAAATGTATTAATAATAGAATAAAATAATAAATGCAATGATAACAAATAGAGAAAAATAGCAAATGTATTAATAATAGAATAAAATAATAAATGTAATAATAATTATAGAGTAAAATAATAAAGAACTTTGACTTGAATATAAGTCGAGGGGGGCTTTTTCAGCCAAAAAAGGGCTGAAAAACTCAGCTTATACTCAAGTACATACGGTACATAAGGCTTGCCTACTAATTGATTTATTCAACCTTGGCTGGGACTACAAATAGGAATCAGCCTATAATATTTATATTATCTTTGAAGTTTATGGCAGGTTAGGCAGGTTACAGGGAAAGCGTAGGAAAATGAAGTCTTTGGCACACATCTAAAATTTGGTTATTGCATGCCCAATTTCAGATGGAAAAGAATTCTGCACAGTAGGAGCCACAATACCCTGCTCCAAAGAACTGCGTTACAGACCTCCAAAGCAGTTGGCATCAAACAGGAGGGCTTTTCTAGTTGACATTGAGGGTTGAAAGGATCTATAAGATGGTCTCTCCCCCAATCCAACAAGAAGTGCTACGACATCATTGCATTCATTAACATTGCATGTGGATGGAGAGATCTGCCAGTATTACTAATTCAGATCATGGCTATCCCTCACCTTAGCTATTTTAGATCACAGAAAGAAACTTACATGTCTGAACATCCTTCTCAGAAACTTGAACTGTAAGTAGAACAGATAGAAATGGAGCTGACTCACTTCACGTAGAACCACGACCGACACACCAGACAAACGCCTGCGGTGATGAATTCGGCACCAACTGTATCACAGATTGAAAGAAACATATTTATTTAACAAAAGTACAAGTTGAGTATTCCTTATCTGAAATGCCTGGGACCAGAAATATTTAAGATTTTGGATATACATATAAAATGAGGTATCTTGGAAATGGACCCAAGTCTAAATCTGAAATTAATTTATGTTGCATGTACTCCTTATACACACAGATTGGAGGTAACTTTATGCATAATTGAAATATATATTTTGCATGAAGCAAAATGTGTGTATATTAAACTATCAGAAATAACACAAGTCACTATCTTGGCCACCCATACAGATAATTTTTATTTTTGGATTTTTTAAAGAATTCTGAATAAGGGATGATCAACCTGTAATTTATTGCTTTTCAGACCATATGGGCCCCTAGGATGATGCACAACGAAGAGGTAAAACACACCTTGAAACAAATATTTCACTTTTTAGAAAGAACATATGCACAGAAAAAGTTTCTAATTAGTATATTTGTAAAACAGAGGTGAAAATGATGCAGTCTTCTAGATGTTACTGGACTGTAACTCCCAGTGTTCTTCCCCATCTGCTATGTCAGTTAGGGTTGTTGGGAGTTGTAGTCCAGTAACAACTGTACTGCACAATTTAGATCATTCTGAAGTGACTCGATGAAAAGCCTAACATATTTTAAAGGCTGTGGAATCCATTCTTTCCCTCTGAAACCCACCAACTAGAGTGAAGTGCATAACGAAAAATGGGCAAATATTTAGGTTCACCTTCCCAAACTTGATTCCTTCCAGGTATGCTGGATTACAATTACTGTTGATATCTAAACCAGTATGGCCAGCCCTTCTTGGTTTATCTCAGTGCTCTGACCATATGGATCCATAGTAGAAGGTATTTAAAGCTCATTGGAAAATGTGAAAACAGCATCAAATAATTGGTTTTAACTGCAGGCCTATCTACATGGGCCAAATGAGGTGGGACAAGGGTGAATAGATTTTGTGATATCCTCATGACCCAAGGAACTGATTTGCTCTATGCTCCAGGGAAGGCCACTTAACATGGCCTTGTCACATGTTACTGAAAGTCAGGGACTGCCCTGAAACTTCCCCACACTTTGGGTATGTATTAATAGTTAGACCACTTCTGATTCAGAACTGTTTACATGGCCATCCTGCTTTGCCCGGGCTTGGACAGCCTGAGAACAGGAAATGGCTCTTAATATGATTATGATGATTATCTACCTCTCCTTGCAACTCGAGACGGGGTTCAACAGAGTTTAAACAGAAACGCAAAAACAAGACTATTTAGATACATATATCAGGATACACAGAGTGAAATGGAGATTAAAATTCACTGATAACATGAAAGTTAAAATTCACAAATTAAAATTGACTAGGTAGGTTTGATGGAAGAGACAGGCCTCCAGCTGAGTTTTAAGTTCTGACAGCTGACATGGAAAGTGAAAAAGGGGGCAATAGGTCCTTATCCATAGAGCTCTCCACTCTGAGTTGTGCCGGCACTTCAGCAAGCATCATCACTTGTAACAAGCCACAACAGTGGTTGCTGCTATGACAAGGATGAGACACGGATGGTAAAGGTGGCCATCCAGTGGTGCCAATCTAGGTTTGGTGTTGCTGGGAAATGCTGACTCCTTCTCATCACCAAGGCAGCACGGGGCCTGGCTGTACCGACACCCTCCCGCTGCCCATGCATATTCAACAATTGCCCGTGTGGATTTCCACAGCATTGATCCAGAGTGGCCCATGTAGACATGCCCTACATTCCCTTCCACTGAACGTGTAGGATGGGCTGCCTTACATGACAAAAACAGAAGGTCTACCTGGACTGTGTTGCTCTGTGTTGTTTCCCTAATGCAGCATATTTGAGGAATTCATACAGTTGGTCATAGCTGATTTTGCACTCTTCCCCAAACAATGCATCAGACAAGTGAGGTTTCTTCACCTGAGAAATAAGACACAAGGAATTCAGAGTTGTTTGTTTACACAGACCGTTTTAAGAATTGGAGCCACTGTGGCAAGTAATGAAATCCAGAAGGGGACAAGACACAAGGGCACCATGAGCAGGAGAAAGAGAGAGAGAGAGGCAGACAGGCAGCAAATGTGCCATATTTTAGTTATGCATAACTTAGCATTATTTGGAATCCATTTGCATCAACACATAAATGCCAAACAAATGCAGATGGGATGGTCTCTTGAAAAAATACAAGCAGTCCCCAAGTTACAAACAAGGTTCCGTAGGTTTGTTCTTAAGTTGAATTTATATTTAAGTTGGAACAGGTACATTTTTAAGTGTAACTCCAGTCTTACACACACACACACACACACACACACTTACATGCACATGCATGCATACTTTGTATAGCATAGATAAGGGTTATGGATTTCCTTTGCGGTCTGTGTCTGTTCAGGAGATTTCCTCTCACTTTCTGTCCCTGTGAGAAATGGATTTTCAAAAATTTGGCTTGTTGTGGAAACAAGGATTAGTGAGAAACCTTCAGTGGAGACAGATTTCTCCAGGATAATAATACTTTCAGGAGTGAATTTCCCTTCTGAGGGGTAGATTTCTCTCATTTCTTGTTGGCCCATCCCCATTTGTAACTATGAGTTGCTTGTAAGTTGGATGTTTGTAATTCGGGGACTGCCTGTATCAGTGTGAAATTAGCAAACTAACTGTGAGGGAGAAAACTGGCCTGTGAAAACCTGGGATTATTAATGGTGGGAAAGCATGTCAAAGTACACATAGTCACTTACTTTGCTCAGGGCTATAGCTTTCCACTCTTTCTGGTCAAGTCCATTCTCAACAACCTTCTTCTTCCTTTTAATCTTCTGGGGCTCTTCTTCATTCTCATTATCTTCACACTGTCTTTTGCTTTTAACAACTTGAGTTTCTGGAGTCATTATGTTTGTAAATACTGTTTAAAGTGGTTTAGCTGGAAAATAAAATAAAAGGAAAAGACAGGTCAGAAAGAAAAGAAAAGAAGGAAAAAAATCTGATAAACAAACAACATTTCTGCTCCATAATAGTTGTGGTGCATTTATATGATAGAATGAATACAGTTTGACACCACTTCAAATGCTAGGGCTCAAAGTACGCATGCCCAGTGTGGAAGACATCTCACCACACTAAAACAGTGGATGTGGCTCTTAATGAGACATGTCGCATTATCACGAGGTGTCTGCGCCCTACACCACTGGAGAAATTACACTGTTTAGCCGGTATTGCACCACCTGACATCCGCCGGGAAGTAGCAGCCAATAGTGAAAGGACCAAGGCAGAGACATCTCCAGCTCATCCCCTGTTTAAGTCAACGACTTAAATCAAGAAATAGCTTTCTAAGATCTACAGAGACACTCGCTGGAACACCTCAGCAAGCAAGAGTCCAAAAGTGGCAGGCTCAACCCAGCACCTCAATCCGGCTGATACCAAATGAGAGACTCCCCCCTGGGCACACAGAAGACTGGGCGACTTGGAAGGCGCTGAACAGACTGCGCTCTGGCACCACGAGATGCAGAGCCAACCTTAAGAAATGGGGCTACAAAGTGGAATCCACAACATGCGAGTGTGGAGAAGAGCAAACTACAGACCACCTGCTGCAATGCAACCTGAGCCCTGCCACATGCACAATGGAGGACCTCCTTGTGGCAACACCAGAGGCACTCCAAGTGGCCAGATACTGGTCAAAGGACATTTAATCAACTACCAAGTTTACAAAATTTGTGCTTTTTTAAAATCTGTTTGTTTGTTTTGTTCTGTTAGAAATGTAATACAATGGTATGGTTGCTGATGACACGACAAATAAATAAATGAATTGTCGTTCCATAATCTTCTCAACAAACTTCAGCTCTCAGTATAAGATAGCACTGAGCCGGGGCAGTTAAAATGGTGTCAAACTGCATTAATTCTGTAGTGTAAATGCACCCCTTAGCTCTCCATTGGTGTGGAATTTGCATGACCCCGCTCACTGCTTCTCCCTTAACCCTTTCCTATTTTTTCTATGGCACACAGAAAACAGAGGAACTGATCAGCAACTGAACATACTAGAGCGGTTTGGTTGGGGAGGATTCATCATGATTTATAGGATATGTAGGTACTGGGATGTATAGTTCACCTGCAATCTAAGAACTGCACTCTGAACTCCACTAATGAAGGACTTGGAAATAACTTGGTACACAAAAGCCCCATAACAAAGAATACTGGATGTCTTTGGAGGTATTTATAGAAGTTGTAGTTCACCTACATCCAGAGCGCACTATGAACCCAAAAAATGATGTATCTGGACCAAACTTGGCATGCAAACCAGTTGTGTGCAAATTTCAATACTAATGGTTTTTGAGGGGAATTGGCCTGGGCATTTTGGAGTTTTAGGTATTGAGATGTATAGTTCACATGCAATCAATGAGCACTCTAAACTCCTGCAAAAATGGAATTGGACCAAACTTGTCACACGGAGCCCCCATGACTAGAAAAAAATACTGGGGGTCCTTGATTTCGGGGAGTTGTAGTTCATCTACATCCAGAGAGCACTGTGAACCCAAACACCAATGGATCTGGACCAAAGTTGCCACACATACCTGATATGCCGAAATCTAGAAGGCGTGGAGGGGGGGGGGGCTGACCTTTCTTCCTGGGAGTTGAAATTCACCCACAACCAGCAAAACTGTGACATCGACCGATGATGGACCCAGACCATCATCCAGCAAAACGGGTGACCAATGACGGATCTAGACCAAACTTGGCACACAGAACTCCCATGACTAACTCAACCTATTGGAAGGGTTTGAGGGAATGGCTCATCATAGTAGGAATTGTATTTTACCCTACAGACAGCGAGCACACCGAACCCCACCGATGATGCATCTAGAGCAAACTTGCCCAACATAACAAACTTTTAAGTACTGATGAAGTTTCAGGGGGTTGACCTTGCATGATGTGAGTTGTAGTTCACCCACAACCTTATACATTTTGTACAAACAAAAAATATGACTTTTTCAAGTAACGGGGGAAATGCCAGGTACCCAAGCTACTGTATATGTATAATGTATATATATATGCATAATACACACACACACACACACACACACACACATATAAGATAGTATACTGGGAGATTAGCATGGTTTGGAAAATTACAACAAAGCAATAATACTAGATAACACTAATATTTATTTACGACATTTATATGCCGCCCTTCTAACACCGAAGAGGACTCAGAGTGGCTTACAAGATATATATACATGCAATATATTATATAATTAGCATAGTAAATATCAGTATTATATATTACAATATTGTATTATACCATTATATTGTAATATTATTAGTAATATTACGTGTATTATAAAAATATATTTATAATATCATATTATTATTATTATTAGTACTATATTGCATTACATTACAACATTATCAATATGATATGTATATACAATATATTACATTATATTATTAACATAGCACAAGAGACAAGGTGGAACTGTCCCCTGGCTATATATATATAAGGTAAAGGTAGTCCCAGTCATGTCTGACTCTGGGGTGTGGTGCTCATCTCCATTTCTAAGCCGAAGAGCCAGCGTTGTCCGTAGACACCTCCAAGGTCACGTGGCCGGCATGACTGCATGGAGCACCGTTACCTTCCCGCCGGAGCGGTACCTATCGATCTACTCACATTTGCATGTTTTCAAACTGCTAGGTTGGCAGAAGCTAGGGCTGACAGCGGAAGCTCACGCTGCTCCCCGGAATCGAACCTGCGACCTTTCGATCAACAAGCTCAGCAGCTCAGTGCTTTAACCCACTGTGCCACCGGAGGCAATAGTTATAGAGTGTGGATATATATAATAACATATAACATTAAATATATTAAATTAACATTAAATATAACATTAACATATATTAAATTAACATTTAATATATTAAATTAACATTAAATATAGCACTCTATATATATATTTAACTATTATACTATTGCTATTTCTATTTCAATGCCTCTCTTCCTCTGAAAGGCTGGGAAAAGAGAGAAAACACGTGTGAACAGGTGTACACGTGTATGGGTCCCACTCCCACCCTCTGGAGGCAACCCTTCAGAGCCTCTCTGCCTCGAAACACAGAGAAAGTCCCCTCTAAATGACTCCTAAATGACTCCTGTGAGAGGCACAGGGGTCTCACCTTCTTCCGCCTGCTGCTTCCTCCCTCAAGAGGAGCCTCATCGAAACGATACCTTGTTCGACAATCGACTCGTTGAGCCTGAGCGAGGAGATTGAGACAAGGCCTCAGAGGCAGAGAGAAAGGGGCGTGTCCCAAAGACAGACCTCGGAAGCCGAGATGTCGATGACATCAATAAAGTGGGCGTGGCTGCCCTCATGAAAGCCTCTCACGAAGGGCAGAAGTTGCTGCAAAGTCACGTGGTCTCGACGTCATCGTTTGGGGGCGAGGCGGGCCGCTTGAAAGCCTCTCCGCAGAACCAAGCGAAGGGCAGAAGTGACGGCAGAGTCACGTGGCTCTGACGTCATCCTTTGGGGGGGGCGTGGCAGGCCGCTTGAAAGCTTCTCCGGAGAACCAAGCGAAGGGGAGCCGTTGCGGCGGGGTCACGTGGTCCAAAGGGGCAGTTGCTATGGCGACGAAGGAGTTGGCCAGGTAAGGCCTCAAAGAGACCCAGGTGGGAGTTGGGCCTGGCATGATTGCTTTCGCCTGGATGGGAAATACGTCCTGAATTATTATTTTTCATACTGTCTGTGCGAGGATTTCACAGGCCTGGGGAAACTTTGGCACCTCGGTGATGTTACTTGGAAACCACCCTGAATCCCCCTCGGGGAGATAGAACAGTATATAAATAAAGTTTTATTATTTTATTAAAAGCACCCCTGACAGATGGCCATCCAGCCTCTGTTTCAAAGCTTCCAAGGAAGGAGCTTATCCCATACTCTGAAGAAGTGCGTTCCACTGTTGGAAAGCTCTTACAGTCAGGACATATTTTCTAATGTTCTTGCAGTCATGACCTTGGAGGTGTCTATGGACAACGCCGGCTCTTAGAAATGGAGATGAGCACCAACCCCCACAGTCGGACACAACTGGACTTAATGTCAGGGGGAAACCTTTACTTTTACCTTAGTTGCAATCTCCTTTACCTTCTTTGTTTTGTTTTGTAATCTTGCTGTATTGGGATATGGATTATGATCTGTTAGGATCATAACCTATTGGGTAGCAGAGTTTCTGAAGTGTTCCATTAGTTTATTAGGAAATGGATGATTGCTGGACTCATAAATATCTTGCTTCTGTTCAGTGCTCTCAGCAGACAAAGACTCAAGTAGACTTCTTTAAAATAACATGTTTGTTTTACTCACAACTTCATGTATTTCAATAAACAATCACATTTTTTGTCAGGTTAAACTTTAAACGTTTCTGTTTGTATCTTTAATGTATCTTTATCAGTCTCTTCAAAACTATATTGCTCTGTGCAGCTCTCTTTCAAAACAGTCTGCTTTCAAAGGACTCACATCTCAACAGTTTTTCTAAATTCCTACGCTGATTTCTGGCTCAAGCCACAACTGTTTTCTAACTTCCTACACTGGTTTCTGTACTCAGACTGACTCAAGCCTCAACTGTCATCCTTTTAAATTGCATTTTAAACAGTCACTGAACCAGTCACATGGTCTGCAGCCCCTCCCACTGCCTCAAGTACATAGAGCTAAGAAAACTGCAAACTAAAGACTTACACTTTATAAACAGACAAAAAACAGGCTTTAGAAGGTTGCTATCTCCAACATACTGCTGCTAATTATGAGTTTCACCACTATTTATGCCCCAAATTTCTATACCCCAAGGGGGGTATCAAGGCGGCTTACATATGGCTATTATTCAATTATTATGAGTTTGCTGTTTTTGAGTTTTTTGTTATAGTGGTTCAGTATGCTTTCTCAGCATGGCTGTCCTGCTGGCTCATATTGTGTGTCCTTGATTTTATTTTTATAGGCAGCTTGGTATCATCAGAAGAATCTCTAAAACATCGACCAGTGGCCAAAGTCACAGTAGACCCAAACTACGTGAGTATTCGGTCTGTTTTGCAAGGCCAGTGTTCTCCTGTTGTTATAAATAATCATATTTCACAGTTCCTTTGGCATTTCAGGGCAGTTGTTTGACTACTTAATCATTATTGACTTTGAGTCTACCTGCTGGAACGACAGACGAAAATGTTACAGTCAAGAAATAAGTAAGTAAATGTAGAATTTGGGGAAATTGTTTCTGTATAAATTGGGGAAATCCTATTTATCCTATTGTTTTGCATAAGAGATTATTTTAATTTATATGAGAGGCTGATATTGGATAGCCGAAGCAGGCATTTGCAGTTTCTCGTTTCATTAGATTTCATCGTTCAAAGGAATCTCTTGTGATGGCAGTCATTTATAGCAAACCAAACCTTTCTGTTACTTCTGGATCTGCCCAGAAATCAGTGTGACATGTAGCTTCACCCTTCACCCATACGCAGAGCTTGGCTATACTGATTGTGAGCTCTGATACATTTTTTGAAAATAACAATAGGAAAGGTTTAATCTTGGAAAGGTTTAACCTTGGGTTAAATTAAGGTTTTTACATTAAGGTTTTTAGAATAGCTTTTTTCCCCCTTGTCAGGAATGACTTGAGAAATTGCAAGTCGCTTCTGGTGTGAGAGAATTGGCCATCTGCAAAGACGTTGCCCAGGGGACGCCAGGATATTTTACCATCCTTTGGAAGGCTTCTCTCATGTCCCCATGTGGGAAGCTGGAGCTGACAGACAGACGCTCACTCTGCTCCCTGGATTCGAACTGCCGATCTTTCGGTCAGCAGTCCTGCCGGCACAAAGCTTTAACCCATTGTGTGGGCTCCTAATAGCTATATCATTATAGATAATACCAAAACACGAAATCATCTTGTCATCCTAAACAATATAGCTGTACAATACTTCACATAAATTAGCTTTATTTTAAAGCTAACTAGAAATATTTATTAAAATATACTTTTTTTCATTAGTTGAATTTCCAGCAGTTTTATTAAACACTTCAGATGGAAAGATTGAATCTGAATTTCATATGTATGTCCAACCGCAAGAACATCCGATTCTTTCTGAATTTTGCACTGAGCTAACTGGCATAAAACAGGTACAGTTTCTCATTTTGTATTACAATTTGTTCACAAGTTTATCATTTCGGTTATTGTTGCAACTGCACGAACATTATGTTAAGAATACATTGAATTAAGATTGGTTTTACTTGTGATCTTTCTATCTTTTTAAAGAGCCAAGTTGATGACGGCGTCCCTTTGCATATATGCTTATCTCAGTTTTCCAAATGGATTCAAAAGATACAAAAGGAGAAAAACATCAATTTTGCCTCAGGCCATTCAAGCTCTGCTGCTTCTGAAGGCAAACTGTGTGCTTTTGTTACATGGTCAGGTAATTTGTGGTGTCTCAAAAAAGAAGGGGGAGGCTCAGCAAGAAATGAAATGGGACAGAGCTAATTACGTCAGGCATATTGGAATACGTAGTCTGGGATGAAGAATTACATCCTCTCATTACTTCCCAGTGGTTTCATGGAGCCACTGCAGATAGAAAGAGATCACTTTCTTAGACTTGTGGCCTCCAAAAGAAGTTCCTGTCCCATAATTTCTCCTCACTCCAGAGAGATGAAGGTATGGGGAGAAAATGCAAAAAAGTACTTTTAAATCTTACCATGTTTAGCTTGAAAAAGAAGATTGAGAGGAGGCATGTTTCAGTATTTGAAAGGATGTCATAAGGAAGAGGAAGGCTTTTTTTTCTGCTGCCCTGGAGACTAAGACTCAATGGAACAATGGGTTCAAATAATAGGGAAGGAGATTCCACCTGAACATCAGGAAGAATTCCTTGATTATAAGAGCTGTTCAGGAGTGCCTCAGAGTTTGGTGGAAGCGCCTTCTTTGGAGGCTTTTAAGCAGAGACTGGGTGGTTATCTGTCGGGGGCGGGGGGGGGGGGAATTGTGCTTTTCTGGATGACCCATGTGGTATTTTCCAATTCTATGGTTCAGTGATACTTTGACATGTTTTGCCATGCAGTTTCATGAGAACCTTTATAATATAAAATATTCGCATTGAAAAATAAATCAGAGATTTACTTGGTGGAGAATGCACACACAGCTTTGAGTTTCTGCTGGAGATGTGTAATTTGCCTCAATCATTTCACAATTGCAGCATGTGACACAAGACCTTTCTGTAGGCTGGATTTCTCACATATTATACCTGCTCACCTTGGTTCTGGTTGTTGAATCTACACCAGCCAAATAGGGAGATACGGTTTTAGATTTCCACAACTGCACGATGTCCCTTGGCAGGTTATCATGCATCAGGTTATCTCCAGGACCAGACACTAACTAGATCATTTCTTTATGTTTCTAACATAACAAATAAGGATTTTACACTGCAAAAGTTTTAGAAACGTTGGATACAGTTCAGCCTAACAATAGTAGGCATAAAGTGTAAGAAGTTACTACTGTACTTGTTTCCTGTATAGATTGGGACCTAGGAGTTTGTTTGCATTATGAATGTAAGCGGAAACAGCTGAGAAAACCTGAGATTTTAAACTCGTGGATTGATCTCCGAGCAACTTACAAGGTGAAAGTACTAACAAGCTGTAGTATAACTATATTATCTGAGATGAGTTTTTAAAAGTAGCATACACATTGTATGCATTGCTAGCTTAGATTTTGTTTATGGCAATATACTGTTCATGGTTTAATGAGAAACCTATTTAGATGAAATGTATAGAAATATTTTTTTGCTGCTTTTAATATTGTGACTTCTGACTTATTTCTGTCTTTTCCTCTTCTAGTCATTAATGTCTTCCTCCTCTAGTGACATATTGGGATTACGGTTTACATAGGCTTCTTCAGTCTGAGTAATCTACATATATTCTTTATTAATTATTGTTCGATAATAACTTTTAATTTTTGTGAATTTAGATACATCTGTTGCATTTATATCTGTCATGTTCCAAACTAGGAAATTGGTAGATGTAAATCCATATAATAATTAATTTGTAATCCTATCCCCCATTTTAAAAGGAAAAACATTATTCTAAATCATCTTATGGATAACATTCAGTAAGCCCTTAAGGTTTAAAAAAATGGAAATGGACTACAGTTTGTTCTTTAATATGCGAAACCAATTGTTAACAAATACTCTATACTGATTTTGTTTAATAAATATTCAAGAGCAATAGTAATCCATAATTGGTGGAAGAGTAGTACAAGAGTAGCCATTTAGAGCATGGTTGTAACTGTCTTTAAGAAGTTCTTTGTCTCAATAAAGAGAGCTGTGTATGTGAAAAACTACATTCTGGAACAAAGAATCTGAGGCTGTTCAAATATAACAGATTGCCTAATGTGTTCACATATATTTGCTCTTAGGTTTTTTACTCTAGGAAGCCACAAGGATTAAAGGGTGCTCTTCAGGATGTGGGAATTATATTTGCAGGCCGAGAGCATTCTGGTGAGTGTTTTAAAGTCCGGAGTGTTTTATAAAGATGGGCCCAATTTGAAATTGCGATATCTTTGCAACCATGAACTATGAATGGATGAAACCCTTACCACTTGGAAAGATGAGGCATGGTGTTTCAAATGATTACCTTTAGATGCCTCTCCCAGCCCACAAACAGCACCTACCTCAGTCATTCACAAGCTGGTGACTCTGCAACATAAGGCCTAAGGAGATATTCTCCATTGCAGTTATTTTTTGTATTTGTTTCTGGCTCAAAATGGATAGTAAAACTTGATGACTCACTAAACGATTTGTAACTTTGTGTGTAATTGCAACACGTTGCCATTGTGAAATGTACTGCTGCTAAATTGGGTCCATCATTTTCAAACGCCCTGTATTATTAAAATAGCATTTCCCATAATGGATGGGGATGATAGCTGCTGTAGTACAACCTATCTCTAGGGTCGCAGAGTGGGGAAGACTATGTCAGTCTGTAGAGGCTTCTGACATTGGATGGAATAAAAACTTTTGTAAAAACTTGATTAATCTTCCCCTTGGTTTCTTTATGATAAAAAGGTAAAGGTTTCCCCTTATATTAAGTAGAGTTGGACTCTGGGTTGGTACTTGTCTCCATTTCCAAGCCGAAGAGCCGGCGTTGTCCGTAGACACCTCCTAGGTCATGTGGATGCCATGACTGCATGGAGTGCCATTACCTTCCCACTGGAGTGGTACCTATAAATCTACTTGTGTTCACATGTTTTCAAACTGCTAGGTTGGCAGAAGCTGGGGCTAACAGCGAGAGCTCACCCCGCTCACTGGATTCGAACTGCCAACCTTTTGGTCAGCAAGTTCAGCAGCTCAGTGGTTGAACCTGCTGTTCCACCGGGGGCTCCTTTCTTTATGATAAATCTTGGAAAAGTGTATTTTTTAGATGAGAATTCTCAGTGCCAGTGGTAGTCCTTCAAAGTAATGCACACAAGTCTATCTCTAACAGAGGTTTTATTATCCCAAGGGCTGGATGATTCCCGGAATACGGCTCACCTGGCCTGGAGGATGATTCGTGATGGATGTGTGATGAAAATCACTAAAACGTTAGATAAGGTTAGTGGCTTTTCTGCTTGGCACATGTGACTGACGAATATAAAGGAAGCAACTATTTACTGAAACAAATCCAAACGGAAGAATTTTAAGACAGCCCATGTCTCAGACTTGCTCTTGGCTTCTCTCTTATTGGTTCCCACATTTTTTCATTTATTTGTGGTATCTAGGTCCCTCCTACAAAGAATTCTATTGTCAGATTTTTGAATGGAAAATCTTGTGTCGATAGACTTTTGTCGAGCAGTGATGGAGCACAGGAATCATGTTTGAACAAAACCAAAAATGGCGAATTTGCCGGCCAGATGGAAAATAAGGAGGAAAATCAGCAAGAATTCAGTCCTGAACATTTGAATCAACAGCCAGATTTCAGCTCTGTACAGTTACATGAGAACACGCATGTTCTGCCAAACAACAGCAAGAAGAGCAATGAACATAACAAAACCTGTACCGGAAGACTTTTTTCTCCTCTTGGCTCTTTTCAGTCTTCCTATTGTAACCCTGTAGGCATCGAGCATGGGCTAAATAATGGACAGTTCATTTCAAATTTTTCATCACCCAATTCAGCACTGGTTTTGGTCCCTACCACTCTCACTACTGTCAATATTTCTGACACAGACATAAGCACTACTACCGATTGCTTATCAATGTTGACTGATTGGGAGGATGTTGCATTAATAACCGAATCACAAGATGATCAGAGTTCAGGATCTTTACAGCCTATGGATCAGCCAGATAATAAGGATTTGTGTGTGGATGGAGAGAAAATGGATGCAAACAAATCAACTGTCATGAACATAGTATCTAAAAATATTGGGACAAATGCCCTGAATGCGGGACCATCAGGATCTGTTGTGTATAAAAGTCCTGGTACTACTATTTATAACACAGAAATAAACCCACCTACTATTAACATAGAAATAGACACAAATAAGCATTTAAATACTTCTGTGTTTAAGCTCCCTTTTTCAAAGGCAAATACTACTTACTCAAATATATCCAGTGGAAAAAATCAAGTGACACATCTACCCAGGCTTCCTAAGCGGAAACCTTCCAGTCCCAAATCTCTGCCTCCGTCAAAAAAACCAACATTTTCTGTAAATGATGATAAAGGGACATCATCTAACCTCTCCCTGCCATTAGGGTCAGGTTTACGTAGCGCACCTGTTGGTATTTTAAAATCCTCTGTTAACGTCAACCAATCTTTCAGGGCCAGGGAAACTGGCAGAGTGACTGCTCCTATGTGTAAGTGTGGCCGGAGAGCCAGGAGGCTAAATGTTTCAAACAGGGGCCCAAATCATGGCAAAGTGTTTTATAGTTGCCCAATGCGGAAGCAGGAGGGGGATCGAAAGGGTTGTGGTTTTTTCAAATGGGAGCACGTGCTTCTGAAGGAGAAGCTCACACCTCCGCCTCATTGCTCAAATGCTGTGGGGCTTTTACCTAATAGAACAAATTGCAAGGCTCCAGAAAATTCTGAAAGGAAATGTCTGGGTCTCCGGCCTTCTATGCGAATGTAGCTCAACATCTCCACCTCTACATCCCTTTAACCATTAGCTCATGTCATCACAGACATTGTGTCCTGAGCATGTTATACTTCTATAGATCATGATGTGAATGAATAGCCTGTATAAAACTGTTAAAATTTTCTTTAAAAAAATTAAAAAATCAAGAAATACAATTGAGGGAAGCAGTGGGGGATCTATGGCCCTGAAAGGGTTTGAGTTTTGGAGCAAATCTGAACAGCTTCTAATCTTTGTTGGTTTCTCATTCTCTTTCTCTTTAAGAATGTGTCCTTACTCTTTTTCTATTTTAGGATTATAGGTGGTTGATCACTCTTTTTTGTAAATTTTTAGCTATGTATATATTTTTAAAGAACTTCATGAATTATGTTTCTATTGCTGATAACCATAATGTGTAGAACCTATTGAAATTATGACTTTTTTTTGGAAAAAATTGAAATAAAGTATTGTGGTTTTAATTTTTTTAAACCTTGTATCTCTCTTTATTGAAATGAAATAAAAGTATCACAGGCTTGAGAACAGAATTTGCTGGTTGAGTTTCCAGGAAATCTGCTCAATCCCTCCCTAGTAAAATTATCAGGATTTCTAATGCTCAGATGTTTTCCATCAATTTGTATGAACATCCCTGCAGTATTTGAGTAAATACTGTGGAAAAGTTGGGAATTTACACTGACCTATCACTGCAGAACAGTGGTTCCCAAACTGTGGTCCGCAAGAACTAAAATATGGTCCACGGCCTCACTGTTACTACGCCATTGCAACAAGAGCAACTGGTCTCGTGAAACTGTCTTATAGTGCCAAGGCTTATTAAATATGGTTTTCTGTGGGCAAACAGATGGCAGATACTGGATGGCGTATGTTCTGTATCAGAAACTAGAGCTGATGTGGTCTATCCAATGCAATTTTCTGAATCAGTACCCCAAATAACTAAACTGAATCTAAAGTTGACCAAAAACTGATTCGTAACCTTTTTGGTACTAATGTTGGAGAGTGGTCCCTGGTCAAAAAAAGGTTGGGAATCACTGTTCTAGATCATAGGTCACCAACCTGTGATCAAGCCCAGGTTATGGCATCTTTGCAATGAGTTAATACAAGCACAATGATACATGCATTTCCAGGGGAATGTTATTTAATACTAAGCTACAACCAGATTCATATATACAGGTTTATTAGCAGTCCGAGACTTGCTAGTCCACAATGAACATAGTTTAGTTATCTGAATGGCTGCCACTAGTGAACCATTGAAAAGGGGCAACATAAAGCCCTTAGATGTTGCTGAGAGAGCCAGCACAGTGTAGCTGTTTGATAGTTGGAATGGACATAGCTCTGGAGATCAGGGTTGGAACCCCCTTGGGCAAGTCACACTCTGAGCAAATAGAAATCCCCCTCTGAACAACTTATTGTCAAGAAAACCCCATGATAAGATCACCATATGTTGGAAAAAACTTAAAGGCACACAAAAACAAGATCTTGTTGGACATCAGCTCCTCTTATCTCGCCATTAACTCCCTGGCTAGGGCTGATGGAAGACCGCAACTTGCCCACTCTATTGATTACAATCATACACAGATTTAATTTCATACATAGCTATACTGGCAGTCCCCAAGTTACAAACCAAATAGGTTCTGTAGGTTTTTCTTAAGTTGAATTGGTATGTAAGAACACGTATGTTTTTAAAGTGTAACTCCAGCCAAAAAACTTTGGTTAGCACAGGAAAGGGTTAATACTCTCCTGTGGTGTTTCCTTTGCTGTCTGAGCCCCTGTTCAGAAGATTTCACCTCATTTTCTGTCCCTGTGAGAATTGGATTTTGGAATATGCTCATGTTGTGGAAACAAGAATTGGTGATAAAGCTTAAGTGGAGACACCTTTTCCCCTTGATAACTTTCAGGAATGGATTTCGCTTCCTAGGGGCAGATTTTTCCCACTTCCTGTGGTCTCTCCTCGGTTCTTAACTATGAGTCATTTGTATGTTGGATGTTTGTAACTCAGGGACTGCTATTTGTGACTTAAACATGGACTTGCTACTCATCAGACTTTCCAAATGTATTTTAAAGCATTACCAAAACAGTCCACACACACATTTCTTCAATTGTAAGACACTGTCAATTGTAAGGCACACCATAACTTTGGTCCCAACGGCAACAAAAAAAAACATGAGATACACCTGCGATTGTAAAATGCACCACATTTTTAGATACGTTTATATAGGAAAACAGTGAGTCTTAAAATTGAAGTAATACAGTAATATGTAATATATGAAATAAGGAAATGGGTAGGCATCTAATTAAAGCAATTTGAACCAATTTTGTGTACTTAAAATAGCTTTCTAACTTCGGTGGACTTTGACAATCTGTATCATTGTTGCCTTGGAAGCCACAGTTTGCTGTTCATAAACATATATGTTGTGCTGAATTTAATGTATCCTTCAGTCCTTGCGAGACAAACACTTGTCTAGGTTGGTTTTTCAACTCCTTGCAGAGTCATGATGTTGCTAATTTCTGGGATCTGAAAGCAAATCTGTTTTGGGACTTCTTGCGGTGTACACAATGTTCTTTTCTCTTTTAAATCCAACATCTGGAATTCGGCTGACACTTTGCTTTGCTTAGCCTGGCGAGATGTTTTAGGATTTTATAGAAAGCAAATGAAGGGGTGAGTGGAGGGAAAACTCTCGCCCACAAATACTTACCAAGGGTCTGCTTCTTCTCTGTTTGTATATCTAAAATTCACATTAAATGTGTTGGATGTGTTAAGATTTGCAGCCTGTGCCTTTAACGATAGATGTTAGCCCAACAAGATCTTGCCAGGACACACAAGGAATCAATATAAAACTTTTCATTCTTAGAACAAGCTAGAGTGGAAGTAAACAGATCATTCTAACTTTTTCCCCACTCCTTCTTGCGCAATTCATTTCTCCTGATTTTCCCACTGATTGTCTTTGGCAGATGGGACACAAACTCCACCTATTGGACAAGAAGAGGCACGACAGCTAGGAAAAGTCATGATCAACAGTACAAAACATGTGAGAATTGCAATGGGCACAGAGAAGATCAATGGTACAGAAAATGGGATAACATTTCACATCTGAAGCTGTTTTTTTGACAATTCTAATTTATATGATGTTTAGACATATCACTGCAGCCCCAGGAACACACATGGCTCTCTTAAGTTATTCATGTGACCCTCAACTGTGCCAGAGCCCCCCTTTTTTGGCCATTTTTTAAAAATGGTAAATTGTCTCTTCTCAACACTGAAAAGCTACCTGCCCTCCAAAAACAGTGGACCTCTGTGTTTTCTTGAGGATGAGGTGACAATCTGTGTGATCTCCCTTCACATGCCATACAACCCCTACACCTGTGAGATACACGTTCCTGGACTTAACATGGAAATACAAAATTGTGATAACAGAGAACCCTATTGAAATGAATTACTTTTGACAGAAGCATACTACAGACTTGCAGAAACAGAAAATACCTAGAGAGAACACTTCATCTCTAGCATTTCTAGGTCTTCCAGCAAAACTATGGAAGCATACCATGGAATTTTGTTGTAGGATATAGAAAATGATGAGACAGAACATATTTTTTCCTGATGTAAGTAAATGAGACGTGGGTATTAGTCCTACAGATATAGAGGTCATGCTGCACCTGTCATCTTGCATCAATTATGATTTTGAATCCTTGCTACTGGAAAACCAGGTTTCATTATTATTATTATTATTATTATTATTATTATTATTATTATTAGCTGTCCCCTGCCAAGCGTTGCTGTGGCCCAGTCTGTGTATATGTTTTTTGTGTGTATATATTTGTGTATATGTGTATATATGTTGTTTTGCGCATGCGTTGTAATGTATTTTTTTGTTTTGGGGCTTTTTAACTTTCTTCTGCTGTGTTTTTCAGTATTTTTGTGAATGACTAGCTGTCCCCTGCTAGGAGTCGCTGTGGCCCAGTCTGTATATATGTGCTTTGTGTGTATATGTGTGTATATATATTTGTATATATGTATGTTTGTGTATATGTGTGTGTGTGGTTTTGTGCATGCATTTTAATGCATTTGGGGGGGGGCTTTTTAAGTCTCTTCTGCTGTGTTTTTCAGTGTTTTTCTGAGTGATGGTCACTCATTGGCCTGATAGATGTATTGTGTCCGAATTTGGTGTCAATTTGTCCAGTGGTTTTTGAGTTATGTTAATCCCACAAATGAACATTGCATTTTTATTTATATAGATTATTTTATTTCTTACTTGCGTCTCCTCGTGGCTCAAGACAGAAAAATTTGTGTCATGCATTCACTTCAAGAACAATTGTTTCCATAAAGGGTATTAAATAGAAATTTATCAAGCTGAATGTTAAATCAAACCATAGTTAATAACTACGCTTTATATGCATACCGGGTAATTGTGACAAACACAGGAGTAGAGGGAAAGTAGCCCAACAATGTATGCAGCAGCTAAAAAAACCAATGGGATGTTGGCCTGCATCAACAGGAGTCTAGTGTCTAGATCCAGAGAAGTTAACCTTCCCCTCTATTCTGCCTTGGCCAGACCATACCTGGGCGCACACTGTGTCCAATTCTGGGCACCACAATTGAAGGGAGATGTTGACAAGATGCAATGTGTCCAGAGGAGGGCGACTAAAATGACAAAGGGTCTGAAGAACAAGCCCTGTGAGGAGCAGCTTAAAGAGCTGGGCATGTTTAGCCTGCAGAAGAGAAGGCTGAGAGGAGACATGATGAGGGCCATGGATCAAGATGTGAAGGGAAGTCATAGGGAGGAGGGAACAAGCTTGAACAATGTCTTCAAACTACAGGAAAGGTGATTCTACCTCAATCTGACAAAGAATTTCCTAACTGTGAGAGCTATTCAGCAGGGGAACTCTCTGTCCCAGAGTGTGGTATAAGTTCCTTCTTTGGAGGCTTTTAAACAGAGGCTGGATGGCCATCTATCGAGGGTGCTTTGAATGTGATTTTCCTGCTTTTTGGCAGGGGGTTAGACTGGATGGGCCACAAGGTATCTTCCAACTCTAGGATTCTATTATTCTAAATGTTAGGCAGGATCCCTTATTATTTTCTGTGTTCGCTATAGTTGGCTGAACTGACGATTCAAAAGCATCTGGATTGTCACCAGCGAATGGGAGATCACACAGATTGTCAGCCCGCTCTCAAGAAAACCCAGAGGTCCAGGTTTTTTTGTAGGGAAGGCAGCCTTTCAGTGTTAAAATCCCTATAATTGTTTTAGAAGGGACTATCCACCTTTTGCAAAAAGAGAGAGAGAGAGAGAAATGGCTAGTGGTGGATCTGGATGAACGTAGGTCAAAGGATGCCAGGATTTAAAAGCAAAGAGATGGCAGGCGGCAACAAGGCTTTTGGAAGTAAGAACACTACATTTAGGAAGGTTCTTTGCATAGACAGGAAGCCAGCACAGGGATTTATGGAGGAGCAGACGTTTGACATGAGAATGGGTTACCTTTCTTGGATACTTGTAAGGGGCAGTGACCTTTTTCACGTGGTCCTGCAGTTCCTTTATCAGTGCTTCTTGATCATGGGAAACATAGTTGGGTGCCAAAACCACAAATGCTTTCACAACCTTAAAAAGCAAAAGTGCATTTTTGGCAGATTATAGAAAGAAGGGTTGTAAAGGACGATCACTTAAAGTGTAACAGCATTTTGGGTTGCTAAGCATCAAGCACAAATCTCTTAAACCAGATTATGCACACCACAGGAACTAAGTTACTTTAAACCCAAGCGGACCAATTTAAGTGGCTTGGAGATTGCTGCCTGTCTATCCCAGCATAAAAAGCTCAGCTCAACATAGACCACTATGTTAGGGGGCCTGCATTTCTTGTAGACTGCGTAGGATTTACAGTTATAACAAGAAAAAACACGTGAATAAAATGTGTTCAGCATTTCAAGTTTTGTTGAAGGCTTTCACTGGGTTGCTGTGAGTTTTCCGGCCCGTATGGCCATGTTCCAGCAGCATTCTCTCCTGACGTTCCGCCCACATCTGTGCCAGGCATTCTCAGAGGTTGTGAGGTCTGTTGGAAACTAGGCAAGTGAGGTTTCTTTATCTGTGGAATAATGTCCAAGGAGGGAGAAAGAACTCTTGTCTGTTTGAAGCAAGTGTGACTGTTGCAATTGGCCACCTTGATTAGCATTGAATGGCCTTGCAGCTTCAAAGCCTGGCTGCTTTCTGCCTGGGGGCACTAGATGTTTTGCAGAAGTCAAGTAAACGCCACATGTGGCATCTTTCTATACTTTGGACTGCGCTTTTGGTCACTTTCCCTTTGGATGGTGTGGCCTGGAAAAGTAGCCAGGACAGGAAATGCTCCCCCACCCCACAGTCACAATAGATATAATCTATTATTGCAAGTCTCTCATTTAAATGCATTTAATTCTGCAAAGTTTTAAAACAGCCAAGTTTTTTTTACCTCTCCTCTGATAGGGTCCGGGCTGCTAACAACAGCAGATTCTACTACCGAAGGATGTTCTATCAATGCACTTTCCACTTCAAAGGGCCCAATGCGGTATCTTTGAAACAGAAAGAGAGCTTAGACATGCTTTGGTTATTTTGTTGATTCCAAATGTTTAAAAGCACAGAGAATGGTGCATATGAATTATGTTACCCAGCTGAATTGATGACATCATCTGCTCTTCCTACAAACCAGAAGTAGCCATCTTCATCTTTGATTCCTCTGTCCCCAGTGATATAGAAGTTTCCACGAATGGTTGAGTTTGTTCTTTCTGGATCATCCTGGTATATGTGAACAGGTGGTGACTCATAAAGTGCATTCGTTTGCAGACACTACTTCATTTAGGATTGCTATGTATGCAACTTTTTAAATAGAGTGAGTAAGCACGGAACTAGCCGCATTTGAAATGATAATATCCATTTGATTATCAGAAAGATGATGTTGTTAAAATAGGTTGTGGCAGTGAGGGTATCTGTTTCTCCTTTGCCAGTTACGGTTTTTAAAAATTAGTTCAAGTGGCCAGTTTTCAGTGTTTGTTTTTACACATCTCTCCATTGTTTTCAAAAAGAGGAACAAATGGGCATTCACACTGGCTAAATGCTGTAGTGCCATATGTTTTCTGAGCACTAGCTAGTCTCACAAGAGTTATTATTATATTATTGTTGTTATTATTATTTTTCTCCCATAAGTGGAATTCAAAATGGCAAACAAATGGTAAAAAAACAGAAATTACATAATAAAAGTGCACAACATCATCCCCCCCAACCCAACCAAGTAAACAATAGACAAACGAATTGCATAAATCCATTACATAAACTATATGGAATAAGCATAATAAATAACAAAAATTATTATTATCATTAAAAAAAACCTGGGCCTCAGGCCACTGACGCTGTCCTTAAAACATTATACTAAAAAATCTCAAAGCTCTGAATCTTTAGCCAGGTGAACCTTGCCAGACTGAGATAGCCTTCAGTGATAAGTTTTGGTAGTAGTCACTTGCTGCCTTGTCATAGCTTATTGTGGATTGTCGGGGAACGCCTGCTTCTATAGAAAGGTTTTAACCTGGGAGCGGAAGACCAGTGGGAGGGGGGGGGGAGCCGGATGCACCTCTTTGGGGAAGGAGTTCCAGAGCTGTGGGGCCACCACCAAGAAGGTCTTCTCTCTTGTTCCCACCAGCCGTACTTGTGACAGTGGTGAGACCGAGAGAAGGGCCTCTCCTGATGATCTCAGGGCTTGTGTGGGATGATAGGAGGGGATGTGCAGCCTCATCACACTGGAGCATGGATCAACTTTAAATCCAGTTTCTGCCTCCTGCAGAATTCTGGGATTTGTAGTTTACTGAGGCCCAGGACCTGTCTAGCTGAGCAGTTTAAAGCCCCCTCCCCAAACTACAAATCCCAGAATTCTGCAAGAGGCAGAAACTGGATTTAAAGTGGATCCATGCTCTAGTGTGATGAGGTCCATGGTCCCTCAAGTAAGCTGGGCCTGAACCGTTTTGGGCTTTACAGTCTAATGCCAGCACTTTGAATTGCGCCTGGAAACCAACTGGAAGACAGTGTAGCTGCTTCAGGAGTGGGGTTGTTCTTTTTCTATATCCCACTCCCGTGAGCAATCTAGCTGCTGAACTTTGTACTAGTTGAAGTTAATGAACACTCTTCTGGGGCAGCCCCACATAGAAGGTGTTACAGTAATCTATTCTGGATGTGACTAAGGTGTGTACTACCATGGACAAATAGGGCTTTTCAAGGTAAGGGCACAGCTGGTCCACAAGCTTTAACTGTGCAAAGGCTCTCCTGGCCAATGCCAACATCTGGGCCTCCAGGATCAGTGCCGAGTCCAGGAGGATACTCAAGACTGCAAACCTGTTCCATCAAGGGGAGTGTGACTCCATCCAGCACAGGTTTATTTATTTATTTACGACATTTATATGCTGCCCTTCTCACCCCTAAGGGGACTCAGAGGTTGCAGCCCAATACCCTGATCAGCCCTACAATTGACCAACATTAGCTCTGTCTTGTCTGGATTGAATTTCAATTTGTTCATCCTTGAGAATTCTTCAATCCTCAGCTTTTGTTTCTCTTTCTGAGGTCAAAAATGGTGATGAGACAACTGAATTACTGAAACATGTCAAATGGCAATTGCAATAAACCTTGGCTCCATAATTCTGTTGTTCAAATTTGCATCCAGAGTTGGAACAACAAGACGCTTTGGCACTATTCCCAGTGGGGTTTTTTTGTTTTTGTTTTTTTGAAAACTGGATTTGATTTGTTCTGAATTGGACAATACACAAACAACTTAACGTTTTCCATTTCCTTCCCATTGTTAGATGTTTCTTTGAGTTCTTACCGTGTACTGAGTGAAAAGACAAAATGGCCTTGTAGGTTTTATCCGGATACCAATGTCCCCTTCTTTTCCAGAAGGCAAAACATTACCTTCTTCATCAATTATCTGAAAGCAATCAAACAAATCATACTAAATGGATGCCAAATAGTGGTGTTTTTAATCCTTTCTGAAATTATGAATTACAAATTTGGGTCAAAGTAAGACCTGAGAGAGATAAATGGCATTAAATTCCAGCATCTCCAGGAAAGGCAAAGGCCCCGGGTTCCAATTTTGAAGATGAATTGCTGATACAGTACCTGAGTATCATAGGCTGGAGATGGTTTCCCCATAGACCCTGGTTTAATTTTCATCCCTTTGAAAGTCCCACAAACCAGGACCTATTCCAAGAAGAGAAAAAGTAAAGCATGGCTGTAATGCCTATTTGCATAAACATATATTCAGTTTGGTGATGTCTGTTATCAAGAAATTTCAGAATGGGCCACAGAAAAGTGGTTTACTGAAGCCTCAAATGAACCCAGTTACATATTGATAAGATGATTAAATGTTTAACTCAGGAATGAGAAATCTTTGACCTTCCAGGTACTTTGGACTTCATTTCCATACACACTTTTACTATTTCCTGTGGTAGCCAACTCTCCTGGGAGCTAAAGTTCAAAACACCAGTGCAGTAAATGTGGTATTCCTTACACCAGTGGTTCTCAACCTGGGGTCCCCAGATGTTTTGGCCTTTAACTCCCAGAAATCCTAACAGCTGGTGAACTGGCTGGGATTTCTGGGAATTGTAGGCCAAAACACCTGGTGACCCACAGGTTGCAAACCATTGCCTTACACCTTACTTAATAGATATTTGAAAGATTAATAACAATAGCAACACAATGTGTTTACACTTTATAGTATGGATGTAATGCTATCTTATCTTGCAGTTTGATACAAGAATATGCGAGTTAACTGAAGTTTTCTGAATACAGAAAGAGAACACACTGCCCTTCCTTTATGCACACAGTTCAGCTTACTGTTTCTGTCTGGCCATAGCCTTCGTAAATATCCAGCCCGGTTTCTGTTTTCCAATCTTCCATCACTTTGGGGTTCATGGGTTCTCCTCCACTGAGACAGTGTTTGAGGCTGTGGAACTTATAACTTTTGACAAAGAGGAGAAAGAGAAAGGATGACTGTTAACATCTTTAAAACAATACTGTCAAACATGAATAAAGGTGTTTTTGAAGGTTTTTATGGCTGGAATCACTGGGTTGCTGTGAGTTTTCCGGGCTGTATGGCGATGTTCCAGAAGCATTCTCTCCTGACATTTTGCCCACATCTATGGCAGACATCCTCAGAGTGTGAGGTCTGTTGGAAACTAGGCAAGTGAGGTTTATATATCTGTGGAATGTCAAGGATGGGAAAAAGAACTCTTGTCTGCTTGAGGCAAGTGGGAATGTTGCAATTGGCCACCTTGATTAGCATTGCAACATTCACACTTGCCTCAAACAGACAAGAGTTCTTTCTCCCACCCTGGACATCCTACTGATATATAAACCTCACTTGCCTAGTTTCCAACAGACCTCACAACCTCTGAGTATGCCTTAAATAGATGTGGACGAAACATCTGGAGGGAATGCTTCTGGGACATGGCCATACAGCCTGGAAAACTCACAGCACCCCAATAAATAAAGGTTTAGTTTAGTTAAGTGCTGGCTTAGTTTACAATTTGTGTGTGCATGGATGTGTACAATTTTGAAAATCATGACTTGATGTTGTTATTCAATCTGTCAACAACAGGCACGCGACGATGCTCTTTACTCCAAAGGTGGAAAGCCTGAGCTCTTCCAGATGTACGTCAGCACCCATTAGTTGCAGCATAGTAATAGGCCAGGCATAATGGAAGAGCACAGTAAGGCTCTATTAAAGTAAAGCTCTATTAAAAATGGTTGCCGCTGTCTCTTTGCAAATAAGTGTACCCAGGAATCCCTTATTAAAAATGTAAGAGAGAGTTAATGAATAGGAGAACTTCTTTCCTCTGCTTCTTGCCTCTGCATTTGTGTTGGGTCTGCCTTCTCATACCCTTCCCACCCCTGCCCCACTTTATAATCCTAATCCTATCTGTATATGTACATGTTTAGAAAGGTGGTTTGATTTATGGTATTAAAGAAGCAAAATGGAAGTTACTTATTTCTTTTTTCGTATCTCTTTTTCTATTTTTTGCCTCTTTCGGTTTCTTTCTTACTGTTAGTGTTACATTTTATCTATTTGAAAAATTAAGAAAATATTCTGGAAAAAAAAAGAATGGGAAAATGTCCCTCTAGAAATTTTGAGCTGCTGTTCCTTTCCAAATCCCATATCTTTTGTTATTATTGGTAGGGATGCTCAAAATGGTAGGCCGGAAAATAGCTGGAGAGTCTCAGCTGCTCACTCTGGGTTTAGATTATAATCTGAGCCACACACCAGCATATATAATCCCAATGTGAAAACATATTAAAACTAGAAGTAAGAACTCTTTACCTGGTTAACTTGTGTTGTATCAACATTCGATAAGCGGTTGGAGGAGAACACAAAGTTGTTATAGGAAATTTGCACAAAGTCTAGATGGTGATCAAACAAACAAACAAGAGGATTTAACAGAACAAAGTTGATGTAATGCCATGTAAAGTGAGGAAGTGAATCCCCCTCTTTTTTGGAATCCATAAGATTCAGTAAAGAACAACCAAAAGAGGACAATGGTATCTATACAGATATGTCTGTTAATCAATTGTGCAATTGTAACACCACCACAATTTATTATATCTTCACTTTATAAATTATTGTTTTTTTTCAGTTCTTTAAACACAATTCTTTAAAAGAAAGGGAAAGCTTTAATGAGTCCTCAACTCCTTTTAAGAGTAGAAGGAATGTGGTATTTATACGTAACAAATATAACATAAGTAAATTGAGCTGTTAGCATCTTCTTCCCTCAAATCAAGAAACATACAACCTACAGTCTGAAGTGACAACTTTTGAGAGATCTTGTGTCTTTATCCCAAGGGGCAAACACAACATCTTGTGCCACCTTGAAGACCCACAACCGTGGCCTGAACTTTCCAGTACAGAAAGTCCCCAAGTTACGAAAAAAAATAGGTTCTGTATGTTTGATCTTAAATTCAACTTGTTTCTAAGTCAAAACTGGTAAATTTTAAGTCTAACTCCAGCCATATATATATATATATATATATATCTGTTAGGTTGGTTCAACCGGAAAACTCAAAAACCCCCCAACGAAACCTAACCAAAATTCCCATGCCCATAACACAACCCACAAGGTACAAACATATCTACTCAAAATGAAAAACAACACAACAACACACTCACAAAACGGCAAAACAACAAAACTCAAAAAACCCAACGAAATTTAACCAAAATTCCCATGCCCATAACACAACCCACAAGGTACAAACATATCTACTCAAAATGAAAAACAACACAACAACACACTCACAAAATGGCAAAACAACTGAGCATGCGCATTGGTGCCCAGCCGCAAGTTCCCTGGCGCGCGCACACAGCCTTCCGGCCAACGTTCCCTCTGCAGAAGCCATGCCCACTCCAAGCCCCGCCGCGCCGCTTCCCGCACACACACACCCCCTGCCGCACGCACACACACAACCCCACGCTCCATCACTCCCCCCGCCACCGCACACACACACGCAACCCCATGCTCCATCACTCCCCCCGCCGCCGCACACACACGCAACCCCACTACCCCCGCCGCCGCACACACACACACGCAACCCCACTCCCCCCACCGCCGCACACACACTCAACCCCAGGCTCCATCATTCCCCCTGCCGCCGCACACACACACGCAACCCCACGCTACATCACTCCCCGCCGCCGCACACACACACACGCAACCCCACGCTCCATCACTCCCTCCGCCGCCACACACACGCAACCCCACTCCCCCTGCCGCTGCACACACACACGCAACCCCATGCTCCATCACCCCCCGCCGACACACACGCAACCCCACGCTCCATCACTCCCGCCGCCGCACACACACACGCAACCCCACGCTCCATCACTCCCGCCGCCGCACACACACACGCAACCCCACGCTCCATCACTCCCGCCGCCGCACACACACACGCAACCCCACGCTCCATCACTCCCGCCGCCGCACACACACACGCAACCCCACGCTCCATCACTCCCGCCGCCGCACACACACACGCAACCCCACGCTCCATCACTCCCGCCGCCGCACACACACACGCAACCCCACGCTCCATCACTCCCGCCGCCGCACACACACACGCAACCCCACGCTCCATCACTCCCCCCGCCGCACACACACACGCAACCCCACTCCCCCGCCGCCGCACACACACACGCAACCCACGCTCCATCACCCCCGCCGCCCACACACACACGCAACCCCCCCCCCCCCCCCCCACACACACCCCACGCTCCATCACCCCCCCCGCCTGCACAAACACACGCAACCCCACTCCCCCCGCCGCCGCACACACACACGCAACCCCATGCTCCCCACTCCCGCCGCCGCACACACACACGCACCCACGCTCCATCACTCCCCCCGCCGCCGCACACACACACGCAACCCCACGCTCCATCACTCCCCCGCCGCCACACACACACGCAACCCCACTCCCCCCGCCGCTGCACACACACACGCAACCCCACGCTCCATCACTCCCCCCGCCGCCGCACACACACGCAACCCCACGCTCCATCACTCCCCCGGCACCGCACACACACACGCAACCCCACGCTCCATCACTCCCCCGCCGCCGCACACACACACGCAACCCCACGCTCCATCACTCCCTCGCCGCCGCACACACACACGCAACCCCACGCTCCATCACTCCCCGCCGCCGCACACACACACGCAACCCCACACTCCATCACTCCCCCCGCCGCCGCACACACACACGCAACCCCACTCCCCCCGCCGCCGCACACACACACGCAACCCCACACTCCATCACTCCCGCCGCACGCACACACGCAACCCCACTCCCCCCGCCGCCGCACACACACACGCAACCCCACTCCCCCCGCCGCCGCACACACACACGCAACCCCAGGCTCCATCATTCCCCCTGCCGCTGCACACACATAATAGTCCAGATATCTACCTCAACTTTGATAAGTTTTACTATAGGCCACAGCAACGCGTGGCAGGGCACAGCTAGTTATATATGTTTATTTTATCTCTCTCTATATATATATATATATATATATATATATATAGTTGGATAGCATAGGGAAGGGTGAACACTCCTGTGATGTTTGTTTTGCTGTCTTTGCCACCAATCAAAAGATTTCACCTCACTTTTTGTCCCTGTGATAATTGGATTTTGAAAAATGTGGCTTGTTGTGGAAACAAGGATTGGTGATAAAGCTTCATTGGAGATAGCTTTTCTCCTTGATAACTCTTTCAGGAGTGGATTTCATTTCCTAGGAGTAAATTTCTCTCACTTCCTGTTATCTCACCCCTATTCTTAACTATGAATTGTAAGTTGGAGGTTTGTAACTTGTGGACAGCCTATATAGCTATTGGCTTTCTCAAATGTGGGGCCACGGTAGCACAGAAGTTAAAGTCACTAGCTGCAGGAAAGTCTACTGATTGGAGGGTCAACAGTTTGAAGCCACGAATTGGGGACAGTTCTCAACTGTCTGTCCTAGCTTCTGCCAACCTAGCAGTTCAAAAGCATGCAATACGAGTAGATCAATTGGTACAGAAGGAAGGTAAAAGTGCATCCCATGCAGACATGCTGGCAAAAAGATAGAAGATGTCTACGGACAGCAGGCTCCTTTGGCATGAAAAATAGAACAACTGCACCTCCCCATTGCCGGAAGATGAGCATGAACTCTACTCACCGGAAATGGAAAAAGGGGAAGGGAAGCCCTTTACCTTATCTGTGTTATTGTATGTTGTTGTTCATGTAAAAAGGCATTGAATGTTTGATTATATTTACTGTAATCCTCTCTAAATCCCTCCAGGGAGATAAAGCAGAATATAAACCAAGTATTTTATATTATTAAATGTGTGAAATTACTTAGCCTTTCAGTGCTACAGGTCTGTTTACTATTGTTATATTCAGATTAGACTTTTTTGTGTCAGGAGCAACTTGAGAAACTGCAAGTCGCTTCTGGTGTGAGAGAATTGGCCATCTGCAAGGACATTGCTCAGGGGATGCCCAGATGTTTTGATGTTTTACCATTCTTGTGGGAGACCTCTCTCATGTCTCTGCATGAAGAGCTGAAGCTGACAGAGGAAACTCATCTGTGCACTCCCCTGATTCAAACCCCGGACCTGTCGGTCTTCAGTTTTGCCAGCACAAGGGTTGAACCCATTGCACCACCAGGGCTCCTAGATTAGACATGATCAATGTGACAGTTCACCAGTGCTCACAAAAGCACATGTATCAGCCCAAATAGAAATGTTCAGACCCTGGCCTATATTGTGTGATTGCTTCCACATGTGACCTATGGTGTTTCATTATAGTGGTTCAATTCAGACATCCTGCTATGCTGCGGTTAAAGAAGTTTGCAAGTCAAAACGTCTGAGTTGCAAGCCAGATGTTTGAACTGATCAACCACAGTTATGTTCAATGCACAGACTTCAGACTATGTCATCACTGTATGGTTGTACAGAAACAGATTGCTGAGGAAAAACAAAAACAGTCACAAAGCTCTAAACCCACTGGTGCCATTTTATCTGGAAGATTTGCCCATTTTCAAAATCACAATGATGTGATGCTTCAGTTCAGGATGGGATTTAGTGCAATCGCTGCAAATCTATGGTTCCACTCACTGAGCAGACAGTGTGATTGTGTGAAATGCCTTTAAGATGATGCTAAAAGAAAGCTAAATATGAATACTTGGTGCACTTACTTCAAGGACAGGCTTTGGCTCAAAACGAGGCATGCTGTGTATAAACACACACGCTCCTTGAATCCATGGTGCAAAAACACTACTCCATGCGGATTTTGCCCAGCCTGTGTCTGAAGTATTCCACATAACGTCCAAGGGAGTCAAATCAAGCCAATACCTAAGGCACAGAAGAGAAAGAGTGAGACATAATTCAAGCAGAGACCAAATATTGCCACCATGTAGTCATGCCGTGACTCCAAAACCCTACAAGTCACAGAATATATGCAATCCGAAAGATTAAGCATTGGATGGGAACATAATGCTGAATTGCAGAAAGATTATGCTGCAAATAAATGGTGAGCCTTTGTGAACACTTCATCATTAGTTTCAATGTTGATTTAGGACTGCAGACAGTATCTTCTTACACCACAATGTTTTGCCTGCGTGCATTGGTGGGTAAGACAAAAGGCAACTGGAAAAATACATACAAGAACCTACAAATTTAGCCATACTTTCCATTGATACCAAGTCCAATTCCATGGCTGCCATGAGAATGTTCAGTCATTTTTGGAGCACCCGTTGTGCCACTGGTGAAGTAGATTGCCATTGGATCATGACTCTTTGTGACTGCACAGTTGTGTTCACCAGGTGAAAGGCTGAAAGACACAAAAGGAAATCAAACATAACGGTCAGACATCCATGGACTCAAACATAACATTCAAACCTAGTAGCTAATGTGCTGTCGAAGACTTTCAAGGTCAGAATCACTGGGTGCTGTGAGTTTTCTGGGCTGTATGGCCATATTCCAGGAGCATTCTCTCATGACGTTTTGCCCAAATCGATGGCAGGCATCCTCAGAGGTTATGAAGTCTTCTCTAACAGCCACATTGTCAGACTACACAGAGAAGCCATTGAAATCCACAAGCATGTGGACAATTTCAACAGAAAGGAGGAAACCATAAAATGAACAAAATCTGGCTACCAGTATTTAAAAAACTCTGAAATCAGGACAGAAAATAAAGAACTATTTTGCTACTACTGGCTGTTTGTGATGGTTGTTTTTATATTGTGTTATGCTCTTGGTTGTCTGTTTTGATTTTATTTTGCTTTATACTGCTGTTTTTTTAAAAAACTTAATGTGTCATTTAAACTATGTTGATCGGGCTTGTCCCCATTTAAGCGGCCCTAAGTCCCTTTGGGGAATTGGAGGTGGGGTACAAAAATATTGTTGTTGTTGTTGTTGTTGTTATCAACACTCAAAAAACAGGGAAATTCCAGACAGGAAATAATCAGGGCCAGCTAACACCTCCAAACAAAGGATTCCCCCAGGCAAGAAGCAGTCAAGCTTTGAAGTTGCAAGGCCATTCAATGCTAATCAAGCTGGCCAATTGCAACAGTCACACTTGCTTCCAACAGACAAGAGTTCTTTGTCCGTCCTGGACATTATTCCACAGGCATATAAACCTCTCCTGTCTCGTTTCCAATATATCTCACAACCTCTGAGGATGCCTGCTGTAGATGTGGGTGAAATGCCAGGAGAGAATGCTTCTGGAACATGGCCATACAGCCTGGAAAACTCACAACAACCCAGTGAATCTGGCCATGAAAGCCTTTGACAACTCACAGCAACCCGTAGTAGCCAATGTTAATTACTGGTATTCCAGCTATTACAGGTAGGCATTCACTAATGCAATTAATTCTCCTTGGCGTTCTGATCACAGAACAAAACCAGAACTCTCTGAACTTGCAGTCCTTTCACATAAAAATCCATCCCCAGTTTCCCAAGCTGCATTTCAGTGGTGTAATCAAGAGGGAAAAATCACTTGTCAATGTTATCATGAAACAGGCAGGACTCAGAAACTATTCTTGATCTGTTGTAAATAACATGATGATCTACCAGTAAATGCTAATCTTCCTTTTATCCATCCCTTTTTCTGTAGCAATCGAGTATTTTTAGGCTCTGTTCTGGTTCTGTCAACACATTTTAGCCATTAACCGGCACAAGATCCTAGAAACACACATCTCTCTCCATCTAAGAAGCAGATCTGGACACTTACTTCAGCAAGTGATTGAAGTTTAACCATCCTTCTCTAGGTTCCTTTGACACAATCAGCTTGAATTCTAGAGATGGGCATTTGGAAGCAACGGTATCGACAGCAGGGGCCAGAACTTGGTCCGTAACTATACACCTGGCCTTTGATGCTTGCAGACGATGCAGAATGTCTTTTGATGTTAGCTGTGTTGTTCCAGGAATAATGATGGTTCCTAATGCAATGGTCAAATTAGGAAACTCAATCATAATGTCATATTCTTTCAAGTGCTGTAAGAGAAATTAGGATCTTATTTTCATTAGATGTGAGATCAGTAGAGACTTTAGAGATCCAGATTCTTCACTCCACTTTGATCTCCAAACAATATAAGAGTCAACAGATGAATGTTATTACTGCTAACCTGTTCGGATACAAGCCACGTTTAAGATCCACCACTCAGATATCCGCGGGAGGATCACTATCACTCTGTCATTCTTCTGCAGGCTGCAATGCTCAGAAAGCACTCTGGCAGCTTTCTTGGAAATGAGTGACAACTCCACAAAGCTCCACTTAACTTGGTCTCCTTGTTCACTAACCCACCATAGAGCTGGGTTTGAAGGCCTCTTCCCTTCCTGAAGAGACAATAGAATCAATTGTGAAAAAAAAAATACTTGCATTTTCATCTTGAGACCACAGGCAAGGCATTCTAGGTACCTGTAAGTGTATAATTCCATAAAGATTGTGAAGAGACCCCTCAGATTAACTCTTCAATAGCAGAATGAGGCCCCTTCTACACTGTCATATCAAATCCAGATCATCTGCCTTGATAATCTGAATTATATGGCAGTGTAGAAGCGGCCTGAGTTTGTTTTCAAAAATGATTTTAATGAGTTTACATGTCCCTCAGTCAGGGATACTTTGGCTATGGGCTATTTATTTATTTATTTACTATATTTGTATACCAGCCTTTTCACCCCCTAGGCGACCCAGGGCGGTTTTGGCAGAGGTTAGATGAGATACCATTTGTGGCTCCTCCCAATTCTAAGCCCCCCTCTACACTGCCATATAATCCAGATTATCAAAGCAGATTTTCATTTTAAAAACAAACAAAAAAATCCTCAAATTCTGAGGATTACCTGAGTAGGAATCCCATTGGAGCATCGCAGCACACCAAAATACCTGGGAGTCAGTCTGGACCGTGTTCTGACTTATAAGAAGCACTGCCTGAATATCAAGCAAAAAGTGGGTGCTAGAAATAATATCATATGAAAGCTGACTGGCACAACCTGGGGATCACAACCAGACACAGTGAAGACATCTGTCCTTGCGCCTTGTTACCCTGCTGCTGAATACGCATGCCCAGTGTGGAATACATCCCACCACATTAAAACAGTGGATGTGACTCTTAATGAAACATGTTGCATTATCACAGGATTACTATGCTCAATGCCACTGGAGAAATTATACTGTTTAGCCAGTATTGCACCATCTGACATCAATCAGGAAGTAGCCCGAAATGAAAGGACCAAGGCATTGACATCTCCGCCCCATCCTTTGTTCGGATATCAGCCAGCATGCCAGTGTCTTAAATCAAGAAATAGCTTCCTAAGATCTACAGAGATACTCACAGGAACACCTCAGAAAGTGAGAGTCCAAAAGTGGCAGGCAAAAACCTAGAACCTCAATCCGTGGCTGATACTAGATGAGAAACTCCCTTCTGGGCACACAGAAGATTGGAAGGCACTGAATAGGCTGTACTCTGGCACCACGAGATGCAGAGCCAATCTTAAGAAAATGGGCTACAAAGTGGTCCGTGACATGTGAGTGCGGAGGAGAGTAAACAACAGACCACCTAGTACAATGCAACCTGAGCCCTACCACATGCACAATGGAGGTCCTTTTCACAGCGACACCAGAGGCACTCCAAGTGGCCAGCTTCTGATCAAAGGACATTTAGCATAATGCCAAGTTTTTAACTCTGTGTTTTTAAATACATTATAATTGTACCCTCAATTTGCTTCTGACATGATAAATAAATAAATCTGCTTTGAACCGAATTACATGAGTCTACACTGCCATATAATCTGGTTAAAATTAGATATTTTGGATTTTATATGGCAGTGTAGAAGAAGCCTCTGCCAAAGAGTGCTGATGCCAGAGAACCTCACTCTGGATCAGAATCGCCTTTTCAGCCCTGTTAAGATGTCTGCTTGGATAGAATTTAGAAGACCTTCCACAGAGAATGTCAACAAGCACATTTGAAAGACTCAAGATGAAACACGAGGAAGCAACAGAAAATCATACCATTTCTGCTTTGGCCCACTTGTCCACCACATCTTTTGCAAAGTTGAAGTATTCTGGCACCTCTGCCTTATACTGTTCTTGGATGGATTCATAATCTAAAAAATTCTGGGCTGCCAGAGCCAGCTGATGCTTGCTGAAGCGTCTGATAGAAGCTATGCCAAAAGTGCGCAAAGTCTTTAGAGATGATCCCTTCCACCATGTCGTTAAGGTTAAGGTGATACATGCCATAATGTGTTCTTCCACAGTGCCTTAAATGCAATGTATTTGTCATGAACCACTTGTCTGAAATGCATAAGGGAAACTGTTTTAGGAGATAAACCATTAGCCTCATCCACAAGTAGAAATGTTTGACATTATCTTCCCACCCTACTTAAAAAGCCATACTACAAGCAAAGTAAAAAGTCAGTCTATAATCCCCTAAATTTATAAGGAGTGGGAGGAAGGCACTCCTAAATGGCTTGAGAGTAACTTCTGAGCAATTCCTTGATCTGGGGTAGAGAGCAATGGGCTTCAAGTGTCATTGGACTACAACTCTCAAGCTCCATCTATTATGATCAATGTTCAAAGATGGATGAAGTCAGTCTTTCAAATGTCTGGAAGTGTAAGGTTCTCCATACTTACACTTTAATAGAATTATGGGTCATATTTTAGACCTGATCAAAGGTAAAGGTAGTCCCCTGACATTAAGTCCAGTCATGTCTGACTCTGGGGTGTGGTGCTCATCTCCATTTCTAAGCCGAAGAGCCAGCGTTGTCCATAGACACCTCCAAGGTCATGTGGCCGGCATGACTGCATGGAGCGCTGCTTGGATCTAGACCTGATCTAGAGGTACCTTAACCTCACTTCACAAAATAATCATTAAATGTTCATGGTAGAATTGTCTTATGAGGGTTTGGGCCTGAACCAAATAACCAAAGCTTTTTTGGCTACTACATAGATATCACAGTCACACTTAAACCAGTTGAGGTGCAATTCTACTGTACAAAGAAAACAGTGTTTGACAGATTTCCCAAATGTTCACACCAGTTACAGCAGGTTTTTCAGCAAGAGGGAAGGACTGTAAGACAGTGTGAATGTGAGTAATTTAGCTCATTATCTATTTTCATTCTTTTTGTTTTCAGGTGTGTCAAGCACTAGGCTTCTCAAACCTCCACACTCCACAATTCTGTGCTTTAAGGCAGAGGTTTTCAACCATTCCCTATACAAAGTGGTGGTTTGTGGACCTGTGTAGTCAACCAGCAATGGCCATTGGCCCATGGTTAATTTCCAGGAAATTATTTATTTATTTTCTGTATTTATAGACCACTTTTCTCACCCCTGGGGGGACTCAAAGCAGTTTCCAACATAGTCATGGCAAAAATTTAATGCCAAACATACATGTGAAAAACCACAACATAAAATCAACAATAACACATAACTATGAATGAAAACTATTACACCATATTATATTTCTCTCTCTTTCTGTATCTATGTATTTATTGTTCTCTCTCGGTATCTATCTATCTATCTAGCCATCCATCCTCCCATCTACCCTTTCCATCTATCCTCCCATCCATCTACCTATCTTCCTATATATTTCCCCCCCCCCTCTCTTTCTCATTTTCCATTCCATATATGTCTTGCCTATCTGTCTATCTATTATACTTAACTATCTCTCTCTCCTATTTCTCTGCCCACTCATTGATCTATCTGGAACTCCCAGTAGTGCAATGGGTTAAATCTTTGTCCCAGCAGGACTGAAGACCAACGGGTCGGAGGTTCGAATCCAAGGAGAGCATGGATGAGCTCCCCCGGTCAGCTCCACCTCCCCATGTGAGGACATGAGAGAAGTCTCCCACAAGGATGGTAAAACACCAAAGACATCCAGATGTTCCCTGGCCAACGTCCTTGCAGACGGCCAATTCTCTCACATGAGAAACGACTTGCAATTTCTCAAGTCGCTCCTGATACGAAAAAAATCTATCCATCCATCCATCCATCCTCCCATTTACCTTACTATCTATACTCCCATCCATCTACCTATCTATTTTCTTCCTGTCTATCTGTCTATCTGTCTATCTGTCTATCTATCTATCTATCTATCTATCTATCTATCTATCTATCTATCTATCTATCATCTTCCGGTCTATCTATCTATCATCTTCTGATCTATCTATCTATCTATCTATCTATCTAAACTCTCTCTCCCCCCTTCTCTACTATTTCTCTATCCACTCATCCATCTAGGATTCTAGGCCATGAGGATGGATAGCCTAGAATCAGGTGTTTTGCCATGATATTCTGGGTTATATGGCAATGTAGATGATCTGCTTTGAAAATTTAGATCAGGCATAGGCAAACTTGAGTCCTCCATGGGCCAAATCTACACCAGGCCTGGGCAAACCTGGGCCCTCCAGGTGTTTTGGACTTCCAACTCCAATATCTTTGGACTTCCAGCTTCCAATATCTATCTATCTATCTATCTATCTATCTATCTATCTATCTATCTATCTATCTATCTATCATCTTCATTGTCATCAATGGGCACAAACATGATGCTGCTCTCTCACACATTCGGAAAAATCTCTGTTGGTCCCACACCTCAAATAACTCAACAATCATTACGCGAAATTATTTATTTGATCTACAGCTGCCTTGTAGATAGATGGGTCAGCCTGCTCTTGCAAGCAGCATTTTTGCAAACCAAAGCATTGTTTTAGTTGCATAGTTATCTTGCCACTGCTAAATGCAAAAGCAGCACTACTGTACAAGAATGCTGTTTACATTGAGATACAGGTTATACCAGTCCTGCCAAGACATATTTGTTGCAAAATACCTGGTCCAGGTAAGAATCAGACAAATGATATCAACTGCAACAACTTTTTGGAACATTTCTATCTCAGTCGTATGTGTTTATTTTAACTTGAAATCCAACCCTAAAATGACCATTGAATTAGTGAAAGGACATGCCATTGTAATAATCCCCCACTTCAAATGCCATGGAGACTTTATTTCACAGTCTGTTTTGGTTTTCTGTCCTTCAGTTGTGGTATTGTCCACCTAATCCTTATCTTTCATGCTTCACAAAAGTTTTAGTTAAGAATAAAGCAGGAAAGGGAATCGTTTATATTGCCTGGTTGTAGAAGGATGAGCTAATCAAGTAACAAAAGTATTGAAGTTAAGGCTGTTGCTTTGCTCTTTAAAACTTGGCCATGTTGGTGTTTTTTGTGCTGTTCTTGTAATATTACAATACTCTCTTCTGGAGTCTTTGAGACATGCTGTGTCTCCCTTTCTCTTGCTTTTGTTTTGAGCCATTAAAAACACAAGCCCAGTACACCAAGGAGAAAAACAACAGTAGATCAAGACAAATAATGACTCACTGGAAGAGTTGGCAAAGGTTCCTTGGAACTGCTGGACAATGGACCGGTGCAAATGAAGGCGGTGTGCCTCCCCAACAAAATCCCTCCTCGTCCAGCTTTGGGGGAAGCAGGCGCAGAGCGATAAGGCAGAAAGGCAGGCCAAGTCACACCCCTCCAGGCGTGACTGCTCTCTTGGCAAAAGACCTTTCAAACCTCTGGCTGATACTGGCTTTTTGCCATTTCCTCCACTGGTCCTGGCTGGGAAGCAGAGAGGGAACACGGGAGAAGGGCCTAAAGTGTAAACACCATCTGAAAAAAACCCAGAAACAGAACTGAATGTAGATTGATGGGGAGTGAGGATTGAAAGCCATGGCAGGGGGTATATGCTGAGAAAGTAATAACGACAACAACAACAATAAGAAGAAGCTGACACGATATGAGGATTTAAAGATTGAACTGCAAAGACTATGGTACAAGCCATTACAGGTGGTCCCGGTGGTGATTGGCAACTGGGTGCAGTGCCTAAAGACCTTGGTCTGCACTTAAACACAATTGGCTAGATGTAGTTCACCTTACTGGGATCTGCATGCATTATTTGCCGATACATCACACAGTCCTAGGCACTTGGGAAGTGTCCGATGTGTGATCCACTACAACAGCCAGTAGAGTGTCTGCTGTGGACTCATCTTGTTGTGTTTCAAATAATAATAATAATAATAATAATTATCATCATCATCTTTATTTGTACTCCGCCACCAACTCCCCAAAGGGACTTGGAGCCGCTCACAGAAGCACTCCAAGTGCCACATGCAGACAACAATACATAAGTACAAATACAATGACTTAAGTATAATCAACAGCGCATAAAAAGAAGTTTGAACAGGACCTTTCTAAACCCCTATGTTATATATGTGCATGTAATCATAGAGCTGGGAGCGATCAAAAGGGCTATCCAATCCAACCCCAGTCTGCCAAGCAGAGAAACACAATCAAAACAATCCTGACAGATGGCCATCCAGCCTTTGCTTAAAAACCTCCAGTGGAGGAGACTCTGACTGTCTACACTGACCATTTAATGCAGTGGTTCTCAACCTTTCTAATGCCGCGACCTCTTAATACGGTTCCCCATGTTGTAGTGACCCTTGACCATAAAATTTTCGTTGCTACTTCACAATTACAACTTTGCTACTGTTATGAATCATAATATAAATATCTGATATTTAGGACGTATTTTCATTCACTGGACCAAATTTGGCACATATACCTGATATGCCCCAATTTGAATACTGATGGGGTTGGCAGGGGATTGATGTTGTCATTTGGGAGTTGTAGTTGCTGGGGTTTATAGTTTACCTACAATCAAAGAGCATTCTGAACTCCACCAACGATGGAACTGAACTAATCTTACCACACAGAACTCCCTTGACTAACGAAAAATACTGGAAGGGTTTGGTGGGCATTGACCTTGACTTTTGGAGTTATAGTTCACCTACATCCAGAGAGCACTATGGACTCACACAATGATGGATCTGGACCAAATTTGCCATGAATACTCAATATGCCCCAATGTGAATGAACACTGGTGGAGTTTGGGAAAATAGACCTTGGCATTTGGGAGTTGTAGTTGCTGGGATTTATAGTTCACCTAAAATCAAAGATCATTCTGATCCCCAGCAATGATAGAATTGGGCCAAACTTCCCGCACGGAACCCCTATGAGCAATCTATCTTTTTGGATGTCTTTGGCGACCCCTCTGACATCCCCTTGTGACCCCCCCAGGGGTCCCGACCCCCAGGTTGAGAAACACTGATTTAATGCCTCTTAAAACTAGTTTTTAACTGTGGTGGCTATGGGCCCTTCCAGCCAGGCCCTATATCCCAGGTTTTCTGTCTAGCCCAGATTATCTGGCAGTGCAGACTCATATAATCCAGTTTAAAGCAGAAAACTTGGGATCAGATCAGATCCTGGGATAGAGGACCTGTCTGGAAGGGCCCCAAGGCCCCTTCTACACTGCCTAATATCCCAGGATCTGATCTTATATCTCAGGATCTGCTTTAAATTGGTTTGTATGAGGGCCCTTCCACACAACCCTGTATCCCAGAATAAGGTAAAGGTAAAGGTAGTCCCCTGACATTAAGTCCAGTCATGTCTGACTCTGGGGTGTGGTGCTCATCTCCATTTCTAAGCCAAAGAGCCAGCGTTGTCCGTAGACACCTACAAGGTCATGTGGCCGGCATGACTGCATGGAGCGCCGTTACCTTCCCGCCGGAGCGGTACCTATTGATCTACTCACATTTGCATGTTTTCGAACTGCTAGGTTGGCAGAAGCTAGAGCTGACAGCGGAAGCTCACGCCGCTCCCCGGAATCAAACCTGCGACCTTTCGATCAACAAGCTCAGCAGCTCAGTGCTTTAACCCACTGCGCCACCGGGGGCTCCATGTATCCCAGAATATCAAGGCAGAAAATCCCACATTATCTGAGTGTGGACTCAGATAAGCCACTTCAAAGCAGATATTGTGGGATTTCCTGCCTTGATGTTCTGGGATATGGGGCTGTAGAAGGGCCCTGGGTCTCCACTGACATATAGTCTGGGATAAACAGATAATCTGGGTGGAAGGGGTGTACAGCCACTTTTACACTGCCACATAAAATCCAGATTATATGATTTGAATTGGGTTGTATGGCAGTGTGGTCTCAAATAATCCAGTTATTGTGGATATCTGCTTTGATATTCTAAATATATGGCTGTGTGGATGATCTGCTTCCAAAATTTAGATCAGGCCTGGGCAAACTTAGGCCCTCCAGGTGTTTTGGACTTCAACTCCCACAATTCCTAACAGCCTCAGGCCCCTGGAAGGGGCCTGAGGCTGTTAGGAATTGTGGGAGTTGAAGTCCAAAACACCTGGAGGGCCTAAGTTTGCCCAGGCCTGATCTAGACTATATGGCAGCCATAGGGACCTGCTCAGCCAGATCTTGGAAAAGCTACTCTCTGATAACAAATCCGCAAAAGAAAAGTTGCCTCTACAATTTCTTATCTCTATGGGTGGTGTGAGTGACGTCACGGAAGCGGTTTAGTTGTGTGGGCGGAGACTCGGGGGTCCTCTCTGCGCCTGCGCGAAGGGGCCGGGCTCCTCTCCCTCGCCATGGCCGCCGTGGAGGCCTCGCGTAAGCGCCGCTCCAAGGCGCCCTTCTTCCCGGCGGCCAAGCGGGCCCGGCCGGGCGGCCCTGGGCAGCTGGAGCCCGGCATGCGGGGCATCCTCATCACCTGCAACATGAACGAGCGCAAGTGCGTGGCCGAGGCCTACAGCCTGCTGGGCGAGTACGGCGAGCAGCTCTACGGGCCCGAGCAGGTAGGAGGGCGGTCGCCATGGCAACCAGGCCTCGCCCGCGGTGCAGCATGGGAAAAGCCATTGGGCGGCCTCGCCAAGGTTGTGACTCCCATCCCATCCGTATGGCCTAGAATCCTACCATTCTAGGAAAGACTATAGGCTTTTGGGTTGTTGTGAGTTTACCAGGCCATGTTCCAGAAGCATTCTCTCCTGATGTTTCACCCACATCTATTTATTTTATATATTTCGGTTTCTTCTACCCGCCCTTCTCACCCCGAAGGGGACTCAGGGCGGCTTACAAAGGCACAATTCGATGCCAGCATCATATAACAGTAGTAACACAAAATAACATCAATTAAACAGTTGAAAGAGAAAATGTGGAGGTCGTGACAGACTTTGTATTTCTAGGCGCAAAGATTACTGCAGATGCAGACTGTGGCCAGGAAATCAGAAGACGCTTACTTCTTGGGAGGAGAGCAATGTCCAGTCTCGATAAAATAGTAAAGAGTAGAGACATCAGACTGGCAACAAAGATCCGCCTAGTCAAAGCCATGGTATTCCCTGTAGTCACCTACGGATGTGAGAGCTGGACATTAGGGAAGGCTGAGCGAAGGAAGATCGATGCTTTTGAACTGTGGTGTTGGAGGAAAGTGCTGAGAGTGCCTTGGACTGCGAGAAGATCCAACCAGTCCATCCTCCAGGAAATAAAGCCCGACTGCTCATTGGAGGGAAGGATACTAGAGACAAAGTTGAAGTACTTTGGCCACATCATGAGGAGACAGCAAAGCCTAGAGAAGACAATTATGATGGGGAAAGTGGAAGGCAAAAGGAAGAGGGGCCGACCAAGGGCAAGATGGATGGATGGCATCCTTGAAGTGACTGGACTGACCTTGAAGGAGCTGGGGGTGGTGACGGCCGACAGGGAGCTCTGGCGTGGGCTGGTCCATGAGGTCACGAAGAGTCGGAGGCGACTGAACGAATGAACAACAACAAACAGTTGAAACAGTTAAACAACAATTTCTGCATTACAGCCCTAAAACCAATACAAACGATAAAACCTAATTACTCCTCATAGACAGCCAGCGTTCGTTATCTCATAGTCCAAATTCCAATTCCACATTGTCAGTCCTGTCAGTCCTAGTAGTTTGATTGTCCTTATCTAGTTGTCAGATTGCCCAAAGGCCTGGTCCCACAACCACGTCTTTACTTTCCTCCTGAAGGAGAGGAGGGATGTTGATGCCCTAGTCTCTCCCGGAAGTGAGTTCCACAGGTGAGGGGCCACCACCGAGAAGGCCCTGCTCCTCGTCCCCACCAACCTCACTTGTGATAGCGGTGGGGTCGAGAGCAGGGCCTCCCCAGATGATCTCAGACTCCGGGGTGGGACGTAGAGAGAGATACGTTCGGACAGATACACTGGACCGGCAGGCATCTATGGCAGGCATCCTCAGAGGTTGTGAGGTCTGTTGGAAAGTAGGAAAATTGGGTTTATATATCTGTGGAAAGTCCAGGGTGGGAGAAAGAGCTCTTGTCTGCTTGAGGCAAGTGTGGATGTTGCCATTGGCCACCTTGATTAGCATTGAATGGCCCTGCAGCTTCAAAGCCTGGCTGCTTCCTGCCTGTGGGAATCTTTTATTGGAAGGTCTTAGCTAATTTAACTAATTTACGAGGCCATAAAAGTCTCCAGCAAGCATGCAAAGAACGAGGAAGTACTTTGTCAGTGTCACAAATGGACTGTGAAGCGACAGCTCCCCTGTTGGCCAGAATATTTTACCTATAAAGGTCTGTATGGTTCTGGCCCAGCTTACTTGTCCAAATGCATCTGCCTCTACGTCCCACTTCGTAACTTAAGATCATCCGGGGAGGCCCAGTTCTTGCTCCCGCCAACATCGCAAACGCAGCTGGCGGGGACGAGAGACAGGGCCTTCTCGGCTGTAGCCCCCCACCTGTGGGACGTGCTTCCAAATGAAATACAATCGACCCCATCCCTCCTGGCGTTCAGGAAGAAATTAAAATCTTGGTTTTGGACCAGGCTTTCGGACAATAAACATAAAGCAGCACTTTGACTGGAAATGTATTGGCAAGACGATATGTATGAGGATACGGTTTTATGGTTCTATCAGTGGGTTTGTGGACTGAGTATTGTTTTAATGACTTATGATTATTTGGTTATAATTAACTGCTATTTTAACTCTGTATGTATTTATTATGGTTTTATACTGTGTTATTGATTGTGGCATCGAATTGCTGACTTTGTTAGCCGCTCTGAGTTTCCCCTCGGGGGTTGAGAAGGGCAGGGTAAAAATGCTGTAAATAAATAAATAATAAATAATACCCTCATGAATAAGTTGGAATAGTAAATAGCCTCCGAGTGTCTGCCTATATATGTTGTGTGTCTATGGCATTGAATGTCTGCCATGTATAAGTACATTGTAATCCACCCTGAGTCCCCTGCGGCCTGAGGAGGGCGGAATATAAATACTGTAAATAAATAAATAAACAAGCTGTCCCTAACATTTTCCTGTCTGGAATTCCCCTTAGTCCGCAAAGACTAAGAGGGATCCTCTCACCTCTGCGGGAGTCTACAGTATACCATGCAGCTGTGGACAAGTCTACATAGGGACCACTGCACACAGCATTGCCCAAATATGAACCAAGGAACATGAAGGCCAAAGTGAAGTCAGCCATAGCAGAGCACTTGATGAACCACCTGAGAACACAGAAATGCTGGATCACTCTCATAACCACCATGTCATACTGCACAGAGAATCAATTGAAATCCACAAGCATGTGGAAACCATGAAAATGAACAAAATTAGGCTACTAGAATTTTAAAAAACTCTAAAATCAGGACAGTAAATAAAGATCAACGACAGGCGAATTCAAAACTCCATGTCTATTTAAAACTGTTCCCCACCCTTAGAATTGAAGAACACATGGACCCAACTGTCAATAACTTATTATAGAAGTCAGTGGATATATATATATTTATATTTTGCCCTTTCCCAGTTAAAAAACAAAACAAGCAGGCACCTGAACAAAACAACACTCATATAAATAATATTATTAAAAACAAATAAAGCTACAATGTAATAACCAGAGGGGGTATGTTAAAAGGAGCAATGAAAGAAGCAAAAGTAGATTAAAAACCAAGTAAGATATTCCTGATAATGTTTGCTTTTCTGCTTCTTGCTGTTTTCCTTGGACCTTGATACCATTGGAGCCCATAAAGCATGATCAGTCCTGATTTTGACATTTCCTAGGGTTCTTAGTAGTATGGTTGTTAGACTTGGGTTGTGGCTTTGTGAGCATCAGATGGCTGATATGTCTCTGTCATTGAGCCTGGCATATTTCTTCAAGGGCATCTATGAATTGTTAATAGCTATAAGCATAGTTTTCCCATTCATTCTGTAAGACTGATTGCAGAATGAATGAACTTTAAGAGCTGGTTGTTTTTCACTACTTTGTTCCTTATACTTTTTTTGTTGTTGTTTCAGTTACCAGAAAGAGACTGTCTTGTTTTTGCTTATTGAATGCCATGTCTTTTAGGCGCTTATAAATAAAACAAATGAATTTGTGTGAAGTTCACAGATCAAGAAGAAAGCAGAGTGTCAGGAAATGAGGAGGACGAGGACGAAGACAATGAAGATGATGATGCTGAAGCCGCTTTGAAAAAGGAGGTTGATCAGATTCGTAATTCAACAGAGCAGAAGAGGCGGCGGTTCCAGTCGGTGGAGAGTGGGGCCAATAATGTGGTTTTTATTAGAACACTGGGTGTAGGTATGAGCACATAAAATGGCGTGATTCAAACTCTAAGGCAGCTCTGTTAGGATCTTGCAGACTCTAGACCAGGCATGGGCAAACTTTGCCCTCCCGGTGTTTTGCACTTCAACTCCCACAATTCCAAACAGCCTCGGGCTCCTTCCTTTTCCCCTTCAGCCACTTAAGCTGAGGCTGTTAGTAATTGTGGGGGTTGAAGTCCAAAACACATGGAGGGCTGAAGTTTGCCCATGCCTGGTCTAGGTATAACTATAAACATATTCAGCTATTTTAGACAAATCCATATCTTTGGGGTTTACCATAAATCAAATTAAGCAGATATTAGCCACTGTTACTCTGTAACTGGTCAGAGGTGATGGAACCTATAGGCTGGCAGCCATCACTATAAACTGAAGTATATATATATCTGTTTTCTATATTTTGTTCCAGAGGTTGCAAATTCATACACTGGCTTTGGGGCATTTAGGATGTTAAAAGGCATCACTGTGTTCCCAGTAAGGCAGGGGCTAGGTATGGTGGCCCTTCTAGTTAATAAAAGACATCCTCTAATTTAATGCTTATATTTTGAAAGTTTTTAAATCGTATAGCATAAAATATAAGATGAGAATAAAGCAGGATAAAAATCACCATCATTTAGTAATTTTTATATTTAAGTGCATGGCAAAGACATAATTATTTTTTGCCAGCCTTCCAAATTCATCCTATCATATATGTTGCACTTTGTGATAAATTGGACATTTTATATTGATATCTGAGTTGTTTTATATTCAAAATATTTATATTCAATGTGTTTTCAAATTCTTACAGAGCCAGATTGTGAAAGGCTGGCTAGAGTTTCCTTCACCCTGTTAGAAATGCTATTTCTTTGTCCCAAGGGCAGTCTTGTCGGAAATTACTCTCCCAATCCATTCTCCTTGCAGAACCAGAAAAGCTGGTGCACCACATCCTGAAGGACATGCATGCCACCAAAAAGAAGAAAACCAGAGTCATCCTGCGCATGCTGCCTGTTTCAGGCACCTGCAAAGCCTTTGTGGAGGACATGAAACACTACTCGGAGACCTTTTTTGAGCCTTGGTTTAAAAGTCCCCAGAAAGGCACTTTTCAGATTGTTTATAAGGCTCGAAACAACAGCCACCTCAGCAGAGAAAAAGTGATCACAGAACTGGCAGGTGGGTGCTCTCTTGGTTTATATTGGAGCTTGGAGGAACCCTTTTACAGTGGCTCCAATCCTTCCTGGAGGGTCGTTCTCAGAAGATGTTGTTGGAGGACACCTGCTCGGTCCCATAGCCATTGCCCTTTTGGGCCCCACATTGCTCAATATTGTCCCCCATGTTTTTTAACATCTACATGAAGCCACTGGAAGAAATAATTGAGAGTTTTGGAGTTTGATGTCATCTGTACGCAGATGACATTCTACTCTGTCACTCCTTTCTAGCTGCTACTAAGGCTGCTACTTCAGGACCTGCTACTTCAGGTCCTGAACCGGTACGTAGTTGTGACAGACTGGATGAGGGCGAACAAATAGAAATTGAATCCAGACAATACAGAGGTTCTCCTGGTCAGAAGGCCGAACAGGGTATAGGGTTACAATGAGCACACAACTCCCCTGTTGTGCCAGCTCCACTGGCTGCCAGTCTGCTTCCAAGCACAATTCAAAGTGCTGCCTTTAGTCTATAAGCTCTAAACGGTTCTGGCCCAGTTTACCTGTCTGAACATATCTCCCTCTATGATCCACCTCAGAGGTTAAGGTCATCGGGGTGGCCCTGCTCTCTGTCCCACCCCCCTCGTAGACGTGACTGGTGGGGACAAGAAAAAGGGCCTTCTCAGTGGTGGCCCCTCAGCTGTGGAACTTCATCCCCAGTAAAATTAGATCTGCCCCATCACTCCTGATCTTCAGGAAAAAAACTAAAAACATGGCTCTGAGATGAGGCTTTTGTCCAGTAAGGGAGAGTAGTGCAACTACAAATTAATGAGACTACAAATTAATATAATGATGACTTAGACCAGCCCTGGAATGTGATTTGGATTATGTGATTTTAAATGATATTTTAATGCTATGTTTTAATGGTTTGGTTTTAACGTTTCTGTTTATTTACCAATGTATGAATATATGGCATTGAATTGTTGTCTTTATTGAGAAGGGCGGGATATAAACATGGTACATAAATATTGCAATTCAGGGAATAAAAATTCAGGCTGGGACCTAAAGGTGGGAGAAGCGGGTGAGATGTTTGCAGTGGCTGTCTCTTCCTTCCATATCATTCTTCCTCTAAACTCGGTCTTCCTTCCTCTTCTTCCCATGCTCCCAAGCACAACCTCAAGGACAGAGTGGGGCAGGGGGCAGGGACTTGGGGGATGAAGGAGAAACAAATAATAGAAACGTAAAAGGGAGAGGCTTATCCTCCTTTTTAAGGTTTGGAAATTAGGTTGGAAGGTTTAAATAATAATAACTTAATTTTTATACCTGGCCTCCATCTCCCCAAAGGGACTGGTGCGGCTTCCATGGGGCAAGACGGGGAAAGGAATAAGACAAAAGGTTTGACTACTTAGCTGGGTCCAATTTGTTCAAATGAGCAGATGCTGCTCTAGGAGCATCATAGACAGGAAGAAGACTGGCATTTGAGGGTTTGCTCCCCCACTCAGAGGCCAGAGGGATCTTTTTTAAATCATTTTTTAATGTCAGAAGTGACTTGAGAAACTGCAAGTTGCTTCTGATGTGAGAGAATTGGCCCAGGGGACGCAGATGTTTTTACCATCCTATGGGAGGATTCTCTCATGTCCCTACATGGAAAACTGGAGATGACAGACGGGGAGTTGCTGACCTTCAGGTCAGCAGTCCAGCCGGCACAAGGGTTTAAGCCACTGCGCCATTGCGGCTGCTTCCTTTTTTCCTAAATCCCTGCTAGTGGGGGAAGCAATCGAAACATATAGGAGGTTACCCTCATCTACTGGAAAAGAACATGTGTTCCTTTTCCCAACTTTGGGAATATATGGAAGTGGCAACAAGAGTGGGAATCTTTTGATCCTCCAGATGTTCTGACCTCCTATTAGTCCTTTACCATTAACTATAGTAGCTGGGGCGTCTTGGAGCTGAAGCCCAATACAAATAGAGAGTGAAACACCCCTTTCAAGGTTGTGGAGATGACTTTCTAACTCCCTTCTATCCACCCCTTCTCTTTGTGGCCTTGCAGGAGTGGTGGGCCATCTCAATCCGGAGAACAAAGTCGATCTGAATAACCCCGAATTCACCATCGTTGTGGAGATCATCAAAAACATCTGCTGTTTGAGTGTAGTGAGGGACTATGTGCTTTTCAGGAAGTACAACCTCCAGGAGGTGGTGAAGAGTGGCAAAGCGGATTGTGAGGGAGATGCGTCAAAAGCATCTCCAGAAGGCAATTCGAAAGGAGACAAACCAGTGGTGGAGAATGTGGAAAGTCAAGACCAGCCTGAAGATAAGCTTGAGGAAAAAGCCAATGACAACCATGAGGATTAGGACCATTAATTGAGTTGTTGGATAGAAACTATAGAGGATGATTCGTTTTTATTTCGATGGTTTGGCATTTTTAAATGAAAAAAAAAACACTCTGGTTTTGGTATTAAAGCCAATGGTTCACCAAATATTTTTGACTGGGAACTGATAGGTTGGGAGCTGCTGGTGTGACTGTCAGAAACCTTTCCTAGATACAACAAATTTTACAGGATTTGGAAAAAATGTGCTGAAGATATGCGTTCTTTTGCTATAAAATGCAGTTTCCCAAATGCTGCACTGAAGTGATTTGATACATTTTGTTTGGTTTGATCTGTACATAATATTCTATTCCTAGCCAACATGGTTTTTCTTTCCATGTCAGGAGCAACTTGGGAAACTGCAAGTTGCTTCTGGTGTGAGAAAATTGGTGGTCTTCAAGGATGTTGCCCAGGGGACACCCAGATGTTTTACCATCTGTGGGAGGCTTCTCTCATGTCCCTGCACGAAAAGCTGGAGCTGACAGATGGGAGCTCACCCTGCTCTTTGGATTCAAACTGCCGACCTTTCGGTCAGCACAAGGCTTTAACCCATTGTACCCCTGCGAGCTCCAGCCAACAGTATGCTGCCATGTATTTTTCATTTTTCAATTTGTTTGGATTTGGTAGCTTTTGGAAGCAAACTCTACAGTTAATTTCTAACCAGGACTGAGAGCCATGGTTTGAAATCTGTTTCCAATTCTATGGGAAAGCAGCTGAAACTTTTAGTGGTGGCTCAAAATGCACTTCCAGCATCCAGATCCCAACTTATCCATGAGAACTGAACCCAGCCATAGATACATTTGAGCAAAAGTTAGCCAAATTTGGACCCCCTGGTTGTATAGATACAGAAGTGTGTGTTAAAAAGACTTCAGTTTATTTGGACATGGTGAGACTTTTGCTGGATGCTCCCTATATAACAAACAAAACCATATCCTATGGTTAGTGTTGATATCTGAATGTGCATCAACAGCTGTTTCACAGTTGCTAAGAATCTGTGGCAGTGTTTGTTGCTTCACTTGGTAGCAGTTGATGCTACTGTCAAAACCAGATGGAAGACATTTTTGGATTCTAGGGTTTTGATAGTTGAGCCAGTGATCCAGCATACGTTTCACCAGTTTGGGCCAACCTAGCATTGGAAATAGCCACCAATCTAAACTTCACTTCTTGCAGTTTCAGATTCAGAAGGATCTCATAAAACCGATCCTAAATACAAAGCAATTTAGAATGTGTATATGTGGAACAGGTGTTTTTCTAAATGTTTTTTATTTAAAATTTGCATAAAGTTTTATATTAAAAGTCTTCTTGAGAACATTACTTTGTGTGGTGTTCTGGATTTTCCAGCAGCTACGAAAAATTAACAATCAACTTGAGAGCAGATAAGATTGTAATGTCTTTCCCTGTAATTTTGTGACTTGGTTCTTGGTTACTTTTCAAGACTAAACTGCAGTATATTTGGCACCCAGTTTAAGAAAGGATTCCTCATTATCTGAAATATGCCACTGATCAGAAAGAGTAAATTGGAAACTGTTCTCATGAAAACTAGTAATCTGGAGCCACTAGGTTGTATTAGTTTTGAGCAGTGACTTACTGTTTCTTGACATTCTTTTCAAATGCAGAGACATTGTTTTGGTGCATTATTATACCACCCAAACACGGGGGAAGGGTTAATAGCTGGTAAATGAGTTGTTGCATTCCCTTTCACTCCTCAGTAGGGTCGAATAACTTTACAAAAAACAAAACAAAAAAAACCCAATATGTGCTATGTTAATGGGCTACAAAGACATCTCCTAATCAGAAACCTTTTCTGTTGTCAGTAAAAGGCTTAGTAGGTAGTAGTTTTAAAAAACGCTCAACATGCAAATCTGGTTGTACTGGTGAATGTAATGTACTTAAAGAGAAGACATAATTTCATATGTCTTTGCTGCTATAGATAGTTACTATGGAATTGGAGCCCCTGGTGGCACAGTGGGTTAAACTCCTGTGCAGGCAGGACTAAAGACCGACAGGTCGCAGGTTCGAATCTGGGGAGAGGTGGATGAGCTCCCTCTACCAGCTCCAGCTCCTCATGCGGGGACATGAGAGAAGCCTCCCACAAGGATGATAAAACATCAAACCCTCCGGGCGTCCCCTGGGCAACGTCCTTGCAGACGGCCAATTCTCTCTCACCAGAAACGACTTGCGGTTTCTCAAGTCTCCTGACACAAAAACAAAAAAACCAACAACTATGGAATTACAATTGAGTTCTCATCAGTGCACCTCAAAATGTACTATAGAGTCTGAAAAGCTATAGAAAAGGATAATAAAAATGATCGGAGCTGGAACAACCCTGTTATCAGTAAAGGTTGCAATGTATGGGACTGCTTAGCATACAGTTAAGGGCAATGAGAAACGACACTTATCCAGCATCTACCAATCCCCATGGATACCAATTCACTGAACATCTACTGCATCCAATTTATGAATGTCAGTGATAGTTGAGTGAATTAATGTTCCAGAAATATGTCAGTGCCACTAGAATCCAATAACCACACCAACATTCACAGCAACCAGCAATTCATCATTGCCATCTACTCTCTTTAGATAGTTGGTTCAAAAAACAAACTCTCCCATATTTGCTTGTGAGTATCAGCGAGACTTCTCCCATTCTTTATTTCTCAATTTTTTCCTTTGGACTTTTCCAGAAATGGTCTTGGGCAGGTTTCGAACAAACTCTATCTGAAATGCAAGCAGTTGGGGGGGGGGGGGGGGGGAGAGGAGGCAGAATAAGTACGGGGGGGGGGGGGGAGAGGAGAGAATAAGTACGGCAACATTTATTGGATGTTTATATTAATTAATTGCAAAGATGCAATACCCTGGGCTTGATCACAAGTTGGTGACCTATGATCTAGAACAGTGGTTCCCAACCTTTTTTTGGCCAGGAACCACTCTCAACACTAATACCAAAAGGGTTATGAATCAGTTTGTGATCAACTTTAGATTTGGTTTGGTTATTTGGGGTGTTGATTCAGAAAATTGTATTAGATAGACCACATCAGCTCTAGTTTTTGATACAGAACATATGCCACCCAGTAGTCGCCATCTGCTTGCCCACAGAAAATTATATTTAATAACCTTTGGCACTTTAAGAGGATTTTGCATGACCAGTTGCTCTTGTTTACAAGGGTGTCATAACGGTGATGCCGCGGACTATATTTTAGTTCTTGTGGACCACTGGTGATCCATAGGTTGGGAACCACTGCTATAGAACCACATATATGGTCCTGCCCTATGTCTCTTTCTACATCTCTTTTTAATCCCTTTAGCTTGGCTAGGCAGGACCAACATCTTCACAAGTGGTGACAGTTTTACCTTCTTCACCCACATCTGGCCCCTTACCAAATATTTTCTGAATTACACACCTCAAGGTAAATTGAGACATTTTTCTGTTAAGTCCTACAGGAAAGCAGGAATCCTAACAACATGCCATTCTAGATAACCGCTGAAGTGTTCTAGATGTTGAAGTCACCCTTAGCCCGATGCATAGCTATTCTGAATAGTACTGTACTTGCCTTTCTGGGATACTTGTATGGAGCGGTTGTTCCCTTGACATGATTTTGGAGTTCAATAATTAATTTGTCTTTATCATGCGACTCGTAGGCAGGGGACAGAACGATGAAGGCTTTCACCACCTGTAATGAAACCCAAAGAAAGCAAGATGAGTGGAGTGGAATGAATAAGATTTTATAGGCCGCTCATGTTTATTCAAAAGAAGTATCACATGTCCTTGCAATCAGAATAATGCTACAACAACCAGAATTGGCATGGCCAATGAGCCTAGTTTTTGGGCGATGCTGGGAGTTGTACATCAGATGCAGTTTTAATTTCCAGATACATATGGAATAGGTCTATAGCAGTAGGTTATGTGCACGCTTTCCTCAGAGTAAGCCATACCAAATAAAATAAACAGCATAACCTGTGGAATGTGGTGAAGCTTATTTCAATTTGATATCACTTTAACTGCCATGACTTAATGCTATGGACTCGAGAGCTGTAGTTTAACAAGGTATTTAGCTTTCTCTGACAAAGGTTGGTGCCTCTCCAGACTTCAGCTTCAGTGATTTCATAGCATCGAGCCATGTCAGTTATAGTGACAAATAAGCATAGATGGAGTCCCTCAGATAACTTGTTGCTCATAATAATTTTGTTAAAATTATCTTTTGAAGTGATAACGAAGCTTTTTAAAAAACCGGAAGTCCCTTTGCCCTTCTGAAGCTTTTTCCGCCATTTTTGTTATGACTCAGGAAGTGAGTCGGAAATGATTCGGCTTTTCCCTGCTTCTGATCCCTGGCCTCTGCTCAAGCCAGAGAAGCCAGTTTTAAACCAGAGAAGAAAGGAATTTCCTCGCCTGGGCTCAAGCCAGATAAGCCAGTTTTAAACCACAGAAGAAAGGAATTTCCTGGCCTCGGCTCAAGCCATAGAAGCCAGTTTTAAACCAGAAAAGGAAGGAATTTCCTCCGCTTGCTTTTCCCCACTTCTGGTCCCTGGCCTCGGCTCAAGCCAGAGAGGCCAGTTTTAAACCAGAGAAGGAAGGAATTTCCTGACCTCAGCTCAAGCCAGTTTTAAACCAGAGAAGGAAGGAATTTCCTCCACTTGCTTTTCCCTGTTTCTGGAGTAAAACAACTACTTTCAAAGTAAAGACCACCCAATGAAACAGGAAATAACACTTTCAAACTATTAATGAAAGGATTTGGCAGTTTTGGAAGTTTCGAAAAGTTTTGAATTTTTTGTTGTTGTGAAAATTGGAATTGACTTTAGAATTGAATTACCAGCAAAATGAGTTTTGAACCATTTTTTGGGGGGTCAACCAAGCCTAGTGCCAAACTGCTTGAATTCTACAGTGTAAATGGACCCCAAGAAGGCACTGCCTTGTATTCCCACTAAATGCGGCTGTGAGGGATCTCTTTTGAAGGTCTTGAGACATGGGAAGGCTCCTATTTGAAGCTATTCTAGCGTGTGTCCTAAACGTTTTACCTCTCCTCTGATGAGATCTGGGCTACTGACCACGGCTGCTTCTGCCACGGCTGGGTGCCCCATTAAAGCATTTTCCACTTCAAATGGCCCAATGCGATACCTACTCAGGAGAGAGAACTTTGCTTCAGTTCCTTGTTAATAAGATTCACAAAAGTTAAGCGCTCTCTTGATATTCAGGATGGAAAGAATTTGAGATGTTAAGATCTGAGATGCAGGAGAAAATAAAATTAATATAGCCAATGGGCTAATCAATAAAACATACCTAACTACCAAATAGTTTTTGTATGTCCAGGAACAGGGCTCTGAATGCATCACTCTTCAAAGTCTTTACAGAAATTTCGCTTCCACAGAAAGCTTGAAACTGGTTGACCTGAGTATGTACCTTGGAGCTATCAGGCCCATAAGAGGCTGCTGAATTCAGACAGCGCTGCATGCCATTGATTTTTCAGGCCGTATAGCCATGTTCCAGCCATGTTACAGTGATTCTGGCCATGAAAGCCTTCGACAATACATTGAGCGTTTATTATAATCGCACAATATGTAGATGCTTTGTGGGATATAGGTGTAGCATGTTCCTGCTTGTACTTTTTAAAAATTGAATTTGGTTAGGGTGATGCATTTCCTCTATTTATTATTTACATTATTTTAAAAATTCAATAGCTTTCTTTAACTCTTCTTGACCTGTCAGGCTGGTGGATAAATCAGTCCGTAGCAATGACGGGCCAGGGAACTTCAAACAGCAGTGGTTCAGTCCTTACAGTTGGGTGCTTTTGTGTCAGAGTCATAATAATTTCACTCCCAGTTTTAGTCTGAACTTTAACATGGAATCAGTCAAAAACCCCTTTTGGATAGCCCCCTTTTATGGTTCAGACTAAAAGCAGGAGTGGAGTCATATCTCATCCAACATGGGAACTTCTTCCTCCACTTTCCTCAATGCCAGAAGTTCAAAGCATCCTTAGGAACAGACTAGTCTTGTGTGTTCCTTCTCTCTGCCAGGTACAGATCCTTTCTAAAGCTATTGGTTCTTAATTTCCATTTAAGACCAAGCTATTCTCTAAATACTTTCTATGACAACAGGAATTGCTCACTAATATAGACATGTGCATCCGGGGGAAACATTGTTCTGTTTCGTGTCCCAGCTTTTGTTGAGGGGCTCCGATCCATTTTTTGGGAAGCCTCCCAAAATTGGGTTGTTTTTGGTTCTTTCATTTTGAGGGCTAAAAATACAACCATTATGTGTGTGTGTGTGGGGGGGGGGGGTGTGTGCTTCCCACCCACTGGCTCCCCTTCCCGGTATGTGTTCTTACCTGGCACCTGCTGTTTCTACTCTAAGAGTAAGAGGCACTCAGCTGCAGGTGCACTCCAGGTCTGCCTGCCTGCACGCCCCGCTATGTATGCCCGCAGCCACATTTTCCGAGAGTGCGTATGTGGTGGGGCATGCAGGCAGGACTGAAATGCACCTGCAGCTGAGCCCCGGGCCTGCCTACCTGCACATCTTGCCACACAGGACCCACCACAGTCTCCAAGAGAGTGTGTGTGTGGCGGGGCGTGCAGGCAGGCCTAGAACACTCCTGCAGCTGAGCTCTGGGCTTGTCTACCTGCACACCCCGCCACACATGCCCCACCACAGTCTCAAAGAATGTGTGTGTCGTGGGGCGTGCAGGCAGGCCCAGAGTGTGCCTGCAGCTGAGCTCCGGACCTGCCTGCCTGCATGCCCTGCCACACACACACACTCTTTCCAAGGCAAGGAGGCAAGTTTGGATGCACATGAAAGCAGGCTTTCGTGTTGAGCAGATTTTTGTGTGGGGAGGGAGCTTCCCGTTTTATGCTTCCAAAGAAATGGAAGACACAAAAGAAATGGTAGAAATGAATATCACGCACATGTCTAACATATCATGCTGCTGGAGGAAGTTTTATCCTTTCAGGTATTGTGAGGATTGCAACCAAACTCAGAGGGATATAAGGAACCCTGAAGCAGGTAGTTGATTATGGATGAGATTCTACATCATGATGTGTGTTTTGTAATTTGATGAATCCATGGCTACATAGCTGAAATGCAACAGAACTTGGCTAGTGAATTGTGAAGATGCACATCAAGCATGAGCATCACATCTGATGAACATTGGCAGTCATGTTACACCCCAGCACTTCCCAGCTTGAGTTTGGGTGCTCAGAGGTGCGCTCTAGCAATTGCCAGCGCCAGGGCGCATCCATCGGTCCATCGTCTACAGTTGCACAAAGTGCACTGTAATGTGCACTTGGAGAATTCCCGCACACTTATTAACTTATGAAGATGTTAAGTTGGTTAAGATTTTGACTATCATCACTCTCCCTGCTGAATGCAAAGTCCAGGTTCTCTGACTCTGCAAGCCCAGGTTGTATTACTTGGCTGATTAAAAGTCATTCAAAGCGGCAAGAAAAGGAGCGTACCCAGCAGATAAGATAACATCATCAGCTCTTGCAACAAAGTGGATGTAGCCATCTTCAGCCATTACCCCTCTGTCCCCAGTAACGTAGAAGTCTCCGCGTTCGGTGGAGGCAGTTTTCTGGGGATCATCCTAAAAACAGCGAAACAGCCTCCGCTCAAGCCAGTCCAGTCAAGCATGCTCCTCGCTTGAGTCCTCACAATGTCTTGCATGTGTGACTAGCCCATCCCTCCCAGGTGTAACAGCCCAGAGAAAGCATTTCACATCATACTCGAACTGAATGTGTTACTCCTAACCTCATAACCAAGGAAGAGACCCAAAGGCCTTTTGGGTTTGATTCTAATGCCAATGTCTCCTTCTTTTCCTGGAGGCAAGATGTTGCTGTGTTCGTCTATTATCTAGGAGAAGGAAAACCAAATTCAAACTTTTTGTCTCTTTAGCAAAGGCTTGCCTTCTAAAGGAAAGGCCGAATGATGATTTTCTGAAATTAAATCACACTCAAAAGCATGGGTGGAATTTGCTGTATACTATATGGTGTTAAATGCAAATCCCATCAAGCAAAGCCAGGTGAGGAATGCTGGGAACTGTAGTCTACTAATTCTGGAAGGCTGTTTCCTACTCTTGGGAGTTGTGTATACCAACAAAATAAATCAGGTTCAGTTCAGAGTATTCTTTCCCAGATTCCCCCCACCATCCAACTCCACTCATAATACATTACACTGACATTGTACTGATGGTCACATATTTCCATTCTGTTCAATTCCTCTTTCTCCTTGGGGCTCCCAACTGCTCCTCAGCTGAGCCCTGCCATGAATGTGAGCAATGGTGGGTAGATAACCATTGAAAAGCCAAAATAAACTGCACCTTTCTCCTTGGAACAACTGTCTTCCCAGCCAAGCACTTTCCCGACCAAGTTCAACTTGCAAAGTCACTTGCTCTGAAGTTGGAATGAGACACTAGCTATGAGATCAATAAGGAGGTGGTTGATGAGGCTTCTGCCTCATGGTTGATCCCATGGCTGGGCATCTTGTTCTGAGCTCACAGAAAAAAGGATAGATCTTGCCCTTCCTTGCAGAATCAGGCAAAAGTAAACTGCTGCAGTCTCCAAACTGCTACATTTTTAATTAATAATGTTTGCCACCTTGACCACCTTCTGATGTTGTTAGACCACATGTTACACATCTATAAAATGTTGGAGGGTGTTATGTCAAATCCCACTGAAACTTCCTATGCCTCCTCACATTAAATGAAGATAAAAGCATGTTCCAAGGATGATGGTTTCTTTATGCTTCTTGGTATCCGTAGCGAGGCCAAGGGGCTTGTTTATAAATCTGTTGTCCTCCCAACCCTGTTATAAGCCTGTAAAATGTGGACTGTCTACAGATGTCACACTCAGCTCCTGGAACAATTCCATCAATGTTGCTTCTGAAACATCCTGCAAATTTCTTGGGAAGACAGGTGGACAAACATCAGTATGCTGGAAGAAGCAAAACGATGCTTCTCTGTCATCAACTCCACTGGACTGGCCACGTCCGAATGCCTGATCACTATCTTCCAAAGCAGTTACTATACTCTCAACTCAAGAATGGAAAACTGAATGTTGGTGGAGAGGAAAAGAGATTTAAAGATGGGCTTAAAGTTAACCTTAAAAACTGTTATAGACACTGAGAACTGGGAAGCCATGGCCCTTGAGTGCGCTAACTGGAGGTCAGCTGTGACCAGCAGTGCTGTGGAATTTGAAGAGGCACAAATGGAGGGCGAAAGGGAGAAACATGCCAAGAGGAAGGCACGTAAAGCTGGCCCTGGCCTGGCCTGCCTTACACTTGGAAACCAATGCCCTCGCTGTGGAAGAACCTACAGGTCAAGAACAGGGCTCCACAGTCACCTACGTATCCACCGCCAAGACACTACACTTGGAAGGCCATCACACTCAGACGACGAGGGATTGCCTAAGTAAAGTAAGTAAGTAAGTTTCTCTATATCAAAGCAAGGCTGGGTCACTGTCAAAATGGGGCTTTGAAGTGATTTCTGGCCACTTCTTGGTTTGATTGACTGCGTGTTTTTGCCCTGCTGTCATGTATCTGTGGCTCTCAGCAAGTCTAGGAGGAAAACTAGCCCCAGATCCAAGAAGACTGCCCAATCTCTGCTCCAAGCGCACCTACCTGCACATCATAGGGTGGGTGGGCCTTTCCTACGAATCCAGGTTTAACTTTCATATCAATTGTGGTGGCACACACCAAGGTCTGTCGAAACATCACAGAGAGGGGCATTCATTGAAACGAACACAAACACAACCGGGTTTCAGATGTTCAGATAGACAAAAGGAAGTATTTACATAACTGCACATAGTCTATCAAGGGCTGACAGTCAAAGTCATTATGTCTGGAGATAATGCTTCTGGAACATGGCCATACAGCTCAGAAAACTCACAGCAATCCAAACTCATAACTATTTGGATTTCATCAAGATGTTCTCTATGGATACAACCTCACAGGTGACAAACTAATCGTAATTCGTCTTCACTAGAAGCAGATATTTTGTAATATTGATGGTTCTTCATCATGCATTCAACCCTAAACCATCCCAAAATACTCGTAGTTGCTGTCCTCCCCATAAAATGCTCTCCCTGTAAAAAGCAACCTAGAAAAAAACCATGTTTTTAAACGTTAAAGGGTGTGTGATCCCCTTACAACCTCCATAAGAGCATATTATTAACCTTTTAAGGGGTTGCATTTCGGTTTCAAGGCTGCACTTTGCCCAATCCAGTTTCACATGAATTAATTGGGTTTGTGTGGCATATTGTTGACTGATAGACAGATTGCCTCTTAAAATGACCAACTCAAACTTCTATGTGTATAACTAATGAAAATATAAAAGAAATATAAGAAGATGAGACAAGATCGATGACTGAGCACAAACATACAGTCTCTGTCTGGGCGTAGCCTTCGTGGATCTCCATTCCTGTCTGAGCTTTCCATTGGGCCATCACTTCGGGGGGCAGGGGTTCCCCGCCGCTCAAGCAAGTCAGCAGGCTCTTGAACTTATATCTGGACAAATGCATGAAAAGCTATTAATCTTCCTGAAAAGAGTGTATGCATTTTGCAAGGCAGAGTCCCTGTTCCTATTTCCAAAATTAGCAAAGACCTAACCCAGAGCTTGGAGAACCAGAGATTGGAGAAATGATCCTTGGAGACTACAACTCTGAAAATGATCGGCAAACTCTGGAAACTATAATCTGAGAAGTAAGAGGTTTTTTTGTGTCAGAAACAACTTGAGAAGCTACAAGTCTGGCTTCTGGTTTGAGAGAATTGGCCATCTGCAAGGACGTTACCCAGGGGATGCATGGATGTTTTACCATTTTATCTTATGCATTTGGCTGGCCCTTTGTATTCGAATATTATTATGTTATGTTGCACTGTTTATTTTATCCTGTTACTTTATGTATTTTGTCGTGATGTACTTTTCTGTTGTTTTTGTATTTTATTTTGCTGTTTTGTATTTTTGGGCTTGGCCTCATGTTAGCCGCCCCGAGTCCCCTTCGGGGAGATGGTGGCGGGGTATAAATAAAGATTATTATTATTATTATTATCCTGTGGGAGGCTTCTTTCATGAGAAGTTGGAGCTGACAGATGGGAGCTCACCCCACTCCCTGGATTCGAACTGCCGATCTTTCAATTAGTAGTCCTGCCGGCACAAGAGTTTAACCTATTGTGCCACTAGGAGGCCCTGAGAGATAAGGTAAAGGTAAATGTTTCCCCGACATTAATTCTAACCATGTCTGACTCTGAGGGTGGTGCTCATCTCCATTTCTAAGCCAAAGAGCTGGCGTTGTCTGTAGACACCTCATAGATCATATGGCTAGCATGACTCAATGGAGCGCCGTTACCTTCCTGCAGAAGCGGTACCTATTGATCTACTCAGATTTGCATATTTTCAAACTGCTAGGTTGGCAGAAGCTGGGGAGCTAACAGTGGGAGCTCTCCCCCTCCCTGGATTCGAATCACCAACCTTTTGGTCAGCAAGTTCAGCAGCTTAGCGGTTTAACCTGCTGAGCCACCAGGGAGCCCTGAGAAGTAACTTTTCTAAATTCTACCCTGATGTTTGGCTGATGCAGCACAACTTCAGCACAACCCTTGAACATGACAGGAAGTTTCAACAATGAAATCAGATCTATGTGTTCAGATGGCACAGCCCTTTTGGGATTATTTCCTCCACAGGAACAATTGAAGATTTCCAAGTATGAGCATTTCTTCTTGGATTTAGCAAACTAAAAGAAATGGGTTATTATTGCTATCGTTCAAGTGACCATACCTCCTAACATCATGCTGCAACAGCATGCGGAAAAGTGTTGGTGTGCCACAGAAGGTTGTCACTGGATACTTGGAGAGACACTAAGGAGGTAAGAGAGAACACACGCTTAATTGTCACTTGGTTAATCGAGTGTTGCAGGCTTTGCATGTGATGTGTAAACTTTGGCCTGGAACATTTTCCCTCCTGGACATTTCTGAGTAGATTTCCAGTGTTTCCATTACATTGCTTTCCACTGTCTGCCTTTTAAAAAAATAAATAAAAATTATTATCCCCCACGATAAGAACTCTTCCAGAAGTGAATTTCCTTTCCAAGGAATAGGCTTTGCTCACTTCCTGTTGTCACACCCCCATTTGTAACTATGGGTCATTTGTAACTCGGGGACTGCCTATATCTTGTTTTAACCTTTGCCCCTGTTTTCATCATGTTGTAAGCTGCCTTGAGTCCCATGTCAGGAGAAAGACAGGGCATAGGTTAAAGAAATAATAACTGCCAATAAAAGAATATTGTTCTTACATTTAGAACCTCCAGTGAGTCAAACTGTTTTTTGCCGTGTGCAAACACGCAAGCCCCTTGATTCCAGGAAGCATACAAACCGCCAAACTGAAACTTGATCCAGCCTGTATCAGACAAAGCCCATGTCATTCTTGAAGGATTCAGATTCATCCAGGTCCTGTTTAAAAAGGTAGAAAACACAGGTGTAGTTTGTTATTGATATTTTTCATTGAGTTGGTTCTGGGTTGCCTTAGGCAGGCATGGACCAACTTGAAACCTCCAGGTGTTTTGGACTTCAACTCCCACCATTCCTAACAGCCTCAGGCCCCTTCCTTTCCCCCCTCAGGGAAAGTCCAAAACACCTGGAGGGCCAAAGTTTGCCCATGCCTGCCTTAGGTTCACCCTAAGTCTGAACGACTTGAAGGCACCCAACTTCATACAAGCTGCTGTTCAATGGTCCAATGCAAGGTCCCACAGCCAAGTCTTGAGTTTCCTTCTAAAGGACAGGCGGGAGGTGGCCAGTCTGATGTCTTTGAGGAGGGAATTCCACAGACGGGGAGCCACTGTTGAGAAGGCCCTGTCTCTTGTCTCCTCCAATAGCGTTTGCGACGGTGGTGGGATCAAGAACAGGGTCTCTCCAGATGGTCTTAAACTTCGTAATTATTTATAGTAGGAGATACATTCGAACATGTAGTCTGGGCCAGAACTGTTTAGAGCTTTAAAGGTTAAAACTAGCACTTGAATTGTGCTTGGTAGCAGATCAGCAAACAGTGGAGCTGCCGAAACAGAGGAGTTGTATGCTCCTGGCTGCTAACCGTTGGACTAATTGAAGCTTCTGGGCAGCCCCACGTAGAGCGCATTGCAGTAGTCTAGTCGGGATGTAACAAGAGCGTGGACCACCGTGGCCAAGTCAGACTTGCCAAGGTACGGGCGCAGCTGGCACACAAGTTTTAATTGTGCAAAAGCTCTCCTGGCTACCGCCAAGACCTGGGGTTCCAGGCTCAGCGATGAATCTAGGATAACTCCCAAGTGCGAACCTGCGTCTTCAGGGGGAATGTTACCCCATCAAGTACAGGCTGTAACCCTATGCCCTGTTCAGCCTTTCGACTGACCAGGAGGACCTCTGTCTTGTCTGGATTCAGTTTCAATTTGTTCGTCCTCATCCAGAACGATACAGCGGCCAAGCACTGGTTCATTTCTTTTAGCACAGCCTCCCTAGCATCAGGTGGAAAGGAGTGATAGAGCGGAACATCATCCACGTACAGATGACATCTGACCCCAAAACTCCGAATGATGTCTCCCAGTGGCTTCATGTAAATGTTAAACAACATGGGGGACAGTACTGATCCCTGCGGGACCCCACAAGTCAATGGTTGTGAGGATTCCTAATGCCGCGACCCCTTAATACAGTTCCTCATGTTGTGGTGACCCCCAATCATAATATTATTTTTGTTGCTACTTTATAACTGTAATTTTGCTCCTGTTATGAATTGTAATATAAATATTCAATATGCAGGATATATTTTCATTCACTGGAACAAATTTGGCACAAATATCCCATATGTCCAAATTTTAATACTGGTGAGTTTGGGAGGGTGATATTGATTTTGTCATTTGGGTGTTGTAGTTGCTGGGATTTATAGTTCACCTACAATCAGAGAGCATTCTGAATGCCACCAACAATGGAATTGACCCATACATGGCACACAGAACTCTCATGACCAACAGAAAATACTGGAAGGGTTTGGTGGGTTTGGGAGTTGTAGTTCACCTACATCCAGAGAGCACTGTGGACTCAAACAATGATGGATCTGCACCAAACTTGGCAGGAATACTCAATATGCCCAAATGTGACCACTGGTGGGAAAACAGGTTTGACATTTGGGAGTTGTAGTTGCTGGTTATAGTTCACCTACAATCAAAGAGCATTCTGAACCCCAACTAACAATAGAATTGGGCCAAACTTCTCACACAGAACCCCCATGACCTACAGAAAATACTGTGTTTTCTGATGGTGTTTGGCGACACTTCTGACACCCCCTCATGACCCTCTCAGGGGTCCTGACCCCCCCCCCCCCCCCGGTTGAGAAACACCAGTCTAGACCATCCCCTTTCTGCCATGCGGAAACATATAATCAAAAATGAGCACCCAGTCTCTGCTTGAAAGGCTCCAAGGAAGGTCACTCCAGATGGGAGGAAGAGAAAGGAAAGAGGGGAAAGATATGAGGGGGGAGAAAGAAAAAGAAGGGATGAAAGCAAGGAAGCAGTGGTCCCTCTGAGACCTGGGATGGTTATGTTTATTTGCCCCAAAGATTTAAAAATGAGACAAACATACCTTCCAATGTGTCTCATTCCAATCCCCATATTACTACAGGACTGTTTCACCATTTTGGGATAGCCCGTTGTGCCGCTCGTAAAAAAGAAGCTCACTGGGTCTTGACTCTTGGTTTTAACAGGCTGATGATTATCAGATGCAGCTCTTTAAAACAGAGAGAAGGCAAATTAGGGATGAGCTACAGAAAATCAGAAAAAAGGGTCAACACAGAGTTTAGAAAATTATTTTTCAAAAGTGATTGTCTTTCTCTAGAGCAGTGGTTCCCAATCTGTGATCCGTGGACCATCAGTGGTCCGCAAGAACTAAAATATGGTCCGTAGCCTCGTAATTACTACACTGTTGCAACAAGAGCAACTGGTCTCATGAAACCCTCTTATAGTGCCGAGGCTTATTAAATATGATTTCTGTGGGCAAGGAGATGGCAACTACTGGATGGCATATGCTCTTTATCAGGAAATAGAGCTGATGTAGTCTATCCAATGCAATTTTCTGAATCAGCACCCCAAATAACCAAACCAAATCTAAAGATGACCAAAAATTGATTCGAAATTGTTGGAGAGTGGTCAAAGTGGTCCCTGGTGAAGTGATCTCTGGTCAAAAAAAGGTTGGGAACCACTGCTCTAGAGACAGAAATTCCTAATTATTTTTACCTGAGAAAACACCTCTTTATTGGAAATAGTACCTGACCCTGATAAAGATACACAATATGGACAAAAGTTGTTCAGAAAAATGTTGGAGGAATTCTAGACAGGAAACAATCGGGGCCAGCTAACACCTTCCAACAAAGGATTCCACCAGGCAGGAATCAGCCAGGCTTTGAAGCTGCAAGTCCATTCAGTGCTAATGAAGATGAACAATTGCAACATTCACACTTGCCTCAAGCAGACAAGAGTTCTTGTGGCATCACCGCACAGCAAGGCAAGGAAACACATCGATCACAGTCTCCTTTAGGCTATCAACTACTTTATTGTCCAACTATTTACATAAGAAGCTAAGCATATCGTAAAACTGCTTCCATTCCATCTGGCAGCTACATTGCAAACACACACAGACTACACTGCTACCAGCATTAGTCCACACCTCCTGCATTCCAGAGTGACATATGACATACGATGCACTAGGCTTTGTCCATTGCTCTCTGAACTAAGATTTATGACCTCTCTAGGAATGCCGATTCCCTTCATGGTTCAGTTAACTCTTTCCACACAGCATTGCATTTTTAAAACATACATACATGCATACATTGAAATCTGCATTACACATTTTCAAACCACTTCAACACTTTCTCCCACCCTGGACTTCATCCCACAGATATATAAAGCCAATTTTACTAGTTTCCAACAGACCTCACAACTTCTGAGGATGCTTGCCATAGATGCAGGCAAAACGTCAGGAGAGAATGCCTCTAGAACATGGCCATATAGCCCGAAAAAACCTACAACAACCCAGTGATTCCAGCCATGAAAGCCTTCGACAGAACAAATGTTGGAGGGATTGCCAAGGAAAGGGGAACATATATTCATGTGTGGTGGCAATGCAAATATATACAGAGGTTTTGGAGAAAAGTTATAGTAGAGATAGAAAGTATTATGAAGAAAAAAATTAATATAAATTTGGCAACTATACTGTTAAGTATCTGTAATATAGATGAATGGAATGAAAATGAAAAGTGTTTGATAACAATGTTGTTAACAGCTGCAACGCTACTAATAGCAAAAAAAATTGGAAAGGAGAGGTGGAAATTAAGATAGAAGAATGGTATAAGGAAATTAGGAAATTAGCAATAAATGATAAATTAACACATAATCTTAAGGTCAAAAAAGGCCTAAGGAAGAATAATGATTTTGAAAGTATATGGAAATAAATTATTGAAGAAACATTAAAGAAAGAAGATGGGAACCAACCCTCACCAGAAGAAAAGAACTCCAGAGATGGGGAGCACAACGGGTAGCACAATGGGGGAAAGGAGAAGAAATAACTCTATGAATTATAGAGATGGTTCTTTGTAACAAAATGGATAGAAATGTACTGTATATACTCGAGTATAAGCCTAGTTTTTCAGCCCCCTTTTTAGGCTGAAAAAGTTCCCCTCGGCTTATACTTGAGTCAAGGTTATTTATTATTTTACTTTGTTATTAGTATAATTTTATTACATGAATTATTTTAATATATTAATTATTATTATTATATTTAAATTACTTTACTCTATTATTATTTTATTAAATTTCTTATTTTACTCTATTTATTATTAGTATTATTTATTTACTCCTTATTATTATTACATTTATTATTTTTACATTATTTTTATTGTTACTGCATTTATAATTTTACTCTGTTATCACAGTTATTATATTTCCATTATTTTACTCTATTATTATTATTATTATTATTATTATTATTATTATCCTGACACAAAAACACAGTATGACACAGCAAACGAGGTATATATGCTGGATTTCATTATTATTATTATTATTATTATTATTATTATTATTATTATTTTACTATCTTTATTATTATTGGAAGGATACATAAGCACATTTACACTGAAGATTAGAATAATGATTTAATCAGAGCTGGACAGTCTTATCTTAAATTACACTTTTATGTAAATATTCAAAAACATTTAACCTACTGATGCCTCAATTAATGTAATTTTGTTGCTACCTATTTTTATTTTGAAATTTATCAGTAACTCCTGCATTTCCCACCCTCGGCTTATACTTGAGTCAATAAGTTTCCCCAGTTTTTTGTGGAAAAATTAGGTGCCTCGGCTTATATTCGGGTCGGTTTATACTTGAGTATATTCAGGTAATATAAATTTACTATTATAAAAAGAAAAGAAAACACCTCTTTAGGAAATTTGAGGTGTTTTACCATGATTCTATAGTTGATTTCTGATGGAAACAGACCACAGAATTGCACTTTCTCTAGAGATCCGTAGGTCCTCCAGCTTGACTGGAAGAAATTGACCATAGTGTCACGCTGGAGGACCTAGAGATTCTTAAAGAGAATGTTTTAATCAAGTATTGTGAATAATCAAATATGCAAATGTCAAAACTACAACTGTGGAGGGATAACGGTTCTGACTGTGAAAACCCAATCTAATCTCAGGCCGCCATTCATCTTGAGATGATCATTTGTCTTATGAAGCAGGAAAGAAGTGACGAGCGGAGTTCCGCAGGGTTCCATCCTGGGCCCGGTCCTGTTCAACATCTTTATTAATGACTTAGATGAAGGGCTAGAAGGCATGATCATCAAGTTTGCAGACGACACCAAATTGGGAGGGATAGCCAATACTCCAGAGGACAGGAGCAGGATTCAAAACGATCTTGACAGATTAGAGAGATGGGCCAAAACTAACAAAATGAAGTTCAACAGTGACAAATGCAAGATACTCCACTTTGGCAGGAAAAACGAAATGCAAAGATACAAAATGGGGGACGCCTCGCTCAAGAGCAGTACATGTGAAAAAGATCTTGGAGTCCTCGTGGACAACAAGTTAAACATGAGCCAACAATGTGATGTGGTGGCAAAAAAAGCCAATGGGATTTTGGCCTGCATCAATAGGAGCATAGTGTCTAGATCTGAGGAAGTAATGCTACCCCTCTATTCTGCTTTGGTTAGACCACACCTGGAATATGGCGGCAACTCAAATGATCAAGGGTCTGGAGAACATGTCCTATGAGGAGCGGCTTAAGGAGCTGGGCATGTTTAGCCTGAAGAAGAGAAGGCTGAGAGGAGATATGATAGCCATGTATAAATATGTGAGAGAAAGCCACAGGGAGGAGGGAGCAAGCTTGTTTTCTGCTTCCCTGGAGACTAGGACGCGGAACAATGGCTTCAAACTACAAGAAAGGAGATTCCATCTGAACATTAGGAAGAACTTCCTGACTGTGAGAGCTGTTCAGCAGTGGAACTCTCTTCCCCAGAGTGTGGTGAAGGCTCCTTCTTTGGAGGCTTTTAAACAGAGGCTGGATGACCATCTGTCAGGGGTGATTTGAATGCAATATTCCTATTTCTTGGCAGGGGGTTGGACTGGATGGCCCATGAGGTCTCTTCCAACTCTTTGATTCTATGATTCTATGATTCTATGAAAAGGGATACTCACGCCACAAGGTCATGGAAGTCCAGCCATCCTTCTCTCCTACTGCCTTTGGAGACCAAGACTCGGCTCTTCAGTGAGTCGCATTCAGATGCAATAGAGTCTACTGATGGAGCCAAGGCATCGTTTGTGATGATGCATTTGGCCTTTGAAGCTTGGAGCCTGTATAGGATGTCTTTAGATGTCAGCTGGATCGTTGCTGGAATAGAGACAATGCCTAGGAAGGAAAAGAACAAGCAAAGAGGATGGGAAGGAGAGAAGAATATGTCTAGTCAAGAAAGAACAAGCAACAGAATGGGAAGGAGTTAAGTGTGAAAAAATGTTTATTGTCTCTAGGTAATATACTGTTTTCTTTCATTGCTTTTATTGGTTTTAATGCATAGTCAATTTGCTTCTAATTCCACCTTGGTCCTCAGTTAACTTCTTTTGCTGCAAACTGATTTCAGAGTGCAAAAGAAGTTTGCACTTGAGGAACTTAACCCACTTAGGGAAAAGCAAACTGCTGCAGCCTCTCTGCGATTATTATGGTTCCTTAGCATCAGTTGGGTTGTACTGACCCGTCCGCATGCAGCCCACTGAGATCATCCACCATTCTGGGACCCTTGGGAGAATCAGTAGGAGCCCATCCCCTTTGTCCAGGCCGCATACTTCTGAGAGCACATTGGCCACTTTCCTGGAGTGGAAGCCCAGCTCCTCAAAGCTCCAGCGCACCTCCTCGTCCTTGTCATTCACCCACCAGAGAGCCGGGTTGGAAGGCCTTCTCCCATCCTGTCAGAACAACATATTTGTGTGTTTAGAAAGTTTTTAAACTACACGTAAAGGTTTCCCCTTGACATTAAGTCTAGTTGAGTCTGACTCTGGGGGGTGGGTGCTCATCTCAATTTTTAAGCCAAAGAGCCGGCATTCTCCGTAGCCACCTCCAAGGTCATGTGGCTGGCATGGCTGTATGGAGCGCCACATGACTGAAGTGATACCTATTGATCTACTCAGATTTGCATGTTTTCAAACTGCTAGTTTGGCAGAAGCTGGGGCTAACAATGGAGCTCACTCTAGTCCGCAGATTCGAACTGCTGACTTTCCAGTCAGCAAGTTCAGCAGCTTAGTGGTTTAACCTGCTGTGCCACCGCGGCCCATTAAAAGTTTCTAGACCACATCTTTATTCCAAAGATGGTTTCAGGGCAATAGACATAATGTTTGAACATCCAGTACAATAAGAACAGCCTAGAATCTGAACAGTGGTTCCACAACATTTAAGTATGGTATTTTAGCTAGATAATAAAAATAAATATGAATAATTTCCCCCCTAAAAATGCCTATAACATGTTTTCACTTGGGATCAAACATTCACAGCATTGGTCCTAGGTCTGTCCACTTCCCAGGCTTATTTCCATTAATAGAACTGGGAAAAGGTAAAAACAAGTTATGAATAATGCAGCTATCTGTGACTAACAATTTTGGCATGTAGCAGCAGTTTGATGGATCCCTATTTCATTAGTAATGTAGCAGGTAAAAATAAAGGCTTGGATCCTATTGCTATCTACAAGTCAAGTAGACCCATAGAATCAATGGAAGTCAACTATGTGTTGGCATACCATTCATCAACATCAACTGAGGCTAGACATCAGACTAGATATAATAATGCTGTGCCCCAGTATAAGGAAGTTTCCAATGTTCCTATATCTTTTGTCTACTACATACTTCAAAATGGGTGAGATTTGCTCACGTTTATTGTGAAGGTACTCTTTTTTTATTTATCTAGTATGACAACATGATGCTCAAAGAATATTGACAATGCCATACCTTCTCTTTTTGGGCCCATTTATCCAGCACATCTTTGGCAAAATTGAAATACTCAGGCACATCTTCAGAGTCTGAGAAGTCCAGAGATGGTGATCCACTGCAGGCTTGGTTTTTGATTTGATAAGGCCATTTGGGGGCAAAGGTGGGTTTTAAGACTGGGAGTCTAGATAGAAACTTCATTTCAGCCAACACAAATCCCTTCCCATGTAGTAAGAGTCGAAGGATAATCCCAGATTCTGTTAAACAACAAACAAATCCAGATATCATGAATTAATGAGTAGAGCTGATGCTGATTGAGAACCGAGAAATAATACTCCAATGAAATTAGGTATTTTATCCACACCTATTGTGTTTTCATAAGTAGAAACTCAAGATCCTCTAGCTTTACAATTTTTTTTCATGTCATGAGTGACTTGAGAAACGGCAAGTCGTTTCTGGTGTGAGAGAATTCACTGTCTGCAAGGAAATTGCCCAGGGGACACCCAGATGTTTTGATGTTTTACCATCCTTGTGGGAGGCTTCTCTCATGTGCCTGCATGGAGAGCTGGACTTGACAGAGGGAGCTCATCCATGCTCTAGAATCATAGAATCATAGAGTTGGAAGAGACCTCATGGGCCATCCAGTCCAACCCCCTGCCAAGAAGCAGGAAAATCACATTCAAAGCACCCCCAACAGATGGCCATCCAGCCTCGGCTTAAAAGCCTCCAGAGAAAAAGTCTTCACCACACTCTGGTGCAGAGAGTTCCACTGCTAAACAACTCCCACAGTCAGGAATTTCTTCCTAATGTTCAGATGGAATCTCCTTTTTTGTAGTTTGAAGCCATTGTTCAAGAAAGGAGATTCATTCCTCCTGAACATTAGGAAGAACTTCCTGACAGTGAAAACTGTTCAGCAGTGGAACTCTCTGCCCAGGAGTGTGGTGGAGGCTCCTTCTTTGGAGGCTTTTAAACAGAGGCTCTCTCCGGATTCGAACCTGCAACCTGTTGGTCTTCAGTCCTACCAGCACAAGGGTTTAACCCATTGCGCTACTGGGAACTCCTCAGATAATAGGGAACTACAGAAGTTACATGTGATGACAACTCTGAAGTGGCCCCATCCATTACTGTAGAGCCCCCTGATGCCAGGACTCAGTATCCATGGTTCATTTTACCCACACTCCTAAACAACTTCACCACCCCAATAGTGTTTGTGGACCCATCCGGTGCTATCCTATGTTATGCTTTTGACTCATGTATAGTCAAAATATAGGGTTCATTATTATCCATGGTTTCAAGTATCCACATACATAGGTGTGGGGGACTATATCTCTTGTGGATATAGGGGCCTTGGTGTCTGTGCTGTTTTTTTCTGTAGATTTGAATTCTAGTTATGACAAATGAAGAGAGCCATTAGCCATGAGCTCCCTCTGACAGCTCCAACTCCCCATGCGGGGACACGAGAGAAGCCTCCCACAAGGATGGCAAACATCAAAACATCTGCGCATCCACTGGGCAACGTCGTTGCAGATGATCAATTTTTTCACACCAGAAGTGACTTGCAGTTTCTCAAGTCGCTCCTGACACACACACAAAATCTTGTTTCACAAGTTCAAAATTTAATTGCTTTTGTTGCTGGCTTATAACCCTTTCCCTCATTAAAGATATACTCAATAAATTTTCCTCATATTTTTCAAAAATCTGTTTGTTTCGATATTCCCTTTTAAGTTTTTATATTGCAAGGCAATTTGCCAATAATAGCTATATTCCAATTTTCTATGTACCATTCTTCTAATTGAATTTCCTCTTTCCCCCCAAAATTTGCTATTAATTTTGCTGAGACCAATTCTTTCTCCTCTTGTGAGGTAATTATATTGTCATGCATATGTAATTTACTTATTTATTTATTTACAGTATTTATATCCCACCCTTCTCACCCCCAAGGGGACTCAAACCAGTTTACAGACACACGTAAGGAAAACATTCAGTACTTATTATACAATTAACAAGGACAGACAACACAAACAGAGAGGTAAGAGCAGTTTTCCCCATCTTATTTCCGGCATCTTGGAGGCTGTGCTCGACTCCAGCCATAGGAGGGTGCTGTTGCTCCATCTTCCATGCCGAGGAGCTTTCCTCCGATCAGTGTCCTTAAGGGCATCTTTATTATTTCCCCGCTAAAAGTGGTATCTATTTATCTACTTGCATTTCTGCTTTCAACCTGCTAGGTAGACAGGTGAGCTGGGGCTAGCAGTGGGTGCTCACCCTGACTCAAGATTAAACTGCTGACCTTTCGATCAACAGGATTTTTCTGCAGCACAGCAGTTTAACCTGCTGTACTAAACCTGGCTAATTTTGATGTGCTCTCTATCTCTATTTTTTTATTATTGCTCTTATTTCTTTACATAACCTTTCCCAATTTTTTAAAATAATTTTAAATGACCACCACATTTGAAGAAATGAGACTATTTCCTGACAGCATTGATTCGGACATTTTTTATCCATCTGATTTCATAGTTATCAATTCAAAACATAATTCTATTTATTATTAAATGTTTAAGAAGAGATAAAAATTACTGTTCCTTCCTCCTTGGTCCCAAAGATGGTAATGGCAGAAGAAAGGAATCAATGCTGGCCAGCTCGGTTCTTCCCTCCATTATGACGTCATCATTATGTTTACAAGCGGGATCGGGGGAATTCCCATCACATGTTAAATTGGGCCTTTTTCCTTGTCTCTTCACAGAGAATTGAAGAAGAATTCGATTCCCAATTGACTTAGGAAGTATAGGTAAAAAAACCCCACACACTTTAGAAATGGTGAAATACCTGGAACCCATGGAACAAGTATGCGGCATGTGATGGGCTCTGCCAGTAGCCGTTTCTTAAAAGTGTAGGAACGCTTATTTTATTACGTGTGATGAAGTCGTTACAGTTATACGTAGTGCTATGGTGGCAGAAGGCTTTAACCTTATGGCTGTAACTCTTACCTCCCAATAAATAAATAAAATAAATACATATCTGTGGCAAGGAATATGAGGTCATGGTTGGCTGAAACCATGAACAAAATCTCTCCATGCTCTGATATTTTGTTGTAGTCCCATTTACAACCTAGAATTTTGTACTGGTTTTGTACTGGTCAACCTATTATAGGTTGAGAAACGCGGTATAGAAATAAAGCAAATAAATAAATAAATAAATAAATAACATTTGAACTAAAGTGGACTCCCCAGAAAGGCACATTTCAGATTGTTTATAAGGCTCAAAACAACAGCCACCTCAGCAGAGAAAAAGTGATCACTGAACTTGCAGGTGGGTGCTCTCTTGGTTTATAGTGACTTGGCCACACTCTAGTTACATCCCGAATAGATTACTGCAACACGCTCTACGTGGGCTGCCTTTGAAGACGGTTCGGAAACTTCAGCTAGTCCAACAGTCAGCAGCCAGCCAGACTACTAACTGGGGTGACATGCAGGAAGCATACCACCCCCCTGTTGTGCCAGCTCCACTGGCTGCCGGTCCACCTCCGAGCCCAATTCAAAGTGCTGGTTCTGACCTATAAAGCTCTATACTGTTCTGGCCCAGCTTACTTGTCTGAACATGCCCCACCTCGAAACCTAAGATCATCCGGGGAGGTCCTGCTCTCGCTCCAGGTCAACAGCAGAAATGGTGGGGATGAGAGGCAGGGCCTTCTCGGCGGTAGCCCCCCGCCTATGGAACATACTCCCAACTAAAATCGGCCACCTCCCTCCTACCTTTTTGAAAGAAAGTAAAGGCATGGTTCTGGGACCAGGCTTTTGGACAATAGATGCAAGCAGCACTTTAAGGGAATGTGACCGGAATGACGATATAGCTGATGAGATTATTTTTGTTGTAGTGGAGCCTGTGAGTAACATTGCAAACAGTAGTATGGGTGTCAGAAGGGGAAAACGGGTCACTCGGAAGCAGGAATCTGATGATGAGCAGCAGAGAAAGAGGATCTGGGACATATTTACAGCACCTACAGATGAGGAGTCATTTGAGGGATTCTCTGGGGATGATGGGTCAATGAGTGAAGGAGACGAAGGAGATACCATGGATTGGACTAAGATAAGAGAATTTCAAGCTATTTGTGAGGAGCCAAGAACTAGTGATACTTTTATGGGGTTCTCTGGGGGTGAAGAGTCGCAATCAGGGGATCCAACTGAGTCTTGGGGGGACCCAAGTCTTGACAGGAGATGGAGGACTTGGAGGGAAGGGAATTCAGGTGAAGAGCTGGGAGCAGCTGCGGGGGATAATGATGGGGCGGTGGTCAGTTCATTTTCTGATGATGATTTGTAAATAAAAGTGAGTTCAGGGGTGATGGGTTCTTGCAGAAGGCAAGGTGTTGATGAGCGCTCGTGTGTTGGGTGCTGTGTATTGGAAAAGATTCTTGTAGACTTGTTGCTGCCTGTTTCGTGTTCAGCGTTGGATCTGCAGTTTGGACCTCCTGATCATTTGCGTGTTATTGACCCGGATTGGCTTCTCGTGAATGTGGACTTCTCCCTTCCTGGACCTGAACCGGTTTGGCTAAAGACGCTGCTTCTGCGGACAGTGGAGCAGCGCTGTTTCGGATTCCTCCCGCTTCAACCCTGGACTTCGGCTGATGATGCTTTTCTTCTTGCGGCCCTCCTTTTTGTTAAACATTTGTGTACTGTGTCTTTTTGTTTTGCCTCAGAGCGCTTTGTTTGATTTGCTTCTTTTGCATCCAGTTAATTAGATTCCAAGACTCAGAAAAAGGATCTCATAAAACCGATCCTAAATAAAAAGCAATTTAAAATGTGTATATGTGGAACAGGTGTTTTCCCGAATGTTTTTTTATTTAAAATTTGCATAAAGTTTTATATTAAACGTCTTCTTGAGAACATTACTTTGTGTGGTGTTCTGGATTTTACAGCAGCTATGCAAAACTAACAACTTGAGAGTGGATCAGATTGTAATGCCTTTCCCTATAATTTTGTGAGTTGGTTCTTGGTTACTTTTCAAAACTAAACTGCAATATATTTGGCACCCAGTTTAAGAAAGGGTTCCTCATTATCTGAAATATGCCACTGATCAGAAAGAGTAAATTGGAAATTGTTCACATGAAAACTGGTCACCTGGAGCCATTGAGTTGTATTCGCTTTGAGCTGTGATTTTCTGGCCCAGCTTGTTTCTTGACATTCTTATCAGATGCAGGGACATTGTTTTGGTGG